GTTTTATTAGATGTTTTTCTTGTGGCATTATAAAAGTGTTGATTCCATTTCCTCAGGAAGCGTGGGACATGAGGCCACTTAATTGAATTGCACTTCTTGGAGTATGGCTTAAATGTAATAACGGAGGCAATAGCCTGGAGCAAAGTTTGTATAACTAAAAATCCATAATAATAAATAGCCTGTCACAGCCTTTCAAATCTATGTTTGTTTTGACTTATAGTGAGTTTTATGTTGTCTGACATCTCAGGGGAGACAATCAGAGCAGCAGGCTGATACAGCAGGAAACACCTGTTGCACAAACAAGACCTCGTTATAAAAAAATCCAGTTTTTCTACCTCCCTCTTGTGTTTGTGTTATTCTAGATGAAGGCTGCCAAATAAAAGGCTCAGAGGTCTGTAACTTGACCATCCAGACTGTGCTGGACCAATTTCCCTCTCTGCGCGGGTGTGTGTGTGCCTGGGAGGAGGAGCTTTGTGGCTCGATACAAGCACTGGCCACACAATGCAACCAAAAGACAGGTGCAGTATTCTCAGTTGTCTCTGAGATAAGCATTTATAGGTGAAATTGCATTTCTGTTTACCAAAGGCGTTCTGATGTACTGTGTGATTAAACACGTCTGTGCTACTGAATAGAAAAAGGCTGGCTTTAATAGGCATTCGTAGGAATCATGTTTCCAATTCTCCTCATAGCAGCTCAGCAGAGGAGGAAAGCAGGGATGGACTGGCAGTCAAGCAGTTTAATAAGATATGGTAAATATGTAAACATAGTTTAAAGGGTCAAGTGCCCTATTTTCCCATTTTTTTTTGTGACCAGTTTTATTTTTAAATTGGTCAGGTGTGGGTGAGAGAGCTGCAGCTGGCAACCACCAAACAAGCTACAATTAAATACTATTGTGCAATTTCTACCATAAATGTCTTCCACTTTAAGTGCTTGTTTTATGCGACTGACAGATTCAAATTGTTATTGTGGCTGAAAGCAAATTGAAAAGGACCCTACTGTTTGTTGATGTGTCCAACCAAGTCTCCCTGGAGGAAAAGTATTGTTCTGAAAACTTGCATCGCATCCACATTTTTTAAATTAAGCCATGACACTGTTAACCGTTTTCTTCTGGCAACAATTTAATAAGATAAAAACAGACCAGATTAAGCAGAGGAAAACAAAAATGATTATTATCTTTGTAGGGTGAGTGGCAAAAAACAACTTATTTATAGCCTGTTGAGGCCTCATACTGGGCCGCATAAAAAAACGACTCTCCTTTTAGTCAATTAGACACACACACATGGGAAAATAGGGTAGTATAGCCTTCAACCTTACGTTAAAAAATATACAATTATGTACACTGAATTCATCAATATAAAAGTGATGTTTCTATAGTCTAAAAACATTTTACATTATTTTTGTTGCAGTACAAAATGGTGCTGAATCCTGCTTGGACCAAATGAAAGTGTGCGTCAGTGATGCAGTTTGCAACAAGTACCTTATCCCTGTGATTCAGGCATGCATGGCACCACAATGTGACCATGACCGCTGTAAGAAAGAGTCTCAGCAGTTCTACAGCAGCATGCCGCACAATGTTGCAGAAATGATTGTCATGTGCGAATGTAAGGATTCGGATCAAAACTGTCTGGATATAAAAACTGCTCTGCACAGCGGCACATGTGGAGACCAGATATGGATCTGCCAGGATACAGTTAACCTGTGTGTTGAGGACAGAAACTGCAGGCATGTCGCTATTCTTTCCCTCCTTTCAGTATGTGTTGAACTGCAAAAATACTACAGAAGAAAATTGTTTGAGTGAATTTTGAACACATCAATGTGAGCCATTTGAGTGTGGTAGTCTTCCTTACTGTACTTCAAAGATTGTGAAATATTACGTTTATATTCAAATGTTATAATAATGTTAATATTATGTGAAGTCATTTTATAGTTTGTTCTTTAAAAGTCATAGAAAAAGTGATGTGAAACTGTACAAGTTGGGAGTTCAGATCAGTGGAAAGCTAAGATGATTAAAAGATTTTAAAAAACGGTCTTCTCTAAACACCAAAGAATACTGCAACTCAAACATATTTTCTTTTGGATTAGCAGATATCTGTTAAATAACTTCCGAGTCAAATGCTGGAGTCCTGAAGAAGCACAGTGCAGCGACAGAGACCTCCAACATGATGAATGTATCAGCCAGATGGACCCAGCTCTCATCCTTGGTGCAGATTCTGAATGTAAAATGGCCTTCCTGGATACTTTGGGCACAGCTCTTCATTATCCTTGTCAATGCAAAGGAATGCACAATGATGATCTACTGACGTGCAACCTCATTCATGACATGCTTCACAACAGATCACACTTCAGTGAGTAGGTTTTAGATTTACAAAAGAAACACATTTTATAATGAAAATGTGTTTCAAAGGAAACATTTTAAAAAGTTTGTGTATTCCAGTGACATCTTGGAATCGCAGTGATGGTCCAACTAAATATCCTGAAGTCGATGAATCTGAGCAAGCTCACACATGGTCAAATGGTAAATTGAAGCACTTTAAAGCAGTTTAAACAATGAAAGTGAGTTTACACCACTGTTGTGAATATCTTCAACCTAACCATACACTTAGGTTTGGTAAGTCCTGGCAGCATGACTAACTGAGCTAACAGCTAACTAGCTATCGTCAGCTACTTTTAGAACAGTTAGCCTTACTTTAGCAGGAAAAGCTTTCTGGCAGACGAGGCAGAGCAAGTGGAGGACTTTGGAGGGAAATCCAGAAAAAATGTCTCCATAAAATATACTGTATCATATTTGATGGCGAATCTTTGTTTTTGTATCAGATACAGTGTTACCAAATCAATTTAGTGTGTAAAACCTAATACTCTTCTCCTCTGGGATATTAGTAGCCTACCTGCTCACCAAAGTTACAAAGTAGCATATCGTTTTATAGTTATTATAATAAATGAATGAGTATTAATAGCTGATTAAATTATGGATACGATTCTTTTTTTAATATACTGAAATGTTATAATGAATATTTTGTCTTTCAGGTTATCTGCTATTTGCCTTTGCAACTGCGGTACTTGTTGGAGTTGTTGTGTTAGTGCCTCTGGCTGTTGTCAGTAAAATATGGTAAGAAAATCAACAGTAAAATACATCAAGTCTCTCTGATATGTAAAAATAAAGCCTTTCTACTTTCTTTTTTCTTATAGGATGCTCAGAAGAAGAGACAAAACTAAGTTTCACCATCCAGAGAAAAGTAATTGTGCTGTTAATCCCTGATGGTGTTTATCCATCCATAAAATGTTTGTCATCAATAATCATGGATCAACATTTTGTTCCTTTTTAGATTGAAACGATTTTAGAAGTTGCCTGATTTTTTCATGATATTGATAAGAATATATAAAAAAATATCGACATATACTTTGTTATACTTACATTTTAATGTGACATGTTAACTTGTGTATCAGAGATTTTTAAGACGGATTCATATATTTTAACTATTTTATTTTGATTAAAAGGACAATTGTTTTCTTTCTGCTGTATATGATCAGTCTTTAGTCTGTTTCACACTGACCTGGTCTTTCCATCTTCGAAAGTTAAAACTCACCTGGAACATTTTAAATGGCTGTCACCAGTTGTCTTTTTGTGATGATTAAATAGTGATCTTTAGTCTTCAACTTTATGTGATAATAAACTTCACTCTTGACACCGGAAGGTCTCACGTTGTATATGAAGACCTGTTTTTTTCCAGCACAAACACATAGCATTGTTAAGAGACAGGAAACATTGCAGAACAGCCTGACTAAACTGATTCAACTATCTGATTTATTGTTTTTTCTTTAATCAAACTTGAGCTTTAAACTTGATTTATCTGCATTTGACTTGACAAAAGATATTAGAAGAGGAGTAGGGAGAAAGGTTAATGGCTTTGGTTCGAATAATATAACCTCGGGTTTATTTTCCTTCTGCTGGAGAAGCTTTTCAGCCATGCAGGCTCCTGGAGACAATTATATGGTCTGTTAGTTTACTGTAATTATTGGGCTCCAGAGAAACACAGGTAAATCTGGCCTTCAGCTTATCATTTAGCAGTCATCTGTACCTATACTGTCTTTCTTTTTCTAAAGCATTTTACTTTCTTGTGACCTCTTAAATCTTGCCAATTCATGTTTGCACAAATTCATTTGTTGAGGATGAGTCTAATAAATCAAAAAATCAGACAGAATTAAAGGCTCTGGTGTAATTTCAGCATAAACAGCTTCACTCAGTATGAATTATGTTAAGAAATATGATTGTGGTATTGTTTTTATGCTAACGACCTACTTATTTACTACTACAATATTTAGGAGAAGAGACGTGAAGCTGGACAGGCTTCACAGCTATGGGCTGTTTAAATTCACCTGACCAACATGTCTGGACTGTGGGAGGAAAGAAACCCACGCGAATATATGAGGGATCAAGACTGAAAGTAAACACAAAACCACATGCAAACACATGCTGCACACAGAAAGACCCCCGCTGGTAGGAAGCCAGAACATTCCTGCAGTTAGACTGCTACGCTGGACACTGAATCAACCATGAAGATATGGATATAAATATAGGAGATGACCAAAGCACGAACCTCCTGAAAGTGCTTTAACCTGCAATTATGTCTACTAGCAAGCAGGGTCTGACTTTTCTGGTTGCAAAAATAGATTGTATAAAATATGGACATATTCTCTGAGACGTCAATCATGGTTTCTGAAAGGCCATTGTGAAGCTCAATGTGGGTGGCTTATGCCGTCGACGACATCTTTGCAATGACAACAGTGCCCAACTCCAGGCTAATATCAAATGGAAAAGGTGACGGATTCTTGTTTTTTAACCATGGTTGTCTGTGGGGTTTTGCTCACTTAGTAGTCAGTCTCAAGTTGTCATAAGAAGAGCTGCAGATGTTTGCTTGATTTGATTCTCACAGTCGGTTGCAAAAAAGTCCTGTTTTATAGAAAAGATCGAAAAAAGACCCAGATTAAAGTGTATAGACTTGTAGAAAGCAAACTAACTTTTATTAAATGACACCACATTGAATCACAGTTTCAGTACACAACTAGCAACTGGAAGGAATAATTATGCATGTTCTTATTTTTCAGATGTCAGATTTGTACTGCAATGCCAATACAACTGTATTTTGTCTTTCAAATTATTCAGACTGCAACACTTGGAGACTTCCAAAGTTTTCTTACAAGCGAGCTCATTATTGTATTGCTGCAACTTGGTTTCCCAAAAACAGATCTGAGAGTGACTACACTTCATTAAATAATTGTTTGCACAGACAATGAAGCTGGACGACTATCAGGGCTAATTACCACATTTGAATATATTCATGCAAGTTCTCTTAGTACTCTCCCACATCTGTTCATTACAGTTACATTTTATTATAGTCTCACTTTGCACCGCAGAGTCCTGCCAGCGTTCATACTGGCATTTCAATTAAAGTAATTCCCTAGTGGGACAAAGAGCCTGCTATTAATGACAAGCTAGATAGAAAACCAGGGGTACACTCATTTCTGATGACAAAAACATCCACAAAGTATTTTCTCCTACTATGTTCTGTTTTCTTTATTTGGATCATCTTAATCCTCCAGCATATGGTTACATGAAAAGACAAAAAACTGATAATGATATTTTTTTCTCAAACACAATATATATATATAAAAGCAATTTATACTTGCTACCTTGTCTTGCATAACATTTAATTAGAAAATACATGTAGTGTCATTTTCTATTTCTATTAGGTTATAACATATAGCACATATAGGATTTAAATAGACGGAAGAAACACATTTGACACTTACACAGACTATACTCCCAGATGGTAGCTTATGTAATGGTCAAAGTTTTTTAATGGCACAATGATCAAGGGGCACTTTCTTAATGCTTTTAGGCAAACCTGAGGGCAAAAACTATTTTGACAAGGTGTTATTTAATTTTTTTGTTTGAGAGAAGTCTTGTTTTTAAGTTGCTATTCTCAGAGGACCTGACCTAGTATGAGAGCTGAAAGGGTCTTCGGAGGAGTAAAGTGCATTAAAGCTATTCATGTTTATTAAAAGGCAGGAGAGAGCCTTTTCTTCATGTTGTTTGTCTTCTCTGTTTATTAAAACACAACACCTATGTGGTGGTTTTTGATAAAGTTCAGTGGGTTGGAAAAACGAATAAAATACTTATTCTGTAAAAAAAAATTATAAGGCCACTGAGCTACGCAAAATAATAAAAGTGACTGATATTTAATCAGTGCACTTGTCTTCTCCATAAGTATGAGAAAGTTTGAAAACAGAAGTGAATACATGTGGCTTTTAAAAAGGCCAGTTGAATGAGATAAATGACATAAAATCTTCTTTAACAGAAGCATAGGCGACATATCTGAATGCAGCAACGACAGGGGAAGCACTTAAAAGGTTAATATTTAAATATATTCCCTTCACAGCGTTCTGCCTCTTGCCTGGGCAACCTTGGAGTTTGTCTCGCGACGTAAAGCATTGCAGATGAAGTCACCGGCTTCTATCACTTTGGCAAGATTCACACCCTGCAAAGAAAACATGTTGCAGTATCAGCGTCTACACTGTGATTTTGTCTTAAGATGAACAAAACATGTGAACACAGGCTCCTCATGACTTTAAGAAGAACGTGTGCAACAGGTGATAGAAAAAGTGTAGTGAAAATATCCGGCCAGCAGGGGTAGGGATTGTTAAATAAATTGTTCCTGAGATGGGGCATGCAACACTGTGGGCTTGTGCAAGTTGTGTAAAACCACTGATATTATAAAATAAACATTTACAGAGCAGTATGTTTGCAGAGCGATCTGGTAATGTAAACAAACTCTGAAAGATTGTTGAGTTTGGTTGATCTGTTGGGATTATGGATAAATTAAATACAAAGTGCAACGTGGAGAAATACTCACAGTTTCAATGCCCATGCCATGGAGCATGTAGAGAACATCCTCTGTTGAAACGTTGCCAGATGAACCTTGAGCATATGGGCAACCTCCCAGGCCAGCTACTGCAGAGTCCACCACACAGACCCCCATCTGCAGAGGACACACAACAGAGACATTCAGACAGACCTCCACACACTCCACCTCAGGTAGAATCCAGGAACAAAGATCCTTGTTCTGCTGGATTGTTCTGCCCGCTGCCAGGGCTGCGGTCGTGTTTTACAGCTGTTTAGGAGAACTGCGGGCTTATGTCCCGAGGATGAGTGGGCACAGAATGTGGCTTAGTCATCCTCTTTGTCAGCTCCAACCACCAGCACCGCATAATTACGTTCATACGTGAGGACCTTCATAAATGCAGCACAGAATATGTTCCTGATTCTCCGTGTTACTCATGTTTTTACAGCAATACTCTGCCCTTAACCATGGGGATTCACTTTCTTGCCACATTTAGAATACTTTTTTTCGCCCCTCGGCTGGACGGTATCCACTTACAGCGTGCCAGCAATACAAGAATTGTAGCGTTTCTCGACAAATGTGCAGTTGCTACAAATAATCTCTAATGTCATAATTCATTTCACTGATGACTTCAGTAACATGTGTTCCTGTCCTGTGGTGGTGGTGCCTGCAAAAGATTTATTTTAAGGCTGTTTGCATGTTTGTCTCATAGGCTGCTTACAATCAAAGTTATTGTTATATTTCATGGGAAACTTTTATTTTGTTCTTTTTTACTCGCTGCCAACAAATACCAAGTGTGCTCCATATGAAAAAGATGTGTGTGACGGCTTAGGAATGAAAATGTAACTGCTTTTGTTTTGATGTTAATGCCTCAAGATGAGTACATTTATATAGTTGTATTTTACTAGTTCCCTGAATTTGCATATTACGCAAAGCGATAAAACTGCAGTTCAAAGTGTAAAAAACCTACAAGTGTACATTTTATTTTCACACCGAAAAGGTATGAAGCCATACCTTCAGAATTAAAGTAATGACAGCCTAAGGTCTTGTGATGTTTTCCACATGTCCCTGGGATCGTCATGAGAATATGAAAGATGTTTTCCAGCTTCCGTGGCAGAGCCAGATGTCAGAGGATCCCACAGCGAGACAAAATTAACACGCTGATCCTCACAGTGGCATCGGGTCATGAAGGACTTTCTCCCCATGGAGCAGAACCAAGCAAGCTAAATTAAAAGCATCTCTATTGCCTTTTTCCGAACAATGTTGCTAATTGGTTGCTTTTCCTCCAGACAAGAACCTATTTCTTTCAGGGGCTGTCTGAGCCAGCCGTAATTGCTGTTTGTGTTGGCAAGGGGAGAGGAGAAGGTGGGGGTGGAAGGAGGAGGAGGAGGAGATCGACTCTGGTGTGTGGAGTGCACGAGATTTCCAGACCTTGGATAAAGCCAGAGCAGGATATTGTACTAGGCAGATTTTTTTTAAAGCATAAACACAGAGTTGTAATCTAACATGCCAATCCTCTCGCTTTCAGCTGCTAACCGTGTAAGGCCAGGGGTCCTCGGCATACAGTTTCCGAGAGGAACAAAACGGACCCTTCATCAGCGTGCCCTGTACCTCAGGACACTAATTGTGCAGGATTTGGTGGTCAGCAGCTCCAACTTGCCAATGCTCGGTTAGTTTCACACTGCCCAGAAACCAGATGTGCACCCAGTGTTAAAAAAGCCATATTGAGTAAGCTGTGGCGATATGAAAACAATACATTCCTCGGTAAAGACACAGTGCATTTTTTAAACTTGCATGATTTGGGATAAGCTTGTTGACATTCTACACTCCGAGTGGACGAGGCTGAAGATGGACATGCTCCCATTTTGGTTTTATAACTGCGTCAGAGAGAGAGAAACAGAGAGTGTGCATTCACTGAAGGATATGGAGCAGTGATGCTTTACCCACTGCTACATAAACTGGGAAGCTGAAAGAAACTGTCAAGAGATCGACTGCTGACACATATATCACCTCTTTCCAGGAACGCATAAACAGGATTGCCCCGAATACCAGAAGGCAGCTAGGAGATAGACAAAACAAACCTATTAAGGATAAATAAATGACACTTTTACTTCTGTATTTATTTGGGCATAAATATTTGGAACCATATAATCACATCATTCACCATAAAAGATCAACTTCTTAATGGATGACCAACCAAAAACCACAATCTCATAAATATTATGATTTAAAAACAATATTATGATCCCAATGTAAATAATTACATTTTATGGCTTTATGTTAGGTTAAAGCTGTGTGTCGTCAGAAACAGGTTAAAACATATATATATAAACATTCAATTTCATCAACTTTTTTAAGTTTCCTTCAAGTTTTTAATTTTTGATTATTAGGTCTCAGTGATGAAGATCATGGCAATTATAATATGAAAACGTTAGATGGTCAGTAAAACTAAGTTATTTGCATAGTACAGTCCATCAAGGTTGAACAGTGCTTTAAAGGAAAGCGCTGAATGTTATTGTTAGCGTGTTATTGAGGACTCAATTGAGAGCGCAAACAGGTTCTACTGTATTCCCCAGCTGCAGCTGTACACAATACACCAAAAATTGTGGATGAGAATAAATAATCTTCCTTGCCAAACCTGTGAAATATAAGTACATACGTTGTCATTGTGTGACCTGCCAGGAGTAGGTTTGTAACAAAGCCCCCCCAGACCTCCTGGGAAAAAAAGAGAAAAGGTACAAAGACTGAGGAATGTCTTTATCAAGAACAAAAGAGGTGACTCAGGGCTGACAGCGCTGGGGGAATTCATTTCTATCCCAGTTGGTGGTGTGGACTTCTGGCACACAGTAATGAAAAGCTATGATAAAATCTTTCATTTCCATCTTGTTTATGGGTGAGTAAATGGTAGGCAAAATATCCCCGGCTGCTATTATTCTCTGTGGCCACAGGGCAGCTGTGATGAATCATTCTGAATATGATCCACCGAGGAATTGAACTGTACCGCTGTGCTTTTCACCCAGCAATCCAAAATCAAGGCTAACTTTTGTATATATTTTCTATTTAACACAAGAAGATTCTTTATATTTTCTTGAGCAATATGCTACAGGGTTACAGAGGAATACAAATGTAAATAATAAAGAGAAAAGCATTCACTAAAAAATAAATCAAATCTTTTTTTCTTTTAAGGACTGTTAAGGCTTTATGCTGTTTTGTGTCCCGATAAGAGTGACTGTCAATCTTTTATTTTTTGAAGTTTTCATGAAGTAAATACCTTTAACATCTGACAACTCCGTTAGTGGGTGTGCATCTCAAGTTATAATACAGTGAACTACATAAATAATGTTAAAAAAAAAGTAGATATTTACTACCTCCACGAGGGACGATTTGATTTGGCCTCGGTTTGTTTGTTTGTCAGCAGGAAAAGCACTTTTCCAATTGTAATGAAACTTGTTGAAAGGGTGTAGAATCAGCTAGAAGGACCCATAATACTGTATATCATGGCATGGCAACATAGCAGGTTCACATAATGAGGGGATAGATACATTATCTTTTGACTTTCATTACCATTGCAAAAAGGGAATGGATGGAGGTCTGCCCTATCTCAGTTTCCTCTGTGTTTATATGATTCACTGGCACCATAATATTTTATAATACAGGGGATAGTATTTACTAGACCGAAAGGCTGTACTATTAACTGGCCTACTTTAAATTCAATTCCACAAAATAAATGTGAGTAAATGTTTGATAACTGATTCTAATATGTATTAGAATGAACATTTAGGTGCTTTGTCTTAGTGGGAGTCTTGTTAATTAAATGTTTCAAGGTCTTACAACGTTGTCTTTGTTGTGACATTGCTAATTAATAACATAACCACAGAAATTATGCAGAAATGTACCTCAAACTGAAAGTCACACAGCATAACAGGACCCTTTTGAAATCTAGATGCTAATTCTCAAGTGGTTTAACCCTAATAAACTAACTTCAACATTATCTTCTGCACACCAGTTATTATCGAGCCCTATCAAAGTTTTTTAGAGCCTGGCAACTGCAGCGAGCAAATGAAAGGATCATTTTCCACTGGCCTTTAAGCGCAGCATTGTCAGGGAGTTCAACAGCCAAGCGACAGATGAGTTAGGAGCCCCCCCGGGCCCTTCTATCCACCTAGCTCTCAGTTGCTTTGTCCAATAGACACTGAATAGGTGAGCCTTTGTGCTGACCTCCTCACATCTGTTGACCCACCCAGCCCCCGATGGGCTTCCTCCTCTGTGATGACAATGTGCTCCAGAGAACTGATATCTGCGTCTGTTTTATGTCTGCATTTATGTCAGCTTTACACTCGCTACGAGCAAAGCGATAAAAACAACCCGACGAGAGCTCTTCCACGGGAAATGTACAACCTAATTACATTTTTGTGAGATGTGTAGAAACCTAGTTTATTACTGTGGGCGTCCATGAATTGTTGTTTTCTTCACTATAATACATGTGCACTGTGCTGGAAAGGCTCATTGGAAATATGTTATGTTCATTAAGATTCTGGGAGTTTTTTCTCAGTGGGCAGTTTGTGAATCATCTTGCTTTGTGGGGAAGCTAAGATCATGTTTCTTAATGCCCCTCTTCCTTGTTGACTGATGGTTCCTGCTTTTCTGTGTGTCCCTTTGTAACCTATACATTTGTTTTGTGCGTTCTCAATACTCCCCAATACAGAGGATACATTCATAATGTTGTAAACAGACACATTGTCATTAAAGCTCAGAGCAGGTTAACATTGTGGTACACTTCATACTAAAAAAGTACACATGTGTTTAAGAGGAGAAACAGTGTTTTAAGAGATGTATGTTGGATAAACATTTGTATGCGTAGGTTGTTAAATCTCTAATATCATTTCAAACAACCTTAAGTGGCCAAAATATATGGCCATCAGCCTTATTGAACTTTTTGATGAAATATAACTTCATTTTGCCAGATTCCGGTAGGAAAATAAACACTACTTATCCTTTGCTCTTGAAAATGGTAAAAATCAAGAAAAGATGTATTTGAATGTACTGTAACATCTGCCACAAGATGGATTGGGAGCAGCTTAACATATGATTACCGAAGCAGGAATACTGATCTACAGCATCAGAAAAACCGTTGTGATCTCGGCAATGTTGGCAGTTACTTAAGGAAGTTGAAAGATATCCTGGAACAAGAATCACCACCTCAACTGTGCTTCCACATCTGGTTGCTCCTCTTCATGTCATCATGAGCAAGAACACTGATTTATGAAAAGGTCGGGCCTTAATCCATAATCGGCCTGCGGTTCTCCACAAGATTGTTCATATTCATCATAAGGAGGAAGATGTGCATGCGAGGGAGAAGGTGCCAAGCCGCTGAAGAATATCAAGCTATCAAGCAACTCAACATGAGAGGATGTGTGGATCAAAAGGATGATATATTAATGTCTTGTAAAGTACAGAGGCCCTCTCTTCTAACCATGTCAGTATTTGTAGTTCCTCTTCAGACCTCTGCTAGAACAATTACTGGCACTTTTAACACCCCTCACACACAGATCAGAATGTGTTTTCATCTCATAAAATAATTATTATAAGAGCTCATGTCTATATTTAATTGAGAAAGACCTGAGAATTGTAAAACATTACTTTCCGAGATTTGCAGAGCTTACAAGTCTCTCCTTCACTCTTATTTTCAAAGATACAGGTTTTGGGAATTTCTAGCTCCGTCCTCTACGCTTCTCAGAATTCACAGGTCCCGCACCCAACGTTGAGAAAAATCTTGGAACTGTTCCACTTGATTTATAAAGAACTTGCCAGGTGCCTTGAGCAATTTGTACCCAGAGCAGGGCAGCAGAGACTTGCCAGAGAAAGCAGCACCTTGTAAACCTTTACTGCTATTTGTCTTTGGCAGATGAATATATTGTTGTGAATTTGGGACTGGGGTTGAAATCTTGTTTTATGTGTGTGTGAGAGTGTGTTTGTTATTTTATTTAATTATCTTTTCCTTTTGATTTTCTTTTTTTGGTTTCTATTGTTAATGTTTATGCCTTCTTTTGTCTAAGGGTCGTCTTGTAAAAGAGATCGCTCAGGGGTTGAAGTTTTAAATATGGATATTTTTTGGATGTGTTCATCTTAGATTTTACAATCATCCTGTTTGTAATAAAACTCCTTAAACTGTGAAACTACAGGGAGTCACAATTGAACGAGTTGATGCAGCTTTGCAAAATGCAGTTACAGGTATTGACACATAGTTTGGCTCATGTCTTATTGTTATTGTCAAAACAATAAAACTGAGTCCTCGTTTGTCAGTCTTAACTCAATTATTAAAAGCCTTTTCTACTTCTGCCAATACAATAATTATCGATTACCATTCCCACAGTACATTATGAGTTCTTACCTGAAGTGCAGTAAGGATGTTGGGCAGTGCTTGCCCATAAGTGTCATGGCAGTGAACTGCGAGAGCGTGGGCGGGCACCTCCTCCATCACACTCTGCAGCATCTTCAACATGGAGCCTGGAGTACCAACACCGATGGTATCCCCCAAGGAAATCTCATAGCAGCCCATCGCATATAACCTCTTGGCCACCTAAAACATTGTTTCAAAAACGTGTGAGATTCTCTCATTAACACAGAATCATAGAGTAAATAACTAACCATAAATCATGTAATCTTCTAATGAATACATTTGTTTTGAAAACCTGTATTTTGTATATATTTGTTAATATGCAATGTCATGTGAGGTGATAACAATTCAGAATGACCTCCATTAATATTTTCTCCACTGAATGTAATAGTTAATATGAATATTAGGATTTTCGAAAGGTTTTCTTACTTCAGAGACTTTGGAAGGTTCGATGTGTCCCTCGAGGGGGCATCCGAGGGCACAAGACACATATCTGAAAGACAAAACATTTGTGATTTGCATTTGATGAACTATAACATTTGAAACAACCGTTGTTGAAGTAGAAGCAATTCAACAACAGGATTTTATGTTAGGCACTTTCAGGAAGACAACACTGTTGTCTGTCGTGAGATGGACTCTCGTCTATTTAAATGAGGATACAAAGATTGCTGATAATTCTGATGTTTCTAATCTTATTTTGGCTTTTCATCTCGAGATATCTCAAAGGCGGACAAAAAGATTAATATGAGATTTGGTTACCAGATCCGTGATTAGATTTTAGTGTGATTTTTTTTAACTATCAAACATTTGTTTAGCACTTGGAAACAAATTCACTGTTTTTCTGATGTGTTCATCCTATTTAAACAGAGAGGTTTATTTAATCCAACATGCATGACAATTGAAATATTTGCAGTAACTTTCAATGTTTGGTTTGCTTAAATGTCCATCTGGACGAGCGGTTCACGAATGCATAAATATAACCTTGGGAACATCTGGACGTTTTATTTAAATCTATCATTACTGAATTGTGTGTTTTCTCCTTCATATAGTAACTGCAGTTTTTTCAACAGTGTATAATTTGGAGTAAAAAAAAAAACAATCCCAAAGGTGGTTGAACTTTGGAAATGTGTTTTCATTAATTGTAAGGATCATTAATTTCCCAAATACTCACCCGCGGACTGGAATCTGTTGCTCTTTGGCAGTGTTAATGACTTCCTCAAACCTCAGCATGCTTTCATCAATAGAGCAGTTAATATTCTTTTTACTGAAGGTTTCAGACGCTGACCCAAACACCGCCACCTCAGTAGCACCAGCTGCAACCTTAAAACAGGAGAGAAAAATGAACTTGTAAAACAGTTTTGAACATGGTGCTGGAGTCACACTTAAGTACGTGCAGGACTTATGTGGAAAAAAAGCACTAGTCTCTACATTAAACTTAGATTGACAAGCATGTAAAAATAACTTTGGTCTAAAACAGACATCATCAAGCTGAATTCAAAATTAATGCTTACAGCATCCTTGAAGCCTTGCATGTTAGGTGTCAAAACAGGATACCGAACATGAGGTGCTCTCTGAATTCCTCTCAGTACATCAGAGTGGTCTGCCATCTAAATGAAGTGGGGGGAAAACATATGATGTAGAAAAATAAACCTTTTACATCATCTGAGAATAAATCACCCTGCACAAATGTTTTTACATGCTTGTAGTCAGCGGAAAGGACAGAATCATTTTTTCATCTAACATTTCTCAGTAAATAAAATGTGACATGTTCATGTTTGCTTTTTTTTAGGAAGTCAATACTGGCATAATTTATGACAGGGAACGAGAGAGTTCAAATTGTATTTCCAAAGGCACTTGTAGGTCTAACAAGGATACTAGAGGAGATTTTCCGCAGGAGTTATGCAGACAAGAAAGAGAGCCTAATAAATCACTCAGCACTCTTTTGCTGTGCACAAAGAAGAGTTATTACCTGCGGTACCCACTTTGAAGAGACAAAGCTGGTGGCCTCGATCACAGGCAGGCCTGTTCCCGAGAGCATGTCTATCAGCTGGATTTTCACCCCTGTTGGAACAATTTCCTGGGGAACAATGAAACTGAAACTGCTTATTTTGGCTTTGATTCCACTCAGGATGGGAATTACAACAAGAAGATATCTAGCTGTTTGGTTTTTTTGCAACGCTTTTTGCTTATAAAATCTATATTCCCCTGCTGAATCTTGCACTTGCTTAATAATAATAACATATTGTGGTTATACATTTACTTTATCCATGCATCTAGTCCGTGCAATCTGTAAAACTACAGGCGTGCAATAAGGAAATGATAAAGCAGTGACATGCTAGGCTGATTAAACTGAGCCGGAAGCTGTGTCATCTTTCCTATTCTATTTCACAGAAAATGTGAAACATATGCTCCTGGCAATTATGGCACAACCCATATGTTATGGATTGTTTCATGTATGAAAAATGGGAAATTCCCGGGTGGTCATGCATGAAGATACAAAACAAGGGTGCCTACGTATAAATGAGATTTGTGACTGTAGTATACCTTTTCATTTTGAAGTCCATCTCGTGGTCCTACTTCAACTATTTTAACAAACTCTGGATACTCATGTCCTGTAATAGTCTGGGAAAATATCGAGAGATACAGTCATAAGAATTAGAGGTACACAGGACTGAATTGAAGCAGGCATGCAGTCATCCTTTTGGCATGAGATGCTCCAGGACATGGTATTTTTAACATGAACAACCGTCTACCTCTAAACCACATGAAACGTGAGAACCTAAACATAAACTTTTCATGACATTAAGATGCAAACTCAGGATGTCTCATAGAGAAAGGACAGGGAAATAAGGTAAGGGTAACTCCACACAAACCACAAGGGATATTCAGAGTATCAGGGTATTTTTGTGTTGTTAACCTCGTTGTTTTTAAGAGAAAAGCACTTGTTCAAATTAAAACATAAAAACTCAATAGAGATTAAAGATAATACGAATTTATATAGCTCTAGATAGCTTTTTAGACAGGGACAAAACAAATAAAAAAACTGCTAAATTAAGGTTATTTAATCATGTTGACTACTAGCAGAGGTGGAAGAAGTACCCAGATCTTGTACTTAAGTAAATGTACCAGAGTGTAGGAATACTCTTTTACAAGTAAAAGTACTGCAATCAAAATGTTACTCAAGTAAAAGAAGAAAAGCATTAGCATCAACATATACTTAAGGTACAATAGAAATACAAGTAGCCTACTGATTATGCAGATTGACTCATTTCAGAATAATTTGCATATGTTTCGATTCAAACTTTTGATGCATTAATGGGTTTTATCACAGCTGATAAAGGTGCAGCATGGTTTAATAACTTTGAATGCTGCAGGTTAACTTGTGAATTTACTTCAGGTCTAGCATACATGTAGCCTACAGTACAAAAATTACCTCTGAATTGTAGTGGAGAAGTACAAAGTAGTAAACATTGGAAAAACTCAAGTAAAGTACAAGTCCCTCAACATTTGACTAAAATACAGTAGGCCTACTTGAGTAAATCTACTTTACACCACTGACCACTGGGGAGGAGAGTAACAAAACAAACCGGCAGACATGGCAGCTAGCTGAGTTGTTGTGGCTAACAACTCACGTGTTGGCAAACACTACCTTCCCACACACAGAGACATGGAGCTACATTAGCATCTATTTGAGTCTCTGTCTGACTGACGTTACCTGACAAACGTAAGTTCAGTTTTAACGGTACCTCCTTTTTTTTATGTCCTCCAACTTCTGAGAAAGATGTCTTCGTCTTTTCTAGAATAGACATTTACCACCTGTCTTCACCAACTAGCGAACATAAGTCAATATTGACAGACGTAGTTTACACTAGCTAGCTAACGTTAGCTTGTTTGAATTAACTCCACCAACGAACTCCTGCTAACTGTTGCATCAGTAATGTAGTAGGATACTTTACTTCTGCTACGTAAGAACATTTGCTCTGCAATACAATGTGCTTTGGAGTCTCCAAAACACATTGTATAACTGTGGTAAATAGTCTCTGTTGCCAAATCCCTTTCCAAATTGGAGAATGATTTTGAATGTATCGCTTTATGGCAACTCGAAAATGCAGTATGTCACCGTGGTTTCACAATTGAAAGTGAAGCAACGCTCAGACTCAGCTATTCGAGAATTATGCAGCCTTTTAAACCAAAACAATTATCTACAAGAGGCCGAAAAGATAGATGATCAAGTAATTTGATTCAATTTTATGTGAGTATTTGAATGTAAGGGCAGAATATTTGTCCACTTGCAAAACACAAATATTATTCTTGTTATAGAATCATTTTGTTTAGGCAGCACAAAAGTAACAGAATAATTTATCCTCATCTATTGTCCCATAAAAACAATTTAGCAAGACCTTTTCATTTTACTATTTTTAAATACAGAGAAGCATCCTTTTAAAACACAGTGATGTGTGAATGTAGAGCAGAGTTTCCATTGAAGAGGACATTACATAAGAAGCACCAGTGCTGTAATCAGTGTCTGGCTGCTGTGCATCCTCTCTGTCATGACAGAGTCATGTGGCAGAGCATGTGCAGCAAATAAGAAACAAGAAAAAGGACGCCCACCTTCTCCTCCTGCAGCCAGCGCTTCAGCCATGGATAGTCCTGGATGAGTTGCTCATAGCTCAGGCAGTGCTTCACTGTAGTGGGTACGTTACCCATTCAAATGGCTGCTGTTCAGCCCTGCTGCACCTCTGTGTCCTCTGAGAATGACCTGCAGAGAATGCTGCAACTCATATAGTAAATGTAAGCGTTAGATCAATACGCTAATGCAGGCCTGGATGCCGGAGGGCCTAGCTGCAGGAGGAGATGGAATTAGAGGACGCTGCAGATGGACGGTGGAGGATGATTCAGCAGTTGCCATGGCAGCCACATCCCTACTAGGGAGGGGTTTATACAGAGGGGGATGGGGGGGGTGGACTGAGACTGCGGGAGAGGAGATGGTGTGCAAATGGAGCGATATGGGAGATTAGTTCTGCACTATAGTCTGGGAGTTCTTGTGTGAGCATGGGGATGATATATTATGTGCATCTAAAAAAAGAAATGCAGGTGCAGGGCAGAAAAAAAGAGTGCTTTCTTCACTGTGGAAACATTTTAACCAGAATTCACAAAAAAGTTGTATATCTTGGTTCAACAACAACATTTGATACACATTTGACTCCCTGTTCTAGTGAAGGTTTCAGGGAAACGGGCTGCTTTGATTGATCTCCTGTGACCTGAACAGTCGAAGGGTTTCCATTGCCAGACTTGCCACTGCTGCCAATGTCAACTGCATGGTGTAATAAAATCCCTTGTTAAGCCAGGGCAGCATTTACCAGAGAAAGAGCCATTCTTCTGAACCCAGATGTTAACAATAGAGGGGCTTTAATGAAGTCCTAGCATTCAGCCATCCCACCACGTGAAACTGCTCTGTGATGAGAGACCTCTACCTCTCTCTCAGGGGAGGAGGGCGACTCATATGATCAGCCATGAAAAAGGCTTTTTTGTAGCAGACTTCAAAGTTGATGTCTATCAGTTGCCACCCCCTAAAAATGGTGTATTGCCTCTAATCACCTATTCATGGCTCTCTGGAGGATAGAAAAAATAACAGTGCAGCAGATGTGAATGGTGGAATTTTGTAGAATTAAAGGTTTACATTTTATTTAGCTTTTTAGATTAAATAAAATCAATGCCGATTAATATTTCTGCGAAAGAATTATCAGAGGATTTTTCTATTGTTATATTTTCCTGAAAATCATAATAATAATGTCATGGTTTCTGTGGTTTGTGAGCCTTTAAACTCTTTCAGATGTCTGCAAATCTGTGCTTTAAATGTGTCAAAGCCCAAATAATAATGGAAACCGCATTTGCTGAAACATTGAGTTCATGCAAATTGTTTCTCTAGAAAGTCTCCTAGTGTACTGTACAGCGTTTACATGTTTACTCTACGTAGAACTTCAAAAGTATATGTTAAGAAATATAATATAATGAAACATTCCTAAGATCAGTTGTCATTTGTATTTGCAGTCTATTGTCAGAAAAATGATGACTTTTCCTTGAAAAGTAGTTTTTTCTATGGCTTTTTTTCAATAAATGATAACTGCATCAACCAATTAACCCTCACTGGCCTTTTACATTTCTACTTTCAAGGAAACTCGGCAGCTACGGTTTATCTTGACAAATGCCAGCTGCAGAGGGTCACTTTAAAGAACTGGCCTTCAGGGGCTTTCCTGCTTTTAGGAGTCAATGTAATGCAGGTGAGTGGAAACTTAAAGTCTATGATGGTATGTAAGTGGAGAAGGATTTGACATTTTACAAAGACATCGTATTATATAACAGGTCATCTGACATGTGTAAAAAATAAAGGAAAAAAGTACATTTTTCTGTAGTACATATTTAGGTTTTTATAAGAATAACAAATACAATTTAACTTAAACAGGTCTAATTTACAATGACATCTTTGAGTTGAAGTTGTTTTTATTTATTTAATCTCACTTTTAGAGTGTACACAGGACGGAAGATTAGGGCATTTTGCAATCAAATCCAATAAGGGATTGAATAGAACAGCATTAACAAATTATCCTACATCTCGACCCCACAAATCACTGCCATCATGTTCAATTTGTTCAGAGAATAAAGAGTCATGGTGTGAAGAAAAATGACGAATAAGTCTAATGATTAGCCACTGTCTAATAAAATATATGCACAAACCTAAAGAGGTTTCTACAGGTTAAACTCTAAAGGGACAATACTCTTTACGATTGTGTAGATTAGGCTAACAGATATTTCTTGACAGGAAAAAGGATGTCTCAGCGCTTGTTTGGAAGCTCTCTCCTGAGAACAATATATCTTAAACATGAGGATTTTGGAGACCAAGTACATGATGAATGCCTCAAAAGATTAAATACAACTCAAACAGTGTTGCTGAACTGGAACAGTTGTGTCTTAAAGAAAGAGACTATTCTGTTTTTTTTGTACTAAGAAACAGATGTGAAACACTGCTTTATAGGGTACAGGTTTCGGCAGGGCATGAAAGAGGTTTTAAGCTCTCTGGTACACTGAAAACAAAGTGGGAGAAAGAAAACAGGAACCAGATTAAATCAATTTTCATCCTCCATCCGTCTTCAATTTCTACATCATGGATTTAACTGGACTGTAACAACAAGAGAGTCCTGATGCTGGGTAAATAGCACATGATCATCACACTGAAAGCATTAATCATGACTGTGTTTTATAACCAGAACAATTTGAAGTGTTTGTTGGATATTACTGTATAGTTAGAATAATTCACAATCAGTCCTAAAGAAACACTCTGATGGTGTGGGATTGGAATTGAATCATATACCACATGCTGTACAAAAACAGCAAAGAATTAACACATATAAATAATCTTATGGAAGGAAAGACATCAGCCCCTCCATCTCGTTTCCATTATAATAAACTCAAGAGAAAAAAATGACCACAAACACCTTTTTTGTATAAAATGTAAAGCTTTGATAAAAATAGCAGCCTACCTTACAGATTCTTCAGGAAGGCTTTTCTGAGCCAACTTTCCACAGCTCTCCTCAGAGACAGCATGTGTGTTAAAGATTATCCTCACAGTAATCACACCACAGAGCGCCCCGTGGCTTCAGTCACAAAAGCCACTGACCTGTGTGTTGTGTCCACATGTGATCAGGACGGTGGAATACAATTGACTTTTCTCTGTACATGCAGAATAAAGTAACGCTGTGGCACCCGCCTGATCAAGCTAATGAACATTAATCTACATTTATTAAGGAGTGTGAGCACAACACAACACTTTAAAACCCACTAGTTAATAATCAGTTGGCTGTAATATATCCATATCATTCAATATGACATGCTACAGTACATTAATTTCGTTTTTTCTTGTCTGGAATATACCACTTGTCACAAAGACATTCGAGCGGATGTTTCTAAGCAGCCTGTGCAGATTTTTATATTGTACCGCAGAGGACTTCATGGCTGGATTACTGCTGCGACTGGATCATAAAGCATAGAGATTTCCGACAGTGTATCCGAATCCTTGGTGGAAGAAATTGAATTTCACAGTCAAATGTACAACAGCCAGACTTCACATGAGGTGGGTTAAATGGTGGCTGTTGACATCTCTATTTGAATTCTAAACACATGTATTATTCAATATTTTCATTGTGGTGTGGAACAATGAACAAGACAGCCAATCGTAAACAACTCACAACCTTCTTCTTAGTGTAGAACTGAGTATTGTTGGATTGCATTTTTAATACTTTCTCATCTTACTCTTTTTGAGCGTAATGTTTGTTTTACAATTAAACCAAAGAAGACAAAATGACACTTTGTTTATTGTTGAACTCAAACAGCCATTAAATATGGATATAATTAGGATCAAATTGGGATTTCAATCTTTAAGATAATAATTTAAAAGAAATTGTGACGTTTGCTTTTTAACTCAGTCTAAGCAGTCTACACTGTCTATAGAAAAACTGGACTGTAAATGGGGACATGACCCTGCACTGTACAAGATAAATACTGTATCACTGACAACACCAAACACATCATCCCTGTTTCCAAAAGCTTCATGTAGGAATGTGTGTAGTTGAGAAATAAAACACCTGAAAAAGAACCTTCAGATGTGCCAAATATTGTGTTAACATTAGTTTTTGCTAAGCAAGTCAAGTTCCACTTTTTTGAGACATTTACCCAATTGAAGTCCCTAAAACTAAAGAGACTTTGAAGTACAGATAGTATAGAAATATTGATTCGTTTTTTTGTGTAGAAACTGGTTTTAATAGAACGGGTAGAATAATTGTGCTCGGAAATGCCCTGGTTCTTCTCTGTTTTGGCAGCATTTTGAACATTAGCAAGAGGGCTTGTAAATCAGCACGATTATTACAGGATTTAGACATCCTTGACAAAACAGGTTAATATCCTGTGCATCTGTTTTGGTTTGTACTTTTCCTTTTAAACCTTTTTTTACACATGTTATGTGTTGTTTCTTTGACATAAATTGTAGATAGATGGGGGACAGGAGGACATAACTAACCTGCATAAAAAATAGACAACAGACATTGTTAGCATATCATGTCAGAGGCTTTCTGTTTCTCCTGAGACAAACCACAGAAGAAGAATACTAAAGAAAAGTTTATTCCGGATGGTCATGGGAAAACATGTTTCATAAATGCTGCACACAATGTAGAAAATGCAAAGCCCAACTTTAAAGATTTACTTTTAAAACAACAACCACAAGGTTTACAAAGTATCAGAAGTTTTAAATGTATACATTTAGAATATTCATGAAATCACCTAATGAAAGCATTGCTAATGAAATTCAGCCGTATTTGAATGCACGTGTTAAATCCACACTAAAAATACAGGATTTCAAAATAAAGAAAGGGTTTAAATGCGCAGGTGCCACCTCTAGTGCTAATGGGAAGTGACAGTTGACTTTACAAACAGGCTGTTGTAACGCTGAGAACCCAAAACCCTCTCCTCGCCGGCTGGGGAAGCTAATGTGCATATATGTGAATAACAAGCAAACACAACGGTGCTTCTGCGTTGCCCTCTGTCGGGACACATTCCTCGCCGGTCCTGCTGCAGCCTTGTCATACCAAACAACGTGTAAAAATGCGACCCATATGGTCTCCCTTCTCATGAGGGACTGATTGAGCTGTATGGAAGTCATGGCCCACCCACAGAACACAAATAAGGAGAACCATATGTGGGGAGATGAATAAGGTAAACTGCACAACATTTTTATTAGATACAATTTCACTTGCCTTGTGGATGGACTGCAAGGTGACACTTTGAAAATAAACTTTGAGCCTCAGAAAGAAAAAAAGGGCCTCCGGTTAAGCGAGGGTAAATCAATGAAACATGGATTTACTAAAGCAAAGAAACAATAACTATTTTGTTCTTGTTTTAGATTGACCAAAATTTGACCATTATAACCATTATGTCAATCATCTGACCCGTTTGCATTAGAGCAGATTGAACGCAAATTAAATATAACTAAAAGTGTGCCGTTACAGTCACTGGCACATTAAACTCCAGACTGAATAAATGTTTAGTTTCACAGTTTGTGTAAATCCAACATTTCTTACATGGACCGCTGACTTCATTTTATATATATTTGACAAATGTTCTCCTTTAACACACTTGTTTACAAAATGAAGAAAAATACTTTGGAAAAACTTTAAGTAAATCATTATGTGAAGTGTTCTACATGCCTGTGAAGCTTTTAACATTTAAGGAGATTTTGCCATGAAAAATACACATATGTTCAAAATAAAAAGAAGAGATAGCCCAAAAATAATAAGGAAATTCTTCCCCGTCATAATTTCTTAACATTTTTAGGATCAATGTCTTCCTTCAACTGTTGCTCATTGTGTGATTTGATACTATGAATCTTTTAAGTTTAAGCATATGTGTCTGAGGCATATATACACTAATTTAATCCTTATTGTATAAAGAACAGACTGCTTAATATTGTAGCCTGCATGAATTGATCTGTTAGGACATCTTCAGCAGAAGCAACTCTGAAGAAATCTGATGGTTTGGATTATTAAAAAAATGATAGCCAGCCAGCTCCAGCCTGCTAAGAGCTTCAAGATGATCTCTCCTCACTAGATATATAACTTTTGCTGAACAAAAGGGCGTGTTCTAAACAGCTGCTCACGTGGACGTATCTGTTTTCTCAATCAGGTTAAGATAATAAACATGTTTGTTGTAGAAGAAACATCCTAATATCAGCACCTGGAAACACATCCTGACATTACGTAACTTGGTCTCTCTAAAGCCAGCTAGATGTTGTGACACTCTATTAACCTGAGAGCATGATTCATGAATTATTCACTAGAGACCCTTCGTGAAGATGACCTTTTTCCAGCATGTTTCAGAAGTGGAAGTGCTGATCTGATGAATGTCAAGTCACCTCTGACTCACTGCTGCCTGTTTTTGACCACAGGGGTCTCAGAGGAGAAGGGGGCCGCTATATTAATCTGCCCTGAGTATGGCAATTGTTACTCTTTCCCTTTTATGTGGTCAGGAGGTTGATTTCGTGAGGGCTGTGTAGTTTAGGTGAACTCAAATAGGGGCTCATTCATAGCAGCTCCCGCGTAACAGAAAAGGAAGAAATGTAGCTGAATTGGAAAGAATCCACGATATTAAACAGTAGATGGGATTGTGAAGTGCTAGGAGTAATCATGCCAGGCAACAGGCCGCAGGAATGCAAATCATCCCTCAAGCCAGGAGTTAAGTTAGCAGGTGGCCTCCTCTATTCACCGAATGTCAACACTCCTTTAAGACGGAGCCCACGTAACATCTGGGCAGGCCAGCCACTGCTTTTAATTAAGTGAAATACAGTCACTCAATGTTCGGCCATGTCAGAGAGAAAAAATGTTATAGAAGTGGGAGGGTAAGGGGGAGAAAAGGTGCAACAGTACATATCCTGTGTTCAGTGAAGGTCAACACAGTTGTGTAAATAAATATTAATCCTTAACCTTATCCCTAGATTTCCAAGACTATTGAATAACCCCTCAGCTCTTCTCTGGATATTAGCACGTTCGTCCACATGTTTCTGGAAATTAAACTGACTGAGGAGGTAATGCAGCAAACACTCACTCACTCACTCACTTTGTTTCCAGGGGTGAATCTTAGCTCTTAGCAGATGGCAATATTTATAATACAAGTGAACAGAATATAGGCAAGCAGAGGTTGACATACACATCACATGCTCCAGGTGATGGATGGTATCTTTCCCCATAATCAGACATAGATTGCTTAGAAAATGATATATTTATACAGCTCCATTATAAGCCCCCTTTTGGGCTGTCTCTGCTCACACATTACCAGCAGCATTATCTCCCCCCAAGAGTATGTCAACAGGCTCCATGGGTGACCCCTAGTTTATATCATACTTGTCAAACATTTATAAATCTGAGACGTTAGTGTGTAAAATAGCGTGTAAAACATCCGCAGAACTCCAAACAAATACAAAAGGACAACTTGAATTTGAAAAGGCTGGAGGACTTGCAGCTGGAGGAGGGGGTTTAAATGTATTTCTAGATAGAGTTGAGGGTGATAAATGGAGCAAGACAAAAAGCTGTAAGGTCAAGTAAAGGCAGAGCAGAAGATAAATGTTCTCAAGTGGTACATTTATTCAAATACACTTAACACTCTACATAAAGATATACTTTCCCCAGACATAAAATAGAATCAGTGTGGAGTAAAGACGTTTACAGCTAGTCCACAGAGGAATGAGATAACAGTGTTTATGGAAGAGATTAACATAAACATTGTTTAAAAAATGACATAACTTGTAAAGCATTCATAAGTGAATGCTCAACATAATAAGAGATTCCAGACTTATATAATCTCCTCCTCTCCTACTAAAAACATTTGAAAAAAGTTGGCGTGGAAAACGTGAAACGGTATCAGTGCTGAAAGACAGTGGCAGCTTTAAAATAGCTTTGGGCAGTTTGGTTTAAACATTCACTATGTTTTTCCCAACCAAGTGAACCAATTTGATTTAAGATATTTCAAACAGTCGTTGTGATGTAAGTGCTAAAGCATCATGCTGTGCTGACATTAATCTGTACTTCTGGCCCATATTGAAAACAAAGGAGATAAATTAGCGTTGAAAAACAAAGCACATCATATACCATGTGTATTTCCAACTCGGTGATCATTTATAGAGCGTATTATAAAAGGGGGAAAACAAGCAGGAGGGGAAGTGCTCTCATGTATCATGATGACTCCAGTGAATAATTAACTCATAAAAGTTATACAGACGTCACTACGAGGGAGTATATGCCAACGGACACAAAAGTTAACTGATAACTGGCGTAAAGTAAAATCAACATGTCGTCCTAATCATTTAAATATGACGATATTCAGTGCTATTTAAAAAAAAAAAAAAAAAGAAGAAAATAAATTAGGTAATAAAAACTTTATATACATAATACTGTACATCACATCACACCTGCAGCAGATGTGTTTTCCAGCGATTCCCATACCAGATAGCATAAATTAAAGTTAGCCCTGCCACTAATGACAACCACAAGACCTAACTACCATATTTCTGTATTTCTTGAGGATGACATTTGAGCTGTCATCAAAGTAAAGCACTGATATTGCGTTGAGCTTTGTTGGGGCGCAGCATGGCTTTGGCACGTTGTCAGGAAACATTAAATGGACCTATAAATGAGAGCATAAAGTAGGTTTAAAAGAGGTGCGACAGCAGTGGGTTTCAAATGAATTATAACTGTTGAGAACATTATGGTGGCTTTTATTGCAACAGGCATATGCAATTCATTTGAAAGAATACTTACCAGGGTTTGCACAATTGCATGATTTGTAGCATTCATGTGTGCGTTGAGTGGAAAAGAACATTCCCCATCACAGTAAAAAGCAGCGTAGCCTTCAGGTGCTATGATCCAATCCTTAAAAAGAAGGGATTCCTTTATTTATGACACCTTATAACCGAACCAACGTGTATTGTCCATTGTGTAACTACCATTTGTTAGTGTTATGCTTTGTGACGGGAAATCATTTCCTACCTGCCAGCCCAAATCTCGAAAACTGACGTAAAGTTCATGCTTCTTACAGGCTTGCTTCTGTTCACTTGTGTTGACATCTGAAAATCAATAAATAAATAAAAGGGTATTCATAGCAAAAAAAGTAATGAATTATATATTTTGTTTGTGAACTGTCAGATGGTTTGCCCATACAAATTGTATTATTCATATTCAATATCTATTATATAGTGATACATTGGAAATATAGAAATGAATATCCTAAAAGTGCACGTACCTCCAGTTTTTGGTGCCCTGGATGACTCTTGTTGAGTAGTAGATTTATTGCGATTGTGGTTCTTTTTTTTCCCACCAGCCGCTCTGACAGAGCGAAGCAACACCCCACTGGCCTTGAAGAAAGCAACCAGGAAAGGCTGCTTGGACTGAGGCCCATTCCTCCCAATGATTCCACCAGATTTCATGTTGATGCTTCGCCCTGTAAAAAACAGAAGGTAAATTAAAAAGTTTTAAAATACAGAAGAATGGTCATTCTTGCAGGGTGAGTCTAGTGTCTTAATACATATTAGGACAAACCATTCATCTGTTTTGTGGATTTAAGGTCAAAATAATGCACAGATTCTCAACCATACAGGTCGCATTTCTCCTGATTTATTAGTTTTAGTTTTTTTATCAAAAGGAGAATTTGTGGATTACATTTCCTGACTTCCTGTCCTTTTCTAGATCCCAAGAGTAACAAATATAAGACTAACATTTTTTAAAACTGAACTTTACTTGCCATCTATAGTCTCCACACAGAGCTGCAGGCCCAGGTTCTGCTGTGGGTTCATCAACCAGTGGTTACTGGTGGCCGTGATGTCAAACACGAGCCAGCCCCCATCGGATGCCTGGACCCTTTTGGAGTCAAGCAAGAATGTCTCTGCATCTCTGAAGGTAATAAAAAACAATGAAACAAACATCTGCGATTAATAGACTCACAGTTAAAATGATGCTCACTCAAATAGCCAGTACAAACATGCAAGCAGCAACTGTTATTTCACAACGATCAACAACAAACAATTTAAATAGATAAGCTGCGAGTATGTTACTTATTAAGATGATCCTGCTTTTTAGAGTGCCAGTAAAATGATTGTGTCACTGCTGCATTATAAACAAATGACAAAACCTCAGTGCCTGTTACAGTGTGTTGAGCTCTAAAACAAATAAAACCTTGTTGTGCACATTCATGTTGCAAGGCTTTAATGGGACACACAAAAGAAACCATATGCTTCTTTGAGGGCATAAAAAACAGAGTCCAAAAGGTCTTAGGCTGGAACAGATAAACGAGGTATCACTGACTGATCACAAATGGATGCTTTAGCCCGAACACTGGAGCAGAAGACAAATATCTGAGTGGCTTTTATTAGTTCCTTCATCTCTTCCTCTTTCTGAAGTTCGTCTGTTGAAAGGCTGTCAGTATAAAAAACTGGTGATGGTATTTAAGACTTAATTTAGTTTTGAATGCCAGTTTTGTACTTGAGATGAAAAGATGCAGTCCTGCTATTGTTATAAAGGTTGTGACTTGTAATAAGCTGCACATTTGTGTGTGGTAAAAAGTATGCCAGGATTTCAGCTATTTGACAGGCAAATCATTTCAGGAGTTATGAATCATGTTAATCAGCCCTTGTGTATTTTTTAACATGAGCCTGACATAAGGCATCAATCAACCTTGAGTTGAAAAAGTCCTGCTTAGCAATTTGCATTGGATTCCTTTCAAGTGGCAGATCGGATAAGGCAGCGCCTGTTCAGTTTTTGTGGTTAAATGGCGCTGGTTGGACAGAATCAAGATTTTCCAGGTGGCCCCAATAGTTCAGGAATTATTCATGTGTTTACTACAGGTGTAATAAAACTCCACCTCATGTGGAATTCAACATAAGGTCAATAAGTGACTGAATGACATACTGGTGAACTTCCTTTTTGAAATGTACAGTATTAAGCTCATATCCTGTGATAATTTGAGTTTGTGTAGGTAAGAATTCACGTTTCCCACCGCCAAATCCAAAAGGAAAATGCTTATCCTGCCTTTTTATCTGTGATTACTGGATGTACTGTTCCACAGAGTGAGTCAAAGTCTGTGGATTTTAAGGATAGAGGCACTTAAGACAAGTCTTACTTCGGCAAATTATGTTCATGGCCACTATTCGCCATTAGCAATTTATGTTCAGCAGCAAAGTTCAGATCCAGTGCAGGACGTTGATATAGTGGAGTGGAAGAAGGTCAGGGTGGTGCGTAGGGCTTTAAGGGTACCCTGTGGATTGACCACAAGTACTGTAGATATATGAAGCAATATGTTATTTTTTGTGTTAATAAAACTCAAGGACAACTGTTTCCCCCATCGACAATCCGTAGCAAATTACAGTACCAAAGTCTTTTTGCAATGTCCTAACAACGAGAAAATAAAAATGATAGTAAATACTGTGGTTTCAAACTAAAATAGCTCTAGCTCTGCAGATGCTTTAAAAGGAAGGAAATGCATTAATTAAACCCAAATGATGAGGGAATTTAAACATGTTTGTTTGTGTAGAAAAACAACTATTGTGTCACTTTAACACAAAATCTTGACTTCATTATCATACTGTTTAGGACTAATAGTTTACATAGTTTTCTATTAAACAATTACTGTAAACATAACGGAAACAAAGTTATTTTTAAATGACTGTGGCTGGACTTGAACTGGGGACATTGCTATTGCTGTACATGCTCACTATCTTAAACTGTTAAGATACCATAACAAATAGGTTTTAATTTGCTTCTTAAACTTACTAACTACTTGCTAACTTTACCATATTGAGGTTTTTAAACAAATTAGCAGCAATCTATGTTTGTAAGCAGTATACATCTTCCTTCAAACTAATAGTATTCATATAGTTCATTGTGACTTTTATATGTTAAAGAAAAAACTCACATTCTCCAAAGCTGTTTCTAAGGTTTCTCGCACTGGGAAATAATCGTTCTTTGTGAACACTAATCAAAACATACTATTCCCCATGAAAGCGTGTGTGAAAACTTAGCCTGTGCAGTCTTCCCCTTTAAGATGGCAGAGTCCATTGACTTGGACCTTTTCAAAGCCCAGGAGGGCCATATCTCCCCTTCAATCACCCACACACATTTCTGGCAAGCAAATGTGGGCCCACTTTTAAGTACACCCTTGTGTATTCAGCTATGTCATGGTTTAAACTTCCGGAATATTGTTAAGCCAGGCAGGTGGTGGGCATAACAGTGACCACGGGAGCACCCGAGGGAGCCCCTTCCCCCCTATTGTGGGCCCTCATGGTTTCATCTGGGACGCAGCCAGTTTGGCAGGCAACACAAGACGAGTGATAAGTGATGGACCTTCCAAGCTTCATAAGTGGCCGACATGCTAATGGAGTTCTCTTTATCCGAGGACTATATTTGTAAGGCAGACATGGTGCGAATGAAGGAGAGCAGAGTTGGAGATAGAAGGGCGTTCTGTGCAAGTGGAAAGTTTTAACGGTGCAAGACAAAAGCTGTTGGACTGTATGGCTTTTTAACTGTGAAATAAGATAACTGCATGGGGTAAAAATACCCATCCGGCCCCTGCCAAAATGTAACTGAACTTAACTCTCTCTGTAGAATGCACTTCTTTAACGTTTTAACTTGTGGAAGTAAAGCTTATTTGAAGTACATTATATAGTGTTGGTAGTTTTTCTATATGAATGGATACTTACATGGAAAATACACATTATTAGTAACTTAGTACAACTTCATTGTCAGATAAATATAGAGTAGTAAAAAATACAATATTGTGTGTAATTAAAAACTAGCAGAAATGGAATTCCTCATACTGAATTGAAAGTTTCACAATCCACAACTGCCTTACATGTTTGTTTTTGGTTTATTCGATACTTACTTGTTTGGATACTCCTTGATGACTTGATATATGGTAACCTTCAGAGTACCATTGTCATAGCGGCTATGACTGCGGTCCTTATAGATCCGAAACTCTGCCGCAGTCACCGCCTCTCCGTCCGGGATCTGAGTCAGATCAAAACGGAACTCCTTGTAGTGCCGACGTTGGTGAGAAAAATCTTTATCTTTCTCCACTAGGAAAAGAAAACATTTTCATGATGAATTTCATTCTCACTGGCAGCAGAGCTCACACTTATCAAAAATATGACTTCAACTCCTGAACCGCTGCGTGCGTTTCTCTACAGAGGAAAATATGTCAGCATTAATGCACAGAAAAATTGTAATTTATCACATCTTCTTTTACATTCCAGGTCCAATCCAAACATTTTGACTACCAACAAAAGCACTTTCCAGTTCATTAAATCAGTCAACTGAATACAGGTAGCAGTTCCCAGACAGGCCCTCTACTGTGTGCCTAACTGCATTCTCTGGCCATGATGAATGGGCTGTCAGTTTAGAAAAACAGGCTGATTTCAATTAAAGACACTTTCGACTGCTCCTCAAGTGAGAGAAAAGACCAGACAGGATTCTTCAACGTCATGTAGCGTCTACTCTGACCTCATTTCTGACCTCATTCTGACCTCCTGTAGGTTTCATTCAGTGCGCTCAGAGTGTTTAATGACCCTAAACCTTTAAAACCAAATATAATTGGTATTAGAATATATATTTTTTTACCTGACATTTTATTTTAAGACTTAAAAACAAAGTAATTATCTTATATGTTGATGCATTAAATGTATTTATTTTTTTGTTGAGTTTTTCAAGGGGTTGTTTCTATTTTCATAGATAATGTCAATTATTAGGGCTTGGCCTAAAAAGTTAAACTGCCTCTCTGTGTCTACATTATGAACATACTGTGAATTTGTTATGATGCTCCGATTGAAGTGGCCGCTGATTGTCTCTCCTTCTGCCTAGTAGCAGGAAAATTGGCATGTGGCATATGTCTAAGGATTTTCTGACACTAGCAGTAATTTTATGCAGTACATTTCCCCGATATTTTATCGAGAGAGAACGCCTGTGGTTACTTAGCACAAACAGGTCAGAGGTCAGGCCTGACTTTTACCCACTGTGCGTGTTCCTTTATATTAGCCACAGGCAGTAATCTGAAGCAGAGGTGCCACTGACTGCATTAAACTTAAATAAAAAATGTAGAGCAAAGTGATTTCTTGATTCTTGTTGCATATGATTCAGCTTGCTTTACCAGGAGAGAATACATATAATTGTTTAAATAATGCATACCATTTTCAGTATCTAACTTCTTATTTATACACTGAAAGAAATTGTTACAGTAAGCATATTAAACTGCATGAAATGCCACATGGACGTTTCTAAAACAGTTGAGGTCAGTAGCTATATTTGAGTGTACTGTAATAAAGACAGAGCCCCATTGAACATTTCACTGACAGTCCCCAGAACGAGAGCAGAGCTTTCAAGGCTGACAGTGTACATGCCCTGCTATAGTGGTAAGTGGAAACAGATGGGCTCAGGCCAAGGTGAGGGATTACTTCCAACTACACAAATTCACTTTTACATGTTTTGTTCTAAATTTAAGAAAACTAAATCCTTAACACTACTAAACCAACATTGTCTTTAATATATTTCTGGTAAATATAAAAAATATATATATTTGTGATTGTGTATTGCTGCATCTTATTTCATTGTGTGAGTAACTTCCCATGTTGAATCATTATTATTTTAATTCTTACTTAAAAATGATAGATGTTACTTATAATATACATATGAACATTAAAGCCTCTGCTTTCTCTTAGCAACAGGATGTCAAGGAATAAAGGCATCAGTCAATATCACTCCCCTTTTAACAACAGGAAATCATTTAGACCAATTTTCTCAAGGTCAGACAGTCATCTGATAAGATGCTCTGAACTGCTGGGTTAAGGGTCGCTGCTACTGAACAAACACAATCATTATACAGATCAGCTGCTTTTTTAATGGAAAGCAGCACAAATTGGTAAAAGGTCAAAATGTTGGGCCTAATTCTGTTAAATACTGAGTATTTCACACAAGACTTAAGCAACTGAACTGACAGATTTTGAAAATACAATTACACATTTACATTTTGATGTAGACATAAAAAATGCCTAGAAATGTGCAACGAAGTAAACAACTGGATGTAATATTGTTTTATAAGAGAGCAGTTTATTTAAACACAATCTACATACGTCAGATTATTTTTGACAAAATTAATGAACTGTATGTGCTACTACCAAAGAGCAGAAAGGCCATCTACAAAGTCTATTAATACATAGAAATTGACTCTTAAAATAAATGGTTGGAGTATTTAATGCTGCAGAATTTTTTGTTTCTTGCCTAAACTTGAATGGAAAATATGCCCTAAATATAAGGCATTTTATCAAGGCCGCAGATCCATGTAAAAAGCCTATTATACCTTAATGATTTCCTTTTACAGCGAAATGAATGAAGATGGAGAACAATACGAGTTGGAGATGGAGTTTTTAAAAACTTTGAGATCTCACTAAATAAGATTGAAACCTGGCCTACATTATAAAGTCGGTTCATATCTATTTAAGGAAACCTGAAAATACAATACCCAGTTTAATGCCACTTACCTAAATTGACAAAACTCATAACCATGTCGGCATCATTGAGAAAGTTGGTGTCGTGCGCCGTGGTGAGCGCGGGGCTGTGGCCTAACAGAGGGGCCGCTCGGTAAGGCTGTGCCACACGGGAGAACCCGGCATGCTGGGGGCTGTAGTACGCTTTCCTGGAGTGCCCTTGAGCCTTGGCACTGAAGCTCTTCCCTGCGCCCTGCAGCACCCCCTCCTCCTCCTCCACGGCCATGGCGTTGTACAGGTCGAGCATGAAGAGCGGCGCCGAGGACGCCTGCTTCCCGGGAGAGAAGGGCCTCGGACGGTGAGGCAAGCCCAGGATGGAGAGGATCTCTCTCTGAATCTCCCGGCGTTCGTGATTGCGCAATCTCCTGTAAATAAAACTGGAGTGCACATGGTTGTCACTTAACCCGCACTGAGCGCAGTACAGAAAACTCAAGCAGCTCCACGCGAGTCCAAGTACAGCACGGTTCAGAGGTGTAAGCGCTGTCATCTTGACAAATAGTTCACTTTGGGGTGTGAAGTTGAACTACATCGCACTTTGTGAGAAAAATAAAATGATTTATATTCCTGCCAATATGGAATCATAGACTTTCCATATTAGACAGAGGCACCACAACTCTCACGGTGGTACTAAGGAGGTCAGCCTTCTACAAATGAGGTATCGGCTTGCAGAAAAGTCGCCGCTCCTCTCCTATGTGCGAGCTTCCTCCAGCAGTATTTACTCCTCCAGGGTCCATCCAAATCCTCTGCCACACCAAGTATTTATGGAGCTATGACCCCGTCCCTCACCTTACTCCTCTGTGATGCAGAAGCACGTAGGTACGCCCATAACGTCGAGGGATAACCCGGAGTTTCCAGCGGATGAAATGTGTCAAAAATGAGCTCCACTCATGCTCCTACTCGCATTTTTCTTTTCTTTTTTCTTTCTCCCCCTGAGAGAAAGTGCACTGGGGCTGGTTGCCCTCTGAGTCCATCCCACACTCAACTTTTGTTTTTGCATCCACCTCTAGCGGCAGCAATAAAACTTCAGCCCGGTCCCATGATGAATGTGGCGGCTCAGGAGTGTAAAAGGAGACACTTGAAATCCGAGAGCCCGTCTTAACGAGTGAAAGAATAATGACAGAGCCTTTTAATCACCTCAACTTATTGAAGTCCCGTGTTTATGGGACAGCACTGCAACTTCATTCTCCACCAACAATAAGGATCCTGTTTTGTATTTCTGTATGGCTTTAAACATTATCTCCTATGCTGTTCATTATTATTTTTATTAAAAGCACAAACAAACACGTAGGCCAGCTTGTATTTTGTTTCACTTCAAATTATACATCATTTCCATTTAGGAAAACATCAGCTTTGACATAAAAAATAAACACAGAGGTTAATACTGCAAATCAGTATTAAGAGCATTAGACTCTCCACAGACTAAACTAATTTAAATCTCTGTAATTATAAAAAAAAAAAACACCCCAAACAGTAGTATGGAAAGAAAAGTTAATTTAACGCAAAGAGCATATAGCTCTGTTCTCAGAGGAGAACTAAGTAAACAGCATGTTGAAGGAAGTATGCTGGGATAATTAAAAACATAAATACTCAGTGATGGGTGGCTGCTGTCCAAAATGAAAAAAAAGGAAGCCCCCTTCTTAGGTAGAGTAAAACTCCTGAATATGCTGGGATGTTACCACATAGCTCCACCTAGTGTTCAAAGCACTTCAATTAATATTCCTGAAGTCTCTAACGCACACATGCCGCCCACAGAAGCTTTCTAGCTGCACGTATTCAAGTTTCCAGTGCCCTGTCCTTAGATGAGAACCAATGTGATGGACCTCTTTTTTTGTTCCACTTATCTTACTTGTTTGAGGCTGTAGTTAAAATGGAACATCCAGTCGAAACACCCCATAAAGCTGAACAAAATATAAAAACCAAACTATGTTCAAAAATCATTATGATGTTTTACTTCTAGAAAAAGAAGTTCATACAAAATCACCATAACACAAAATAATACAATTACAAAAGCTTTTTAAGACATGTCAATGTAGAAATACACAGTTACGTCTCTTTTTATAAATAACAATAAAATACCTGCTACAGTAATGTAAGGTAAGCTTCGGAAACATAAACAACAACAAATTTCAACGTAAAATGTTGGCATGCTCTGTGGCGATGACACGTTTTACTTCCTAAATGGAATAAAAGGACATTTAAATGAGTGATATGGGGAAAAGTATTCATTCATCTCGGGTGATACACAATATTAACTGTTATAAAAGGTTTTCCTAAAGGCTGAAGTCCTTAACAGTCACACTGAATGCTTTAGCAACACAGGTAGCTCACACTCAGCTACAGGAAATCACAGTCTTGAAACATGCCAATTACACATCATTTATGGGCAATTCATTCACTGAACATGGAATTTGTAGATCATAGAGGTTGTGTGGTTTTTTAACAGAAGATGTATGTGGTATGTGTGGTAAAAATGTAGAGAGCAACATACAATGAAGCAACACTAGGGGGCAATATGGGAAATGCACCAAGCACACTGCTTAGAGACAGATTCAGTCAGACATGAAGTGGACGGTGGTCAGATGAGAGGTTTTAGATGGAGGAGCCAATTATTAATTATCTTAACACCAAAAAAAGCATCTTGAAATACATGGGAATAATAAAGCCAGAAAATGTGATAAGATCTAGTTCTTTTGACTGTCTGAGATCACAGAAAAGGTGTTAGCAGAGGTCCGTTTTGTTTCCGTGATAGAGAAACTGTAATCATGAGATCTTCCTGAGAATGACTGTTCTACATCAGCTGGAGACTGTCGCCTGCAGTGACGCTGCATCACGTCAATAGTTTGGCCCTTTGCCGTAAGGATTCCGCCTCATCATGCTACCATAGCACATGGATGGATCACACACCCCAGGCTGACCGGGGATGCCAGGATTACCACTTTTGCCCTCTGCTCCGTTCAGACCAGGAGATGCAGTCTCACCCGGAGTACCTGGCTTACCGTACCCATGGGGACCCATTGGACCTGTAAAATAAAAAATACTAAGCTATTATCAGTTCAACAAAACAGTACACAGTGGTAAAAAAAAAGAGTGAATAATCAGCCACAGGATTTACCTGGAGGCCCTGGTGGCCCTTGGTCTCCATTGGTGGTTCGACCCGGGCTCCCTTTCTCACCCTTATAACCTTGTTCTCCTGCAACAGAAGTGAACCTGTTTAAGCATCCTGCAAAACAGCTCTAATCGCACTGTAGACTTTGGCACTGGTTGTACCTTTCAACCCATTAAGACCAAGGTGCCCTGGCCGACCAGGGTGGCCTAGCTGTCCCCTGGAGCCACTAAGACCAGAAGGACCCCGGAGTCCCTGGAGCCCAGTTGGCCCTGGAGGACCAGGAGATCCAGGCCGGCTTTGACATCTTGTACAGCTACTCTGCTTCTTGCTCACCATTAATATAGGCAGCTCAGCTATGATTGACAATGAAAACAAAAATATTTATGACGTGATGAAACACACAGCAATATATCATCTGTCAATGATGATACTCACACTGAAGGATCTCTCTGCAGATTTGCCGAATGTGATTGTCCGACATTTGACTTGCCTTGAGTATTGATCAGACCATTACATTATGTTAGTCATAATCAGATAAAACATCAGAATACAAATACACATTGGAGAGTAAAGTTAGCACAAGTTGTAGCACACATACAGGTCTTCCTTCAGGTCCTGGTGGGCCAGCTGGACCACTGTCCCCTGGCAGCCCTCTGGCGCCGGGTAGGCCCGACTGGCCTGATTGTCCGGGCCGTCCCACATGACCTTCTTGACCTCTCTGCCCAGCATCTCCTGTTGTCCCTTTCTGGCAAAAATACCACCCCAGGGTTAGCAATACTAACAATAATTCAGTTTGGATGGAGGTACAGTTAATAAAGCAATCAGCCCAACATACCTCTCCTTTAAGTCCCATTGAACCAGTGGAGCCCTGTCAATGAAAGTATTCATTAATTAAAACATAGAAAACATTCAAGAGAGCACAAGGCTGGACAATTTTTATTTTATTTATAATAACAGAAACTCAGATTATAGTTAAAAAAAGACATTAAATGATCAGTGGTAACATCTTGTGAATTTTTGGAGAAAGCCTAAATCTTGGAAATACAATGGTTTAAATGTGTAGCATGTCAGACTGACCACTGAGTATGTGTCAAGCCATTGTAGCCCTACCATAGGCTTAATGGCATCACATTGTGCGGTATCACTCTGATGTGTACCAATGTCATCCAAATGCAGTTACAGTTTCACCTGCATGTGCTCGCAATTATGTGAATTAATTTCAAATAGGCCATGATTTAAATAATTTGACAACAAGAAATTGTGGAAAAGAGTCATTACAAATGAGGAGTCGTGAAAAAATATATTGTTAATGTCCTGTCCTTTATATCCTGTATTGATAGATTAGATTTGTTTTGAACCAACTCCAACTACCAAAAAATAAGGCTGCTTAGCCTCATGGTTGGGGAGTAATGAGTTAAGATTTAAAGTGCTTGCCCTAAACATGGCCACATGGTGGCACTATCCACATATAAAACGTAGTCACAGTTTTGAACTTTCCTCCTCTGACAGAGAAAAGATTCATGGTCCATTCTTGAGGCCAATTTTTTATATATTGTTCAAGTTAATCTTAATTTGCACCAAATGAAAAGAAAACAATTTAAAGAACAAATTAATTAAAATGTCCTATAAAATAGGGTAATTTTATAATACATTTTCACACTAGTTTGGTCCATTTGTTGAACGTTTTTGTAACACAACAAAGCTGATTGAAGAAACTCACGGGTTCCCCTGGCCGACCCTGCTCTCCTTTTCCACCGGTAATTCCCTGGTGAGAAAACCATTAGACCAACGTCATGATACCATCTATAATCAGTCAAGCACAAGCCTGAACTGTGTGCAGCTTATGGTTTTGTAGACGGTATAGAAGGTAAACATATCAATTCAAAACATGATTGATGTAAAGTATGTACTATTTATGGGTAATAATGTCTTTTGAATGAAACACATTATTGCCCAGTAGACATACATATGATTACACTTCCCTGTTGCACCCTCAAGGTGATATAGGTGTCATTAAAAAAAAGAATCCAGTTTATCTTAATGTAGAAAAACCATTCTGAAAGTCAACAGAATGGCAAACGTTCTATCAAACATCCAAAAAACATATTGCTTTCCCAAACCATAATAAATATGTGAAAAGAAAGACTATATTTACACTGGTTTATAAACACTCATGTAATAGAATATGTTCCTCCACTAATAGAGGGATGCTTATTATAGACAATTATTTGATAAATTCCTCACTGTGATTGTAATGCACTGAAGTCCTTTTCCAAAACCCAATAGTGATAAAGTGAATTACTATTTAGATTAGCATTACATAGATCAACATGATCATAGTACGATCTGCTTGGGTGACTAATCTGAATATATCTTGAATCTTACCGCCTGTCCTCTGTCACCTGCACTTCCTCTTTGACCCTGAAAAAATAAAAGGACATGGATATTTTATACTACGTTTTCTGGAAGAGTTAACAAACACAAGTGAAATACAGTCAACATTACAATATATCACCACAATAATTCCATATAGTTCATTACACAATACTTCTCACATCTGGCTTATATTTTATACAAATATAAAAAAGTTATTACAATTCTGGGTTGAAAACTAACTGCTGAAATGTGTGGCAAACTGATGCTTATAATTGAATATCAGTCAAATATACTGCATGTTTGACGAGACTGGGTTAACCCAGACCAGTAAACATTTACTTTACAAATTATGAATCCTCTTTGTCATAAATGATGTACCTAAAAAAAGGTTTCAACAGGATTAATAAGGATAGACGACAGTGTCACAACACTCACAGAAAAAAGTATGTAAAAATACCTTGCTGCCCATGAGGCCTGGCATGCCGGGGTGTCCCAGCTGCCCTGCTCTCCCCGGTTCTCCTGCGCTCCCCTGTAACAGTGTGACATTTAACACCAATCATTAAACATAACAACACCTTTATTTATAAACTGCAGCACATAAAACTTCGATTCAATAAATGATAACAGTATTTTAAATCAGACATAAAGCCAACTGGTTCATGTTACATTATTTAAATGGAAACATACCACAGGCCCTGGTGTTCCTTGTATACCTGGACTTCCACTTTCACCCTTATTCCCCTAGATTAAAACATAAACATGTCTTTATGTTACAGAAATACAATGTAAGAACATCCAAAACACATCAATTCACTGACTGGACTGCTGTTCTTTTTGTCATTATTCATCATCATTGATGTGTGTTTTACTTTCACAATGCTTTGGTGAGTTGCAGTCTGACGTTCAATTATGTCTAAGCGTGTGCTTTCTTTTCCAGTTGAACAAGCCTCTGTAATTGCAGTCTGAATCTCTGCCATAAAATCAAAGTATTGCCTGGCTGTCCATAAACTAGCTTTTCACTTATGTGCCATTTACCAATACACATTGGCTTTTTAAACCCGGAGCAGCTAATGAAAAGTGATTAGGAGACAGAGCGCCCAGACCAGACAGGCCCAGACAGGCCCAGACTGCTTACATTTCTACTAAAATTCCACTGACGAAAGCAGTAAGACCGGATCATCGCTTAATTTAGCTCTGCCGGTGTGGCCAAGAGATCGTTACTTGTGCTAAAGTGTATTTCAAAAAAATATAGACCAAACAAAACATGCAATGCTGCTGACCCAACTTCTTTATATGCATTTCAACCAACTCGGCTCCAAAGAAGTGGATTTTTCCTAGTGATGCTATCCACTGCTTTTATGGCTTGGGAATCTTATGTCATATAATGCTACACTTATCCATATTTTTTGGCAGCTGTTTAACTATACTATATTGGGCTTGGACTCAACTAAAATCATGACATATCTCGGCATGCAGCTTGTCGGTTCTTAATGCCAGCTGGTGTGGATTGATCTGCAGTATTGTCTTTTCTTGGCGCTCATTGCCCCAGGGATGCAGAGGGGGATAAACTACTCACATTATATTTAGTCCATTTTAAATACTTTTTTCAATGGTTTTGATGACTGTCGGAGGGATGAAAGTCAGTGATTGTTCATTGTGGCTTTGTGTCACTCAAAGTAAAGCTGTTTGAAAGACCTCAAAGGGGATTTTCTAACAAATATACATGATTACCTTAGGTCCAATTGGTCCTTTTAAACCAGGTGCACCAGGTAAACCCATTTCACCCTACAGGAGAGGAGAGAATAGCTTTGGTAACTTTCAGATTCAATATGAACTCTTTGGTGTACACAAGAATAGTCCAAAAAGATTTGTAACTTACAGAAGGTCCAGTAGATCCGCTGAAGCCCCTGGATCCAGGCAAACCAGCTTCCCCCTTCAATGAAAATCATAGTCAAACATGAGAAGAGAGAGGATGCAAAACAATTTGTTTATCTTATTTCCGCATACATTAGGTACAGGAACTCACCTTTTGTCCATTTAAGCCTGCAATTCCTGGCAATCCAGGCATACCCTGGTAGCAATAAAACACATTAGGCTACTGTATCGCATATCAATATATTCAAGATTTAAAAAAAGATGTCTCAGAATCTGATATGATACTAAAAACGGTATGCATGACCACAGGTTTCTAGTTCATTCTTTTTCATAGTAATATAATTGCTTTCATGTGTCAGTAACAATTGTTAAAGCACTATTTCAAAGCTTACGACCTTTAGATATAAATCTAATGCAAATAAACTGTCCATATGTTTTATTTGCTGATAAATGCAATAATATAAAAAGTAGTTGCTCTTGCCTGTAGGGGAAAAAAAGGAATAGGGATCTAAATGTAGAATTTAATGGTTTAATACACTCAAAATTGATGTGTTTCACAACATGCAACAGAGCTACCCTGGGAAGTTTTGTGTTTTGACATTATTTTCCTCTGAGATAAATGCTTGCAGATGCTTAGAGGTTGCCTCAGACTGAAGTTTGAGTAACATATGTTCTTAGTCAATACATTTGACAGGCAGGCGGGGAGACAGAAATGTACTGTGAGCCACCCAGACACTAGAACTATACTGTAGATGAGGAAATCCCCGTCTTGGGGCCACACTTTAGCGCTAACTTCATCTTGTTTTAACTTGAGTAGCTACACTGCTAATCTCCATGGATACATTATGACTCTATTGTTCTGGTAAGGAGAAAAGGCTACAGGCTTGTGGAGCAAGTGACTCATCTTTTGTGGACCCAACACAAACTTTTGGATAACACTAATAGTCATGATCAGTGGGGAAGCTGCCCGGTTGAAACACTTTCTTCCTAAAACAGATTTACAGCATTCCCTCGCTGAGTTACTTTTTCTGCCTTACTTTATAGCTGGAGCCCTCTTGTTGCATAACAGGGTTATCCTGGGATGAACTACAGGGGAAATACCCCCTAATTTACTGGCTGTCAGGGGTATTCTCTATACTGCTGACAGTATTTTTAACACAAAGCGGTACTACAATAATGCACGTTATGCATTCAAATCTGCATGATCCATAAAATCAGGTCTTCTACGGTATTTGCTTTTTTTAATCTTCCGTAAATGAGAGTATAATTTTATGTCAGCTTCAATTAGTAAACCTTGATGTAATTACCACGTACATAAAGCTCCCCTATTCCTTCCTTCTTATTAATCTGACAATTATTTCATATTTCATACATGCACAATTTTCATCAAAACCTACATTTCCTCAAGTCAGAGCCAAGATTTATCAGCTCAAACCAATAACAAATGTGCACCATTTTTTTTACAACTCACTGGATGGCCTTCCCTTCCATCAACACCAGGTATCCCACCAGTTCCAGCTTCTCCCTTAAAACAAAAAAGCAAAAACATTATAAATACATAACATTCTAATCGAATTTAGTTTAGTTTCACCCTTAATTTGAAACATCACAAACATCATTGGCTCATATTTTTACATGCCATGTTGGATTCATTAAATAGGCATGAATCTAAACTCTGATGTGTACACAAGTCAAATGGGGTTGGGAAAAGACGAGGGAGACACCAGGACTGTATGACTCCATTTCCATGGTTGCCAAACATCAACAATACATCACTTGGGAACAGCAAAGTCTTTTAATGTGCAGCTTAGCCAACCTCATGCCTCCATTATTCTCATAATCCCTTAATGAGCTTTTTAACATTCTTCAATTTCAAAACAAGCAGACCTTTTGACCATGTTTCCCTGGAAATCCGTCCTTTCCATTTCTTCCAGGTAGACCCTGAAACCAGAGAAAACAAATGTACAAGACTATAGCGGCACATGAGCTTTAGATTCGATTTGAATTGTTTTATACATACAGGTTCTCCTAGAAAACCTGGCGGCCCAGGAGGTCCCGAACTTCCCTTTTCTCCCTGGAAACATCATGCCATCAAGTTGATTTATATTCTTATATTTCTTGTGTAATTTGTATTAGCCATTAGAATTGTTTGAACCCTTACCAGTTGCCCAGCTTTTCCAGGTAACCCTGCAATTCCTGTTAATCCTATTGAACCCTGGAAAACAGTCAAAAGATTTGGCAAGAATATTAGACAAAATCATCCATGTTTCTCAGAAAGATAGTTACACTGTACCGCTTGGGAAATAAGCACGTCATAGACCCATTGTGAAGTCTAGTCACAATTATGCAGTCAACGTTAGTCAGCAGTGGTTTTGTTTTTCTGGGATAGACACTGAATTTAACAACTATTTGGCCTAGAACTTTGGGGAATGACAAGTTAAACTGCATCAGGCATTGTTAAGATTGCACTGGTCGACCTAAAACTAGACGTGAGGAACGTGTCTGTTGAATGGTCCCAGACCTTGGAAGGATCCCTCTCTGCAATTTCACATTTTCACTAGAAAGGACAGCACTTGGAAACAAAGCGCGAGATAGCATCATTTATTTTCAGATTTTGCTTTCCATCAACCAAAAATATGTGTATACGAAAATACGTTTTAGTCAAAGGTTTCAACAGTTACTTTCTTTAAGTTTGAGCTGAGTTCAACTTTCGGTTTACAAACAGGAAGCGGTAACATGACAAAGGATTTATGCCTTTGTCCAAGTTGTGCAGTAAAGGCACCATCATGGAAGCCAACTGGTAGTGCTTGAATTGTCTTTATGCCCCGTTAAGTGTGGGATTGTGTTGGCAGCACTTTGTTTGATGCTATGGAGCATTAAACATGGGCAGCTGCTAGCATAGGTAGTGGGCGGTGGTGGCGTAGTCGATAGGGACTTGGGTTGGCAACTGGAAGGTCATCAGTTCGAGTCCCGGCAAGACCAAGTGCTACCGAGGTGTCCCTGAGCAAGGCACCATTCCCTACACTGCTCCCCAGGTGCCGGACATAATGGCAGCACACTGCTCCTAACACTAGGATGGGTCAAATGCAGAGGAACAATTTCGTTACATAGTACCTGTACTGTGAAATGACAAAAAGAGCAATTTATTTATTATTATTTATGTAAGCAATGGCTGGTATGTTTTAATCTTGGGTGTGCAGGAAATATGCAAGTAAGAGCTTTCACATACTCCCAAAGCTCAACTGTGAGTTTCTTAATAGGAATGCAGATTTCAGGAAAAAAAAGATTGTAGTTACATTGTTGATGACCTACAGAGAACATTAGCAAAGACTAGATGGAGACAACCTAAGCATTGTTCCTTCTAAGGTCATGAACGACTGTGGTAAAGAACAAGTAACGCAGACTGAATACACAAACATAGCCATTCCTTTTTTTGTACTTTGCCATGAAAGAAGTGATGGAAATTCACTAGCAGTCCACCCCCTCTAGGTGCTCACCTCTTTCATGATGCCATTACACTAATGAAATATCCAATTATGAGATTTTTTAAAAGCGCTTCGGCAGAACATTAAACATGATGATAGTTAAATCCTAAGAGCACTACAGGAAGCAGGGAAACATATATAGTAAATCCTACTGACATTAGGTAATGCAGTGCTCTGTATTTTATTTGTGTTGCCAAAATCCAAAGTATTTTACCTAATCAAAGAAAGTTGAGAAGACAGTCAAGGCACTATTAAACACTTAATTTGATGCATCCTGGACCTGTGAGTAACACTCAAACAATGGGGCAGATGTTACGGGAGGATTCGCTCCAGGTGCAGACAGCTGAGACCATTTTCAAAATGACATTTACTGCTTGACTTGTTGTCCACTTCATCCAACTGGCAGGAACCTCCTGTGGTCACACTGATTACAAGGTAGGATGATTTGAAAGAGAGGATATAGAGAGGATGCATTACCCAATTCAAAATACCATTAATGGCAAAACGTTAACAGCTATCAAAGCAATACAATAAATACATAAAGCTGTGGAACTGTCCGGTTTATGTTCCAGTCTGCCGTGGTTGTTGTTGAGGCCTTCAATGGTAAAATGCTGGATGATTTGTGCACTGCTTGCCTTTGTTTTACTCTCCCGGAGAATATGGTTTTATATTTATAACATATGGTCTCTAGCGTGATTGATGTGACGTTGTTCAAACGATTCAAGTTAATGTGTCTAGCAGGGATATCCTGTCAATCCAATATTTGATCTCATCAAAAAAGACAAGTTACCTTGATGATTCAATCTATATTTGTATTTTAACCATCACTTGTTTTTTCAACGGATATCTTTTTTAAACCCAAGAATACAGTATATTGAACAACATATGTATAGCGTATTATCGAGTACTAAGAATACTGATCATCCCCACCTTCTTTCCTTGTTGTCCAGGCAGTCCTTGTAATCCAGACACACCTCTCTCCCCCTAACAAAACAGAGTTAGGTTATAAAATTGTTGTTGGTTGTCAAATATTGTGCAACAGATTAATTCCAAAATCTATTGGGCCACAATGTGATGTTTGACCTTCCTACCGAAACACCTGGCCTTCCTTGCTCGCCTTTGTACCCATCTGACCCACGAGCACCCTGAGCGGAGTAACCAAAAACAAAGTAAACCAGCTTTAAATACTGTACTCTGGATGCTGAATTTAATGTTCGGGCAAGTTTTTCATTACCTCTACTCCTGTTGGACCTGGTAGCCCTGTACTTCCTCTAATCCCGGGGATACCCTTCAAACAAAAAAAGACAAGAGATACTCACAATTGGTTAAACATTTGAACCCCCTTAACTGTGTGTATTTTCTCTAAGTGATTCTATGCTGCAGGGTAGGTTTTTGATCATGCTCTAGAACATGTGGTTCACTTTTGGATGGTTTTCATCACACAAAATCACTGCTGTGCTTCCTCCAGTGGTATAATCAGACATGTTTTCTATTTACCCATTGGAAGAATAACTATATTTACGTATGGAGCGGTTTTAACCACATAGGATTAACGAGCAGAAACTGTCAGGATTTAATGACTTAATTGGTATGGGTATTTTCTCAGATGCTGATGTGGATGCCGCTATGATTGTGTTTTTGGCGGTTATGATCTGTATGTTTGTATATTGAACTATGTAGTACTCACAGGCTTACCATCAGCACCAGCAGGTCCAGGCTGACCAGCTTTGCCAGAGTTTCCTTGTTCCCCCTAAAGAAAGTGGAATGAGGTCATTTTCATCGTGCAATCTTAAAGCAGCAAAATGGATCCATTTTGAAACATATCTGGTAACAATATGCCTTCTCTGGCACAGATTGTCGATTTAATTTATAATTTTGAACAAAGCTGAGTTGTTTTATCTAATGTAAGATGCTCTTGAACACATTGCGGGTCATAAGGAACATCTGCAAGCCTGCCATGGTCTCAGCATTTTGGATCTATTAGTAAATGTTGTAAAACCTGGTTGTGACACTATAAACACAAACATGCCTGAAACCATTTAGGTTTTATTAACAAAGAGTCTTGTTGCTGAGGTAATATCTCTCTAAGGTCTGTGTGTAAAGTTTTTTATGACCGGGGCTGCCATTATTTGGTTGATACACCGCGATCAATAAAGGGAAACATGTAGGTTTTATACCCCATTTGGGTAATTTTCCATTCAAACCAGTGTTTATCCCAAGCAAAGGCCTGGTTTGCTTCAAGCAAACAGCTTGTTAGGATCTTACAAGGCTAACCATAACTTCCTCACAATGGCTAGCCGCAATTTGCCTTACTTTAGAAAAGAGGCTATTATGTGCGTCCATCATTTGTATTTTTCAGCAGGTAACTGTGTATTTAGGAGATAAAAGTGCCAAAACCCCCCAAACCGCACAGTTTCTGGCATCCAGGACATCTATGTTTACAGGCTGTAATGACTGCAGTTACATTTGATCTACTGTATTGGAAAAATGTAACCTCACGGGTTCATCACGTAGACTTATCAGACACAGAGAGCAGCATTTAGACATCAGCACACATTCCCTCAAAGCTGAGCTGTGAGGCAGAGAAGGTTTGTGCGCTGTTTTTTAACAAAAGCCATCTTGTCTCCTTTATCTCCTAAGATAACCCATAAACCATAACTGTTAAAGATTATATGATTTCAACAGAAAACAGTTTCAGTAAACATTTAACCAACTGTATGAACACTGAGGACAAAGGGCTCTGTGCTAAACCAAGAACAGACTGTCTCTGCATGCCTTTCTGCAGGCTAATTTTGCTTGTAATCTGGTTTTCAGTGTAGCAGTATGTGCTGCATATGGAACAAGCAAAAATACAAAGAATGACAAATATTATAAAAAGAACAATGTCTTTTCAAAAGACCTTTATTCCTGGTGTTCCAGGGGATCCAGGAGGACAAACACAAGGTTCCTGAGTTGGTTCAACGTCATCGGGAGTGTAGCACTGCAATGAATAAAGACCAGGTATTGTGCGCACGTACAGAATGATACATATTAGAGGTTAAATGATGAGTATAATAATATATAGCCTTGTGTTTTGGACTATTGGTTCATGATTTAGAAAATGAGCGACCTGTTAATTCATGTTCAAATGTTTGTGTTGGTCACAAAATCCAATACTGAAACTTGAACTCATTATTGCGTTCAAATAAAAATAATATATGTACTATATTACAACAAAAATGTACCTAACTTGCCGTGTTCAACACACTGCATCTACATTTTAGGTCTCTGCTTACATTTTCATAGTTTAATCTCACTCAAGAAAATACTTCCTGATATCAGGCAGTTTCTACATCAAAAGGAAATTGATGAATTAATTACATTGCAAATAAGCCATTCAAAATCACACAGAGAGAGAAGAAAGAAGCGGTGTTATACTTGGCAAGCATTTCAGGCTACTCATCTTTTCTCTTTTGATATTTTTATCTCACATCATCACAGTAAAAGCAGTAATTCATTTGGCGCTGGCTCTTTGGATGTAGCAATTTCAACACCAGAATAATGCTTCACAAACACAGTTAGAGCCAGCAGACATTAAAAAAAAGTACTGAGTGCAAAATGTTTGAACCTGATCCATGCATCTTCTTCCAACAAATTGTTATGCATCAACAGATGTGACTTAAATTGATATGCTGAGTGTACACTTCCACTACACAATACTACAGTACACTGCTGCTGAGAAACATTAAGCAAGAAAATAATTTCATGACATGCAGTTTGAGATGTGCAGTGAAATGAAGTGCTTGGAAACAGAAGCAGATGTAGTTGGACAAGATGCGAAGTAGGTGAGAATAAGTTATCTTTGTTGCTTTTGGACCGAAACACATGTTCAGTGCCAAGCAGACTCTTGTACTTACGACACCCGGTATTTCACATGCAGTCTCGCGGTTATTCTGCTCAGGGTCACAGTAGATGCGAAGTTTCTGGAGTTCAAACTAAACAACATTTGAAAAAAGACGAAACTCTTGTTAAAAACAACCTCAGCTGTGGGAAACTCCAAACAAGCTGACAAACCAAACATTGGGGTAATTTTGCAATGTTAGGTGGTTTTTACAAGTGCTTTGCTACTAATGAATTGAAATTGCTATTATACAACTGTTAAATTGCCCTCGTTGGGCATTGAGCAGCTACATGTTGCCAAACCTCCCTCAGTGTTGGAAGCGTTCTAAAGCGACGTTACACTTTTCTTCCATTATTTGGTATTTTGTTGATGATGGGGTGAAACGGCTCCAGAATGTCCCGTACGCTGTTTCACTTCAGTAATCCATTAATGCCAAAAGATAATCCCCACATATGATTTATATTATTTTTGACCTCATGAAAACATTAGTACGACTGCATGTTTGGGGGGCATTAATCAATGTAGAACAATATCGTTTTGTTAACAATAACAGTGTCTTATATTTAGGTTTAAACATGATAAGAATGTCTGCTGTGGTCTGTGGTTTATGATAATGTAATGTTGTTTATAAAATAGCATTGGGGTACTTTCAGATGTCCAATTATAAAGAAATATGTTTCCAATTATAAGTGTATTTATCCGAAAGTGATACTCACACAAGGACATCCACTGACTGTTGAATGACTTCAAACTATGTGATCCTTCTAACAATGGATCCGTACACACAATAACATTTACCGCCAAGCTGCGGCTTACACTATCCACAGCTTTAATGATGTGACAACATACTGAGAAATGTAAAAGTCATAAATTAATAATGTTATTTGTATTTTTTTCTGCACGGACCGTATCCTATTATTCCTTATGGGAAGTAATCCTTTAGTAGGATGTAAGTTATTTTATCATATTTATCTATAAGAATATATAGAGCCAGTTTTACCAAGGATTTTATTTTGAAAATATTAGTATTTTTTTCCATATACCGTCATAGTGGCCAACAATGCTGTGCAATGATAAACCATCCTAAATGCTCACATATGTGCTTGAAGCAGTTTAAATAGTCAACTTGTTTTATCATAATAACACGCAAAAGAAGTATTGTGCAAACATACTCTTCTTTTCCATATTATTATCAGTACATTAAATGTTATGTTATTAAATTATCACACTACATAACATTCTGCAGAGCTAATTACAACACAGCACAATTATGATTCATTGCGCCATTTTACATAGCAAAATGTGCCAATTGAGACCTATAAAACAAAGATTAATAAGAACTTGTGGAGAAAAAGGCACATTTTCGCCAAAGATTTATTGTCCACAGAGTTAAACATGTCTCTCAGGAGTCAGCAATAAACGGTGTGTTGTTATTGTTTTGAACATATACAGTATCAGGACTGGGTTTGCAGAACTATTCATTTAACAAACTCTCCCTCTTTCTATTGTCCAGTAAACAAACCACTAGATTACATTTCTGGCAACAAACATGTATTTGATACAAAAAAAGGATTCTTGATGTTATTGAACTTACCGGCACTGTTGTTTCCTTGCTGACATATTTTCCGACTTGTGTTTTTCCATTGATGAAAATACCAACAGGGGGCTCCAAGGTTTGGGTATCAATTACCAGGTCATCAACATAAAGAGTGACATCCTCCTCGGTGACCAGCAGACGCAGCTGGTGCCAGTTCTCATCAAACAGCTGTTTTTGTCAAAGAAAAAGAGAAAGAAAAATTAATTAATTAAAATGGTACGGCCTGTCAGTCTACTGATAAAGACATGCGAGAAACATGTTGCCCCCTGGAGGGTGAGTGTTCACTGCTGTTATTGTTGTCAAGAGCAAACCAATTGTTAATTATTGTTTAAATCAACAAAGTTCAAATTCATTTGTTGATTTGTTAAAAACCTGAACATGGCCTTGGTTTTGAAGATTTATTTCGAAATATTGTGGCATTTCAAACCTTCTGCGAGAACAGGCTCTTACTAAATACTACTATAAAATATCTACCATGCAACGTAGGCATACTCATTTGGTAACTTTTTATATTGTTTTATATGTTCTGAATAAACTGAAGGGGAGATAGTTGATTGACTAGCTGTATGAATGAAATGGTAGCGTTACTTTTCCAAGGACAAGGACAATCCTACTTTTGTAAAGGTTGAATACGTTTCTGAAGCTCAGGTTTATGTAACCTTGTAGATTTGTGAATTGGACGATTTCCAATTATATAATACAAGTATTGTGTTTGAAAGAAATGTTTAAACCTTGGCGGTGCATTGATTTAAAATGGTTTACTGTGCCTCTCAGAGTATTCAAATATTAAAGCGAAGAATACCCTTTGAGTACCGTTGATAACTCTGATTCTTGAACAAGTAACAAGCATTTATACTCAGAATTAATAGCATAAATGTATTATTCAGGCTCTTAGAGCCATTTTCCAGCAATTCATATTTATTTTCAGAAGAATTTGGGGACTATCAAGAGTAAGATTACAATAACAATATTCAAAATAGAAGCAGTATAGGCCGAGACATCCTTAATGAACTACTTTAGTCCCAATAAAAAAGGCTGGATCCGAAGTTTCCAATAGTGCAACTCAGTTTATACCATTGTTTGACCCCCTCTTTTTGGTCAAGACCTAGCTGTTATTTTATATCACAACCACAAAAGACTGTGTTGTAATCTCTTTGTAGAGCAAACTGTTCATAAAGTGTAAAAGCAGTGAAGTGCCTGGAGAACTGTTACTTCAAACAACTTGTACTCAACACTGTTCTCCCGTCCATAGCAATAAACCAGCCCTGTGTGAAGACGATTGTTGAGAAAATCCATGACCAGACAAACAAACAGACATATTATCCTTTCATTCTACCAAAGTCTCAAATAAATAAAAGTTTTCCCATACCCTTTCTGTTTGATGTGAAAATGTCACTGTTTGAATTCCACTGGGTGCCTCACTGGTTGTGGTGAACATGACTGTGAACTGAACTCCATTTAAAGTCACCGCCATCTGAGGTTTCCCATCACGCGTCTGTATTCTCCACACATCCCATTCCTCCATGGCCACCGCTCCTGTATACCTCAGTGTGGCCACAAAAACGTATGACGGAGGCAGGCCATCGGGAAAAAGGGTCCTGGTGGACCAAATATAAAAGTCAATCAACTTGGGAATACATTGGTGGAGATGAAAAATAATAACAGCAAGCTGATTACCGTGTAGCTTCACTCAAGTCGACGCGAGATGTCACTTGATAGGCCTTGGTGCCGGAATATGCCCCTTTAGTCTTCTTTGCTTTTTTAGCCAAATTTAAATGTAACAGAATATCAAAACCCTTCTCTTCACGGGAGTCTGTGGGGATTTTGGCTGGACAAACAGTCTCTGCAACAAACAAAGAGTGAAATAAGGACGAGTCGAGAATAAGTTAGATATGGAGGAATTATGTAATCGGAGGTAAATTCATAGCAATGATACTGTCATAAGAGTAATATTTGACCTTATAATATTTGACATGTTTAGCTATAGACAATGAACTGCAGCTGCTTACCTTCACAGAGTTTTTGTCGTATGATCTGTATGATCCTGGAAATACCTTTGTAGTCCTCAACCGAGAAGACATATTTTGCATATGGCTTGTTTGCAATGTCGTTCAACTCGGCCGCTTCTGTCTCTGTCCCAACACCGATTGCAAACAGAATGACTCCTTTTTTCCTCGCTGCCTCTGCTGCCTTCAAAACCTCATCTTGAGACTTCCCATCTGTGAGAACAACAGCAATCCTGGAAATACCTGAAGGGCCACGCTCAGACAGGCCGAACACTTTGTCTGTAGCAAACTTAATGGCCGTCCCAGTCCTAGTATTTCCCCCCATGTAATCAATGGACTCCATCGCTTTGATGAGGTCTTTGCTGGAGAAATGCTTCCCCAGAGGTATTTCTATGAGGGGGTCATCGCTGTACTGGACAACTCCAACCTGGGTAAACTTCTGTCCAATGTTGAAGCTGGATGTTATGTTGACGAGCCAAAGCTTAATTAGTTCAAAATTGACATCTTCTACACTCCAAGAGCCGTCTAGAATAAAGACCAAATCACATGGTGCGGTCCTACAACCTGAAGCAGACAGGAAATAAACAATCAACTTAAACAAAATAATTTTTCCAACAAATCCAATTTAGTTAGGTGAAATACATGAAATAAAATGCAATTACTGTACATCAAATGACCTTTGCCAGATGTATGCATTCCATTTTTAATGTAAGGACAACAAGCAAAACAAAGTGTGAGAAAATGAAGACAGAAGCACTCTTACTTCTTATGTCTTCATCTTGAGCTGCACTAAACAAATGGAGAAGCATGAAGCACAGGCATCTTAAGACACAATGCATGGATGTCGCTTTGTAACCCATTATGCAGCAGTACCAAGTTCCAATTGTGCACCTACAGGGAAAGGGAAACACATGCTTTGTATTGCAGGTAAAAAGGAAAAAGGACAATGCAAGCATTTGTGACATGTGTTCTCTGTGTAAGTCTTGCCTTGACAGAAGTAAATTCATATTGTTTTTCCATTATTGAGTTGTTTGGCTGCCATTTAATGTGGCTTGTCCACTCTAACCAGACTTTAAACACAATACTGTTCCACTATACCTGCACTGTCAACCATAAAATAAGTAATAATAAAGGGTGTGTGATTCCTTAAAATTATGATTCAATTAGCAGCAATTGTGCATTTGTACATATATTCATTTTAATATGACTAATTATTTTGGTTAGGTAGGATTAATGAATTGGACAGATCGTTATTAACATGTTTCATCAACTGTGCTGTCTACAGTAGCTATCTCCTGGAAACACATTACTCAAGAGACCAATTCATATCTTTATATGACATGTAGAAAAAACACTTAATTTAGAAACAATGGCTACCAGGCGGGAACATTTTGGAGAAAAGATGCTTAGCAATCATTTCAGTGATTATAAGGACTCATGGTTTACAAATATAGACACATGTCTAATTCTTTCTTAATCTTTAATTTGTTGGCCACTTGGGGGCAGTAAAACAACATTGACATATAATCACCTTGTAAAGTTGAAATTGCAAAATGTATGGTAAACATATCCGGCGGACGACATCAGTATTTATTTTTTATTTAGGTAATTATCAACATAATGAATTGTTGTCCATTTTTTACTCTCTTTTAGCTCTGTTTTCCATTTCTACTAATGACTGAGATACATATCTGGCTCATTAGCTGATATATACTTCACTATATTTACAAGCTAGTGCTAACTTTGTCTATGTGCTGATAAGTGCTGGGCTGGTATACAGTGGGTTGGTCAAAGCTCCAAAAATAGCTGCAGTCAGATGTCACTGAGGCTATCAAGTGCAAATCTTATCACCTGTGTTTACTTTCCCCTAATTAACTCATGTCCTACCTCCCACTGCTGTCACAGAAACGTCTGTACTACCCACAAATCCCTAATTCACTCACTTGTACCACAAACCTCCGTGCGGCACACTCCATCTTTCCAGTCTTGCTGCACAGCCTCAGTACACCTAAGCATTTTCCCTTTCAAGCCTCATCCACCACATCCTCACATGGCACTGTCAGCTCTAGTACATAAACAACTCTCTGAACCTCTGACCACAACTACCCTTAAACCATTGCTCACTGTTTCCTGTGGTATTATCAGCTGTTTCCTCAAATCTGCGGCTTCTGCCAATCTCTGCCCGCCTCGGCTCAAATACAACACGCCTGCCCAGAAAGTCTTCTCTCCCACACTTTTCCTTCCTCACGGATAAAACCAATTATAATACTAAATATTACCTTTGAGATGATGAAGTAATTTTAGCCAGTTTCCCGTCTTGTGCTGCTAAGAAACTCACAGTAGTGTCATTCTGGGAGTATGATTATGATACATATGGCAAAATGTTTCAAAATATTAGCAAGTCTGAACAAGGAAACTGATATTTTTGGAAGTAAAACAATTTTGACATGATTAATCTTTTTTGGTTTGCCTCCATGCTTTCAACTCCCTCCAGCTGTTTTGTATTTATCCATCGTGTTAGTTCTACTAAAACAGCCTCCCTTGTGATATTTTGCCCGACAGCCATTCGTCACCTGCATGATTGACTCAATCAATAATGATTTCACAGCATGTGCTCAGCCCTAAAGGTTTCCCATCCTACTCCCGCACAGCAACATCTCTCCTGTACGACTGACTGCAGACTGTTGAAAGGCCAATCCTTAACCTGAGGCACTCAAAACAAAGGCGCTGATGTCCCAATATAACCTCTTAGTGCTGAGAGTGTCAGATTAGATGATGGTTTCTTGACACCCCTCATATAAATGGTATCTGATCTATCTATCTAGCATGGTCTAACAGGATAATAAGTCATTTTAAGTGTTTCCTTATCTAGCATCACTGGCAGTACAGAACAAATACTTTGTTCTGTACTGGTTTTGAATACACCGTGTAGCTAATATAATTTGATTGAGGTTTTTGGTTGTGGGTATTTTTGCGAAAATGTGGTATCTATATCCATATTGTACTAATTCATGTCTCCGGGACCTTGGTGATCCCCTGACTGTACATGTATCACCATCAACAGGTCAAAATGTCTATTTGTCCAATACTTTGGCAAAGCTAACTACATTCTCACCAGCCACAACTGTTCTTTGTGTTTGATGCTAATTTAGCATGCTTATACTGTATACCAAACTAACATGGTGAACATCGTCAACATTACCCCTGCTAACCAGTAGCATGTTGACCTTGTTATTGTAGGCATATTAGCATGCTGACGTCAGCATTTAATCCAAAGCTAGCATGGCTGTTAAAGTTTGATGTTTGATCACATAACAACAGGGCCATTTTAACAAATTACAACTTTTATGGCGACTGCAGTCTTGGATATGCTTTTGCGCCACAAACTCAGAAGTGGAAAACGAATCCCGCAATGTCAAGGCAAGAGCAACACAAGACAGAATGCAGTGCTTTATCATCGTCTCATGTCAAATACAAAACAGTGGCAGGTTAAATATGTTCTATTTACTGCATTTCGCAAGTTCATTTCAGTACCAGGTGAACACTTATATTATTGATGGTGCTGCAAACAACATGTAGCATTATAGTGGAGTATAATGATGGTTATGTTCATGCTCACATAATTAGTGATGAAATGGGATATTAAGAACCACGTAAAACAATGAAAAGAGCTGTGTTTACATTGTGCATGTGAGCAGAGGGTAGACATTTAATCATGCCTATTTCTTTGGCTGCTCTATCAAATGATCTTTTACAGTATTTTCCAACACGTGAAAGGAAGAAACTGCTGACATCCTAAAAGGAGGCAGTTACAAATGAGGACCAGATAGGCTGCATACAGTAGAAGAAGCAGGACTTGTGGAAGGAATTTGATGGGAAGGAATAGATCCTACACCTTATCCATAGCTATTTCTGAATGTGACACATGAAGGTCAACAATACAGTGGTTAGGACATAACCCCTTGGCCTGCAAAATGTTTTATTACTGCACAGCCAACGAGAGGTCACACTCTTTAACATGACTGCATTTTTCCACCATGTAAACTCAGTGTTTAAATAACACAGTTGAAGGAGGCGTAAAGCTGCAATAGTTGTGCAAGCCATTTTCTTCAGAATTCTCCCCTCTAGAGAGTTGGCGGAGGTTGTTGGAAAACCCCCTCATTGGCAGGGTCCAGTCGGGATGACTTTCCCCTCGACTGACTTTCCCCAAACGCAGTGTTTCTACACCTCTGCTCGAGCCACATGGAATTAATTTACACCATCAGACGGTGAAATTCCAGCTGTGGACTGTGACCAAACACATGTAGTCATGATGAAGGGGAAGCAACCTTCATCCAGGAATGAAAACGCAACATTACACGTGCTGTGCTATAATGCTAAAGTAGGGATGCATGCATAATGTAGCAGAAATAACAGGTGCACTTGTGGTGCAGGTTAGTACCAAACTCCATTGATATCTAACGTTAATGGGGCAGCACAGACACTTTGTAACTCCTTTTGGGACTGAATGGCAGAACTGAAACACAAGTATAAATATTGAACAAAACAAAAAGTCTGAAGGCTATAAATATAACTACCATGAATTCATTTACTGTAGAGTTGTACCATTTGTTTGTTGGAATAATTTGCAAAGATTTATGTGAGACTGCTGTTCAGGAAGCTGTTAAACTAAATATCTTTCCCATTTCACAAGATAACATTTCACTTGTTCAGACTGGGCAACACTGAGTCATCAGACAGATTGTAAAGACAGTATTAGACCAAATATGTAGTGCTTAACAGTGTATACTTCCCTTCAAAATGACATTTCTACATTCAGCAGGAACCAAAATAAATAAGTTATGGGGCCCAGATAGAACATCATTTTTCAATTTGTTTGCTAGCTGCACTTTATGTTATGCAACAGCATGTTTTAACTCCACTTGAACTGTTGGAAGCTAAACTTATCTCCTGTAAATTTGGCTAAAAGGAAATGGTTCCATTCCAGAAAAAACAACTGCTGTTCCTGCTGAATGGTTGCCAAAATCAGCAGGATTTATCACTGCCAAGTTCTTCAAGCAACAAGGGAAAGCCAAGCCCTATCTGTTGATCTCCGTGGAAATCTGTTCAACTAATTCAAATCGTTAAATAATGTCCAAACTGATAAATAATGTCTTGTAAAACATCTGCTAATCACTTTGAGATGCTTTCAAAATTGTTTCTACTCACAAAATACATATTATTGTTGTCCATATACATGCAAGTCTCACATCTGTAAAAAACATTATGAGTACAGTACATGCAATGGCGTGGTGCACTGCCTGCCCAGATTCTAGGAATATGAAAGAAAAAAAATCTATTTTACGAGAAGTGAAATGGCCAGGACATTTTTTCGAGCTGATTCCATTCATTCTTTGCATGACAGTAGAACAAACAAGGGACTGATAACTGAGCTTAATGTCTTCAATATGCAACTGTAGCAGCACAGACTCTGAAGGACACTAAAGTAAAAGTTGAAACAGTGCAAAAACTGTAACTAATCTGAACACATCAAAACACATGCAGCACTGTACACTGAAATACAAACACTATAGTAAGCCCAATAAGTTCTCTCAAATGATTACAAAAACTGACTCATTAGATTCTAATATTCTAATATCTTTTGATGAAATAAAAATTGCAGGTGCATGTTTGTGCATGAAAACAACACCAAAACTTGTAATGCCATACAGAATTTCTAAAATTCAGAAATAGGTTGCCTCAGAAAAGTAAAACAACGTAAGCAAAGAGTTACCAGTTAGTGTCCAAGCCTTGTGTGGAATCCTGTTAATCCTCTCATTGAGTGCCAGTGATCAATACTGCTCAGAGCCCTGGGTTTACAGAGAGTGAATTAGGAGAGCAGTGCACATGTTTCTCTGCTGAATGAAAGCCTGCCCTCTCCAGCAGCTCTCTCTGTCTACTCTGTTTCTGTCCTTCTTCCTCTCCACCGCCCCCCCCCCCCCCCCCCCCCCTTCCACCTTCTCTCCGGACTTTTACTGGCCTACAGCCACCTTCTATTACCATGGGTGGAAAGAGAAGCAGATAAGGAGAGCATGAAATAGTGAAGCAGACAGGCCATCCCTGAAAGTCCAAAAGGAAAATAATAGTAATGAGCACAGCCTCCTTCCAAGTGTTGAGGGTTTGGATCGTTTGGGGGTTGCTAGGGGCATTTCCAGAGAACATGGAGTTTTCTGGATGTGGGACAAGCCAACAGGTTTTAGTACACTGAGACACATATACTGCACTGCTCACGGTACCTCCAGCAGGACCTAAAGGGCTCCGCAATGCATAACTCCTTTTTGATTTGCACTTCATCACCCAAATGGACTGCAGATTATTTTCTAACAAGTCAGCAATGAACTAGGTGCGAAGAGCTACTGCAGTGCTGTTTCTGCACGAACAGCTGGAAGTGTTTAGAAATATGGAGCTGAGTCTGCTATCTGTAGAGCAGGCAGATCTCAGTTTGATCCTCTCTAACAAGTTTGATCATGTTTGTGCTAGTGGCAGCCTGCTCTGCATCAACTCAGAATAATCTCGGTGTTTGCAGTATCACTCAAAGGCTCTGAAAAGCCTAGTATTGTGCTGAACAGGGTCTGTACAGCACTATTTATTCAGGCTGTATTGCACAATGCAGCATGATTACATCTTTTATTGAAGCCACTTGGTTGGACAACATGTTTCAACCGATACATATTTCATTCTTTTTGTATCATTGTTATTGAAGCACTCTATTTAAATATGATTTTGAGGTACTTGTACTTTCCTTTTGATTGCACCTTTTCGTGCTGAGCGGTGCAGGTTTTTTGATGTCGGCCTTGTTGACCCTGAGCCTCAGCACACTCTGGTGGATCACACAGGAAAATACTGTGATGCTGTTTGGAGCCGGGGAGTGGCCGATCTGCTGGTGAGAGTAGACTTTCCAATGCTGACTCATCTTCTGTTTCTACGTACTGTTCTCTGGTTTGTAACCAACATGAAGGAAATCCCCGGGCAGAAAAACCGTTGTGCTTATTTTCCTCCCAAGAAGCCACTTCAAAAGTCTTCTGAGGTCTTCACAATGATCAATATGATTGTGGACGGTGGTCATATCTGTACATGTGACAAGGGTTACATTTAGCTTTGAGTTTAAGTGTAAATAATTCATATGTTTGGCTGGATTGCCGTACTCTGAATTGCACCTAAAAAAATGGCAGCATATCTGATGTAATTAAAAAAGAATTGCCAAAGTATAATTTCAACAGTTTATGCCAGTAAAGTCAATCTGAAACTTGCATCTTTAGAACTTTCCATGAATGAAGTAATTACATTTCGTGTTGGGGTGCGAGTTAATCAAAACAAAAAAAGCCATAATCATCTTGCGCAATCATATCCTAACAAGGCCGTGACCTCAATGTACTTTCAATTTACACAACATCATGACAAGCACAAATGTGGCCTCAAAAATGTTCCCTCTTTTTGTGCTGTCCCTTCTGGACGTTGTGATCTAGTGGCAACGTACAGCAGTGCTCCCCAATGTTTTCTTACCTTATTAGAAGGCATACTCACACATACAGAATCAGCGACCTCGTAGGGTATATCTTTTGACCTTGGGTTCCTGACCCCACATGCTTTTTTATGTGAGAAGTGTATAAAACATGTGCTTGTATCTTGTGGTAAAAAAAGCAATGCAATTGATGTAAAATGTGCACATTTATAGGGTTGTCTCACATGGTAAAAATCTGTACAAACATACTGACCCGTGTTCAGAGACATGTTGTTAAAGAGCTTTAAATGTTGCCAGGATTCCACAAAACTGAGGACTCCTTTTACAACTTCTTTTGGATAACACATTTGCCTTCGGGCCACCGTGTGGAAAAATCCTCAGTTAAAAGCCTTTTCTATTTGGCGATTCACATTATTGACTGCTTCCATTATATGCCCCCACAGTCTCATACAAAAGGACTAATTTAACAGATCTTTGCTCTGCATTTTTATCTTATTTCCACATAATCATGACAAACCATTTTCTAATCCCCAGAGTGTTTAACATTTATAAACCAAAAGATACATCCTTTTTGATGTCTTTTACAAAGCTGAACAGAGTAAAGTACTTGAAATAAATACTAATACAGTAGTATGAATAAATGGGAATATGTTATGTCAAATTAAAGGAATACAATTTACCAAATAAAAAGTTAATGTTGTCCAGCCACCGAGCAGCATCTAATTTTGCCAACATGTTAAAAGATGTGGAGGATATTTAATGAAAACTGCATTTGGCCTAACAACACAAGTGCTCTGGCTTTGCTCACTCTCACTTCTACATAACACAATAACACATTTAGCTTATGACTTACATTAACTAACATATACAGTGTGTGGCAGTTGTCAACATTCTTTCAAATCTGCCTGTGGACAGCATAAATATCTCTCTAATAACCTCTGTTTCAGTGCCATCACTTTGAAGCTCAATGGTCCTGGGTTGTTTTAATCAGCTCACATGCATTAAGCCGCATTTATCTTGATCACTTGCATGGTTTGCCGCAGAGATAAATAGTGAGCCTGCAGTCTGATGCAAGTGGTTGAGCCCAGAGAGAAAAATCAGAGGATAACCGTGGATTAGTAATAGTTTCCATGACAGAGCAGCATGGCACACATGATGCTGCCGTCGCCGAGGGGATCAGGGATGACGATCTATGGTCGCTGGACCTTCAGAGGAAGAACATGTGAGCCAGGAAAGACACTGAATCACACGCAGAGTTTCACTTTTAGATATCATTCTTCATCAGATTAAAGCTGTGGAAAACACACAATCATGGCTTTTTCTCACCTCACTAAATATTTGATCACCCAGGATACATTGATCACAAAGTAGGGAAGTGGGGGGGTGGTCCATTACAATGCTGATACAGACAGACTTAACTCAAGCCATTAGGAGTTCCTCTTGACCTGCAGGTTATTCAGCTGGAAACTGCACACAGGCCAGGAATCACACCGTCTCTGTGTTGCTGTGAAGCATCAGCGCTTCAACAGTATGTGCTGAGCCACCATGAGGGAAACTCCACTGTTTGTTCTCCTCGCATCGTCTTTTAACCGAGAAGCCACACGTTATGGATGATTAAATTATCTGTTGGCAGCTGAACTACATTTTGAATCCCTGAGTATGAAACTACTCATATTGTAACCAGAAATCATTACAGGGAGCATTTACTAAAGTGCATTTGTGGAAATGCTGAACAAATTCTAGCTTTGTGAAATTCAAAAAGATATTCCCAGGTTTTGTTACAGCACCATTGCATCCTTAAAGTCAGAATTACGGGATCTTGGCCCACAATTGGCGTAAAGGGGTATACTTACAGTCCCACGCAAGAAAACCATAACATTATCTTGATAATATCTTCCAAGATGGACCTACATTTAATCAAATTAAAGTTGCTTGCTTCGTGTTCGTACATTTTCCAAGACCGCTCAAACTGATGGCTTTTATTCTGATCGACTAAAAATGTACTGACATTCTTTTAGCAATTATATCGTACTGAATGGATACCATTTTAAAATTAAGGGTCATTTTTCAGTGTTTTAAATTAATTCCAAAAGCAATGACTGTGAATGTTATTTTTTGGCAAGTATGCACTGATGTCTGTTTTACATTTTTATCCAAAATTACGATTACTTTATAGAAACAGCATGTGCACTTTGTTACATCCAAATGATGTTGGTAACTTTACTTTTCCTCCAAAGTGTTGTTGTTGTTTTGCTCCAGTATTTACACTAGCTCTCATTTCTTTGGAAATAAACATCTGCGATCATGAACATGAATAAGTCTCTCACACAATTGGTTAAAAAACTTCAGTCTCATTTTTGGATTTTTATTATAAAGAACAGATGTTTAAAGACAACTCAGACTTGTGAAATAAATTTAAATAAAACTATCAATGAAGACGGCCTTTTTATACAAATATGTAATAATATAATAATTTGCTACCACTCTCCTTGTGTTGTCCCTTGTAGTAACCTTGTAGATCAAACTGCTCCCAGAAGTTGAGTTTCAGTTTGGGATTCATATTTACATGAACATTTCAATAGATTTGAACAAATATTAACAAAAACAATCTAGCATTTTTCCCTTCTTTAAGATCAATGTTCTCGTTATCCACATAGCATCTTTTTTTCTCTACTGGCGATTCCTCAGCCTCCGCGCCACAGGTCGAGGTGTCTCTCTGTTGGAGTTAGACTCAACAGCACACCCAGAGGTGAGACAAGCTCCTGGAGCGCCTCTGAGACCTGCGTGGCCCCTGAGGCCCGGCCGGCCCCCGTGGCCCCTCTCCCCCTGCTGTCCTGGCTGCCCGTTAAAGGCTCTGCCGGTACGTCCACGCTGACCTGTATTCGAGGACAAATTGCTGTTTAGTCTTCAAGGCCTCTCTGTCTACTCACTTAGCTGACTAAGACTATTTCACAGGCAAGAGAGCATTTACACAGATATTTTTTTTCTTTTTTGGCAAATATCACACCTCTCTTACAGTAACATATCTCCTCTACCCTTTCCTGGGATTCAAAGCACTGACTCAGCTGAATATAGTTTGTAAAACTACGCACAGGCCCAGATGTGAACATCTATTAAATTCTCATCTTAACCGAACATTATTAAGTACTGGAAGAGTCATTTACCCTTTGGTCCCTGGTCTCCAAAGTATCCGGGCAGGCCGTAACCCTTGGGTCCTTTATCACCTTGCTCTCCTCTGTCACCTGCAAGCCAGACACACACACACACACGATCACACACACACATTGGTCTAGACAGCAGACGGGACGAAATGCCATTCTTCTAGGACGGAGCGCCACTCAAATACACAGCATACATGTTGATTAAAGACCTTATGTGTTACTGAGATCATTGTTAAATAAACATTTAAACACCTTGTAAATATTCTTTGATTACATCGAATTGGCAAGTGAATGTGGCACGAGTGTGACATCATGCTCAGGCCTATAACCCTGAATTAGAGCTGAGCATGTGCACGTTAGCCGAGACTAGTTTTACACTATTTAATTGGTACAGTGCGGTCCATGATGAAAGGTAGAGAGTTTTTTCCAGTGGTGGAAAAAGTAAGAAGAAGCACATTTAGTCATTACTGTACTAACATGCAATTTTAAAAAGGCCTTGAATTAAATGTCCTTGACAAGCACTCTACTTTACTGCATTTCAGAGGGAAATATTGAACTTTTTTATTGCTACACTACATTTATTTACAAATGCCGGACTTTTACTTACTGTAACCTGCATCACTCAATAAGGGATGGGGAAAAAAAATACGAATTTGTACATATATAAATGTATTAACAATAGATCAATAGACTTCATAAAGACAAACCCACCGATAATTATTCTCTGCAGCTTTTAACTCACTCTTTTGCTTCACTGCAACTAGCTTGTGGACATAGAGTTGAATTTGCTTGATACTAAATAGTTAAAGTTGAAAAAGTTGAAAAATTTGTTTTTTATTTTGGACTAACACTTAAAAACATTTTGGTAGCCAAAAAAACAACTCCAAATAAATAGTAATTTCAGTAACTGTCTGCATGATGTGAAATAAACAACAGTTGCTCGATGAATAAGATGATATGTTTTATGTTACAGCTTGTTGTCTTGCCTCTTAGTGGTCCAAAAAATCAATTATTGTTGGCGTAAAGGATGTGAATTATTTTTCTTCTGCTAGATCTTGCTAAAACTGGTGAATTATAGCTTTGGTTTTCAACATATTCATAAATAATGTTTGAAAACAATTTGCACACCTGTTTCTCCTTTTCGGCCAAGATCCCCGGCCTCTCCGTAGAATCCCGGCAGACCCAGTTCTCCGTCAACACCGTCATTACCAGTGTCACCCTGACAACGTCATAAATAGGAAAATACCCCATTAATCTTTTTATGTGTTTTCAGTGAAAACTTTGCAATGTTTTCCTGAATCAAGGTTCCTCTAACCAGCTAAAACATGAAGAGATTTATTTGAATGATTATATAATACTTTGTTGGGAAAACCTTGTACAGTAGTGATAGATCACTGTTCCTTGTTTGGCATTAAACGCCACAACATGAGGCTTACAGGCCATAATGTAATAAATAAAGTCACGGCCTCAAGAACATTTATCAGCCTGAGAGGCATTTTGATTAAAGAAGTTGTGGAACATGAATCGGTTCAACACTATTATAATGTGGAAAAGGCTTTCCAATCCAACGACAGCCTTGATACTCTCCAAAAACCATTCAACACAGACCAAGTGTCTAGTCTGTGACTCCTTATTTGTCCTCATGGAGATGTGGAAAATCGTTTTTGCCAAATACTTCAGCTTCTAAGTCCAGTCCAGACCCTTGCAATGTGCATTTTATTCAGCCAGGGTAGAACAAAATCAAACAATGTACAGACAATGTACTGGGCTCCGGCGTAATGAGGGAGAAACACTAACAGCAATGACTTTGTGTCAATTTATGAACAATTGTAAAACTCACATTAGGTCCAGGGGTTCCTTTCAGTCCGGTGGGACCAGGGGCACCCATGGGGACGTCCCCATACAGAGGACAAACCGCAGCACACGTCCTCTTCACTGAGTTGGCAAAGGTGGACATCTGCACCAGGACCACTTTCTTACAAACCTCGATGACGTGTTGAGCTGAGAGGGTCGGGCCCTGTGTGAAGAATCATAATGATCACTGGAAGGGACCCAACTGGGGGACATGTAATATGAGGAATATTACGGGACAGGCATGCTGAAGCAGTGACTGCCTCACAGAGGAAATGCAATGAAGAAATGAAGCCTATAATATTTCCTTAGGCTCATTATGGATTTATAGCCACACTTAATGAAACCCATGCTGCGAGTCACTTATTACTACAGGCTAATGTGAAACTCTTAAATGTGTTTTTGACACAAAATACTGTTTGTGTGCCAGTCTGTGTAACTGCTGCTGTTTCTGTGCCATCATTTAAAGATACATGGATTGCCTAATATAGTACAGGCTCAAGAGTAGTACTACAATACTATAGCTCTGTAATGTGTGTGGTATCAGGAAGAAGAAATCAGATTCAGAAGCTTGTAGTTTACTTACGGGTGGACCCCGGGGACCCTGGAAGCCATCAAGTCCTCCTTCACCTCGAACCCCCTTGACTCCGACAGGACCTGCACGTCCAGATGGGCCGACGGGGCCGCGCTTCCCCCGTCCCCCCTGAAGACCCGGCACCCCCCTGTCTCCAACCTACAGGCAGTGCATCCGTCAGCATGACAATGACAAATGAGTTCAGCAAACCTCTGACTTTTAAACTAGTTAGTCTGCTCAAAATCCATTGAGTTGTATTGTTATTTTGACATTTATCTGCACTATTTAACAAAGATTTCAACTGGTGGAATTCATGTTTTGGGACAATTTTAAAGTAATGGTTATACACATAAATAATATTTTTAGGGTTTTGGTTATTCTTTGCCATTTTGTACATTAAAATCAAAACAATGTGTGCACTAAGATATATTAAATGATATCTGTCTGGGACCCTAATATCTAGGTAGCTTATCAGAGTGTCCCTTCTCATATACATTATGTCTTATGATTGTACTTGTCTTTTAACTTTTTGTGAACAGAAACTGAACTGAAGAGCATTGATCCAAACTTTCAAAAAATGCCACGAATAAAACTAAGTAAATAACAGAGTTGGTAGACTAAGTAGTTAGTAGTTTTTAGACTTTTCAGTTTGCAAACAGAAACATTATATTTCTCAAAGAAGCTTGACAACAGAATCACAGCTCACCTTTCCTTTTGGGCCCTTAACTCCTTTCTCCGCCTAACAAAGAAGAAGAAATGTTCATTTTAATGGTTGCCAAAAAATGTGATGATGATGAGAGAGGATGAAACATTTGAGTCCGTACCTGTGCACCTGTTACTCCTTGGATTCCCTGGATTCCCGTGTTACCCTGAACAAAGCAAATGAAAAATATGAAAAAGCTTGCAAATATTTGATGTATCAGAACTTCACAGGTGTTCACTGCATGACCAGATGGATAGTTAATACTTGGTAAAAATATAGCATCTTTTAAATCCACACAGTAACGCTTTAAATCAGAAATTATTCAATTTAAATCAGAATACTCCAGTTTAAAACATCTACAGATAGGCATTAGATGGTGTTGTTAGCGTAATCTTTTGTATCTGTAATGGCTGATGGATGAAGATGTATTTACCTTGGATCCTTGTTTTCCAGACACACCAATGTGTCCCTGCAAAGAGACAACATGGTTTAATGGCATGGAGGAAAATGAACTACTGTTTGGGAGATTTCAGAGAATTCTTGTGGAGCACTTACAACAGGTCCCGGTGGGCCGATAAATCCGGGTCTTCCTGGCTTCCCTGCAGAACCCTTGTAACCTCTTGGGCCCTCGAGAATAAAACATTCATTAAACCGACCTAAGGGACTGCTTTAGTCTTTGGTGTTTTCCTTTAGAATGGTAAACTACTTTACGTATAAGAAAATGTATTATGTGTTTATCTTCTGAAAAAACGACTTACAGTTCGGCCTTGGGGACCCATTTCTCCTGCAGGCCCAAGGGCACCTCTCTCTCCCTGTAAACATCACAAATGAATGAACATGCCCAAAAAAAACACAATTTAACATATCTTCAGACAAACAAACAAGATTGGCGAGTTACCTTTGTTCCAATGCGCCCAACTTTTCCACTCTGACCTTGTGGTCCTTGGTAAGCCTGTCAGGGATGAATGACATTACCACGAGTGCACTTCCAATTCACTTTATCATCAATACATCATTTGTAGGAGAATATAATACCTCTATTCCTAAATCACCCTCTCTGCCTGGCAAGCCTGGGTCTCCAAGAATGCCCTAGTGAAACAATACGATTATTATAGAACAGACACATGATTTATGGAGGGTAATTGAGCTCTCAGGTGTGTCAGCAGTAAATCACCTTTGGTCCGAGGGTGCCAGCTCTGCCCCCAGGACCAGTGACCCCCTAGTTTTCAGACAAAAAACATCCATTACATTTCAAAACAAAAACCGTACTGCTGTAAATGGACACATTGTCTTCGTTTAATGTAATACATACAGGCACTCCCTTCTGTCCAGCAGTTCCCCTCTCTCCAGGATCTCCCAGAATGCCCTGTCAAACCATCAGCATAAGTAATACATTATAATGTATGCAACACATTTCTGTCAGCTATAAACACGGTGAACCATGGAGCCTTCTTTCATATACAATAGAGTAGGTTAGCATTGTGTTTGAGTCTCTTTATTCGGTGAATCACCAGTTTATGTTGATACAGTTCATGTTCTCAGCCAGAATCCTACCACATGTACTAATGTTGTTTATGGAGACGGCACATAAGCCAAAAACAGAGTTTGATTCCAGAGTTAAACCACATTAAAACAGATTTTCTGGCTCTCAGTGCTTCACGTGGGAGTTTTGAAGGTAGTGGACAAGAATTAAGAGCTCATTATGGACTTTGGGACAGGGGGTCCCACACAACAACCCACCTGCTTTCCTCTGGTTCCAGCACGGCCTAACACACCAATCTTCCCTCTTACTCCCTGAAAAATAAATACATATTGGGATTAAATCACAATGTATATATTAAAAACAAGACAGTGAAAGGAAGGAAATAAAAATACCTTTACTCCTTGAAACCCGGGAATGCCTTCATATCCTATCCCGCCTTTAGCACCCTTTAAGGAGGCCAAAGTGTTAGAGATCAAATAATTCAATTATAATAGGGCTTACCACTGTGTATGAAGGGTTAACTCACAACTTCTCCCAGTTTTCCAGTCTCTCCGAGGCCTCCAGGTGGTCCACGCACTCCCTTTAATTAGTCACAATAATGACATTAACAGTTGTCTATAAAGTTGTAACATTGGACAGCAAACTGCAAATACATCTAATAAAAAGTCTGTAACCTCATTAGCTGCCTAATTAGACATTTAATTAAAGCTTAAGCCCAGCCAGGAGTTTACCTTGAAACCCCCTGCCCCTTGTAATCCTGTCAGCCCTTTAGGTCCTCTGTCTCCCTGTAAACACAACATGTCATTAATACACCATTTGTATCATTTGAGGAGTTAATAACATCATAAATCTCAGTGTGATAAATTACCACTTGGCCCCAGAGTCCTCTCATTCCTTTTTCCCCTTTGATTCCTTCTTCACCCTGAGGAAACGTGTGAGGTTTCATTAAAGCGTTTGATAACAAGCCAAACCAAAGTGTAACCCTGATAGGGGGATATTAAAGTCAGATCTCACCTTTAGGCCTGTGTCGCCAATGTTACCATAATCTCCTGTGTTCCCCCGGATCCCCTGCAAAACAAGTTTGAGTCAATCAAAAGCTTGAGAAATACAGCATAAAATACACATTTTGACGGCTGTTTCAAGAGAGAAAGGCAATAATGACTTGTGGGAGATTTCAACTTTGGACTCATCAGACAGAAAAACAGTTTAGAGATGACAGTTAAACACTCGGAAATTAGCTTTGATTTGTATGCTGACATTGTGGCTAGACAGACAGTGAACACATTGAGCAAAGCTTTCATGTGTGATGCTTGTATACTTTAGCATGAAGACTGGAAGCAGGGGGAACGGTGTATCTGGTTCAGTTCAAAGTCAACTAAATCTGCCTACCAGCACCTAAAGCTCACAAATCAACATGCAACACGCCAGGCGTCTAACATTAAAACAAATATTTAAAGGTGACAAGACTGCAGGAAGTCATTGTGCCTGGGCAAGACACGGTGCCCGGTATTTCTACTAACCTAAGCAGACCAGCTTTTGTCTGTAGTTTTATATTTAACAGACAGTTATGAGAGGGTCATCAATATTCTAAAAAACAAAGCGCAAATTGCTCAAAGTATTAATTTAATTATTTAGCTACAGCCAGGCGACATTAAGCTCAGTGCAACCCGGTCAACTCCAGATCCTATGTTGATATGAAGGGCTCATTCTAAGCTAACGAAACCGCAAGGATTCTTAGTTTCAGGCCATAATATACTGATGACAACATGATTATGAACACTTTATTCTATTTATTTCAATAAATCCACCTACATCCTACACTCTGGACCTTTATTTATATTTTGTGTTTGTTTGATTTGTACCAAACCAGAGTGAACATGGCTAGCTAGCTGTCTATCTCTGCTAAGCTTACTATCTCCTGGCTGTAGCATAGAGTTGTATCAATCATAATGATATCTCTTAAAAAACTATTCCTATAACGTGAACTGTAGTAAGGAAGTGAACATTTAAATCTGAAACTACTATAAGTTTCATGCACGTAAATATTAATGGCAATACACAAAAGCATGTTCAGCAGGATCTAGGAAACATGAGTCATAAATACAACAAAATGGACCAGAATGGTTTGGACAGATGCTGACTTCCTTAGTAGTAGAAGGAAAAGTGTTTTCCATTTGGCTGTATTTCACTGAGTCAACAAACAGATCAAACAAGCTCCAGGATGCCTTTGTGTTGTCCGTTTATTTGCCCACCTCACCAGCCCAGTCCGCTGGGCAAAGGGTAACCTCAGACATGGCCGACAGTAGGGCGAGAGGCATGACCGTGAACTTTACAACGTTTCGAAGGCGTTATAGCTCGGACAAGCAAAGGACCACCCAACACCTAAGATGGACAGTTTTTTAAATCCGTGCCAGGAAATGCCCTCCTTGAATGCCAGCAGGGGAGGAGATAAACATGTTGGGGCTCTGCGATTCACAAGCTGGCAGGAGGTCAAAACTCTAACGAGTTACAGAAGACAGATGTTTACTCCCAGATGAGCTACAGCTGCAACTCAGGACACGAATGTGTAGCCTAGCATGTACAGAGCTCTGGAAATGTGCTTTGAATGTGCGTGGGTCTGGAGGCGTACATGTGCTCAGGCAGCATGGGGGATTTCTTTGAGTGCAACGGACATGTTAAATGCCAAACGATCACACACGTATAAAAAATAATCCACCTTCTTTAAACACATGTTCTCTAGACTGTTTTAGACCGCTAAGCATGAAAGAGATTAACAAGTCATAAATCTTAAGTGGAAATAATCACGTCTGCGGCTCCCTGAAGATTACAAATGTGAGTGTATTTGTTCATTCATCGATGCATGTGTAACTGCAGGAGAAAACCGTCTTCATTATCATTTTTTTTAAACATCTCTTCCCTTTCGCAATTTGGTCTTCCTGTGGGGAATTAATTTGCCTTATCCAGACAAATTTCACCCAACAGTAAAGCATACTGATGGTGCTCATTACCAACACTTGGAGGGTCGGGTTATTGCTCAACTGCTTGGTTTTACTGTGTGTGGGATTCATTACATTTGGCTGTGTGTTTCTTTTCAAATGGAAAAGCAAAACCATTAGAAATCCTGTGATCTCAGGCCAGTTTGAGTTAAATCCTATATTCTAAACAGCCAGGGCCTGTGTTTTAAGATGCAAATAGCTATTTCAGAACGGCAAAAACAAATGTATTGTTACATCCGTATTGGTTAGTGTTTATATTGGCTTCCTCCTGAACCTTCTGCAAAGCAGACATTAGTTTTAAAACTATGAGAGCTTCTATGTTTACTATCGCTAAGCGCTTCTGCTTCCAGATCTGTTTCCATCCTGTCCTGTCTCAGTTGTACTTCCATTGCCATTTTCCACAGATTCGCTGCTGTCTCAAGAATAAAAGTTTTACAATGTCACTCTCCCACAATTTATTTTAACTCTTCATTGTACAGCAAGAGGAAGTGGGTGCTAAAGATTCTACTGAGTAAACATCATTTATCCAGTGTTACACCGGGGTTGATATTTGATCCACTGAGAGACATATTGTAAATGTATTTACCCAGTTTCCATGTCTTCCTTGGTCTCCGGCTTTTCCTAGAAGACCTATGTGACCCTGTAAAAGAATACAAAAAATATGTCAACAAAGATTGAACTTGTCCTATCAGTAAATCTCACTGTAAAGGCACATTAACCTTTGGGCCTGGAGATCCCTGGATGCCGGGTTGTCCGTGCATACATTTGCAAGACGCTCTTCCAGCTGTTAGGCCGATCTCTGCGTAACCCCCACACTGCCATGGACAGAAAGGCGAGAAAACTGTATTCAAACCACAAAAACTTCTCCAACTGACTGAAGGAAACCATGTTGAATGAGAGTAGACCTACCACACTGGAGAGCTCGCAGCAGCCTTCTGAATAAGCCTTCTCTGGGTCACATGACACCTCCATCTGCTGGAGATCCACCTGGAAAGAGACAGGGATCATATGGTAAGTTGTTAAGTTTTTGAAATATTACTTTGGATGTATATATAAATCCAAACTGTGAACGTACAGAGACAGAGCGATCTCTTGCTGCGCGCTTCACGATGGAAGTGTATCCTTGATGGATTACTGGCCTCGGCTCATCGATGGACTCCACGCTGACCTCTTCGCAGTCCATCAGCAGCTTCACCTGACTGCCCTTCACACTCAGCGCCAACTTGTGCCACTCGCCATCAAAAATCTTCTCCACACCACTGAAGGTCCTCAGCATCTGGCTCCCATGGTGGCTGGTGTAGAAGAAGTCTAAAGAGCGCGTATCCCCCTGGAAACGCAGGCCGACTTGCTCTCGTCCCTCTGGGTCGCTGACCTGCCACAGGTCCCAGGACTTCTTGGCCGTGTCCTTGGTCACCTTAAATGTCGCAATGACCGAGTAGTCGGAGGGAAGTCCATCTGGATACACATCGCTGTGGGAAGAGAGTGTGGTTTACAAAGCTGGGTACCATTAGAGAGAGGCAGCATTTAGGGGCAAAACACCAATTAAGGGCTTTTGTAGGGACATATGGGTTTTATTTAATAAGAACATGAATAAGTAGAAACAGAGCTTCTTGGATTTCAAATTCCACATTAGCATGTGACACATTTCTTTGTAACTTTTTTTGAATAATGGACTATTTAGCAAACTGACATTCTTTCTTTCTTTAATTCGAGTAAAGCATATGTTCACTTAACCCAAGGGTAACAAATCAGGATCTAAAGGCAATGCTGAACTCATTGTCAGGGTATGAGAAGAAGAAGGTCTACACCCATGCTAGCAGCTATCTCAGGCACAGCAGTTCTTTGAGCTAAATAACTCTCATCATTCAAGCTCACAACACAATATTAATGTGTTGAAATGTAGTTCTAAAGAGTAACTGAGAACCATAGTAAAATATAGTATTTTGTTCCACATTTGCTTCAAGGTTTGTATTTTCATGACATGCAGAAACATTGATGGCTGTGCTTTGTTGTACCTCTGCACAAAGCAGTGATGTCTCAAGATACTGACACACACTTGAGTACACTTACATCACCTCACTAATATCCCTGCAGCCAGTTGAAACGCTAAACTACGGAAGATCATCAAAAGTTAAGTTGATTAAAATCAATTATTAAAATAGTTTGCAATACATAAAATCATCAATTAGTTGGTCCTATGTGATGATGGACTGCAGGCATAGTGGCAACGTCTCTTGAGGTGAGGGCAGTCAGCTAGCCAATGTGCCATGTGTAGCTAACGTGATGTTTTACAGGCAACCACTAACGCTTTTAGCTCAAATTAGATAAAAGAGAAACTGAAGGTTTACTATCAGAGAAAGTCTAAATGTATATCGTTTATTTCTGCTTTACAACAGAAACGTGAGGAATATATATACGTTTTTATCAGCTTCATTGTCAGTGCATACAATAGATGCATCCGGGTGTCCATATTAAGTTTCAAGTTTCTACATTGTATAAGAAGAAAAGGAGTATGTTAAGGTATTTAATAGAATGCTAGAAATACTACAATTATAATGACCAAAATAGTTGTTATTTCGAGCCCTTGTGTTAAGTGACTTTGCATTTTCCAGATTAATTGAAATGAACTGTGCTCAGGCTGTGGGGGATTGTACCTTATAGTCCTCCGTAGGTGGATGGCAGGGTTGACACGGTAGGCCGTAGCCTCAGGTTGAGATCCGTCCACTATCTTCACTCCACTTGACTCGGGAACACGAAACTCCTCCAGCAGATCAAAACCTCACAGCACAAACAGCAGGCTTAGTTTGACATCAAAGGGATTCAGCATCAAAGGTGCTGGACTGCTTCTAAAATATACGTCAGTGCTGATATCACGGATTGTTTCAATAGTTGCATTACTCAATGTCATTAATAATGCCATCTCTTCACAGCGCCAATGAGGTCATTTATGAAACCCATTAACACAAAAAGGCTGTTTATTTCTTACATGTGTGGGTTTGGCTACTGAATTCTAAACACTTAGTGCTGCAGTTTGAATGAGATCACCAAAGCTGGGCTGTTTCCTGTGAAGTCACAACTATTAGGTAAAGTGATCTGATTACAAATGTCATGGCTCATGAAGAAACTAACTCTAGAAAGAAAAACTGATACCTGCTCCTTTAGAGCATGTACAAAAGGAATCCGTACCTAAAATGTGCAGACTTGTCAAGGTATTCTAGTGTGAGTATTTGAGAGACGAATTATAACGTTTAGGTGTCACGTTTTGTTCTAAAACTGTGTCATTCTAATGTATTTCAGTCATTAGACCATCAAAACCTATCAAAGTCCACTTAAAATTGATAACAGATTACATTAAAAAGGAATAACTACTATTATTATTGCTTAGTGCGGCTTATACTATTTCTGACTGTTCTATCTCAGGGTATGACCCCTCAGGTAAAACAAAGAGCCTGTGTTTACTAATTTATTTATGGTGAAAGTGAGACTCAGATGAGACAGTGAGCTTCAAAGGTTCATGTACACAGCTTAACCCAGGATGACCCTCAGTGTCACATAAGGAAATACAATACTGGGCCGACTGCTGTGAAGGCAAACAATGGACCATGAACTGACAAACACTGACATCTGCTGGTCATGGTACATACAGTTTTCAATCTGGAAAATGAAAGTCTCTCAACAGAAAATGTATGTGATTTATGCGATTAATGCCCAACAAGTTTTTTAATGATACATGTTGTAACATAAATTATAGATTTCTGAGATTTTTAAATCTCTATGACAGGAAAAATGAAACAGCATATCCATTATAACAAATGTTTCCATATGAAACTAGCATATTATGTAAGTGATGAGCCAGTGTTTGTGTTATTTTGTTGGAAATATCAAATAGGTAAGAAGAATATATAAAACTTACTTGGGAGCTTTTGACATTGGGTCAGTCCCAGGAAGGCAGAGAGTGCTGCAAACACCAGCATTTCTTTGTAGGCTGGCATTCTGTCTTTTATGAAGTCAGGGGCTATAAGTGCCTGCAGTACAGCAATAAAATGAATCAATAACCAAATGAAAATAGGCTGTTAAATACAAGACAGGAATTCAAACTTTTTAAACTTTATATTTCAAGGCATACATGTTAAATATTAAGAAATAGTAAATAAAATAAAACTTAAATGTCTCTACCAAACCCCCTGGTATATCACATCAAAACAGTTTTATTTGTCCTTTTGGTCATCTTAAATATTTGTTTAAAATGTCTTCGACAGCTTAGGTTTTACGGTAATTTAATGATAAGACTATCTGTGTAAAGAAATATAAGTTCTACTGAATAGCATTCTTTAGTTTCACCACATTAGAGAAACACATTATTGCCAGATAACAGACATCTGGATAATACTATATAGATATTCTTAAGATTTCTAACTTAACATTATATGAAACCCTAATTAATATCAAAAACGATTTGAAAAAAACCAAATAAAGAACAGTTTAAGAGAAGGATGCATTACTCACATATTCCTGAAAAAAAATGTCCCAGGGCTCTTGCAGATGGGTCTATTCCAGCTTCTGGTGTGAGGATGTATCCCGCTCTAAAGATCCATCCCGGCCCTGTGTGTGGTTGAACAGGAGGACCATTCAGAGAAAAAGCTGTGGCTCTCAGAGGAGCCTGACCCCTGAGCTCCACTCCACCTTTGGTCCCCAGGGGATCTGTCTCTTCTCATAGGCCAGTTACAACTACTGTCACTGCACGTCTGGGAAACAGAGTCATCACTCACATTAAAGTAATGCAGCTGATCATACAAGAGCCTTAGTGTAGCTTTTGAAACTTGCAGTATGTTGTATGCAAATTGCAGTATGTTGCTTCAACAATTCTATGCAACTCTAAAAAAAAAAGTTTGGGGGTTTCTTACTATGAGGATTTGTGTCTCTTTACACATTACGCTGGTACAGTTAACATAAATTACTCCTTTGTGGGGACATTTGTGAAATAAGTCTACAATTGCTTTTAAAACAGTCTCACGGTTTTAGTGTACGTTCATTGAAAAGACAGTGTTTTACCGTCATAGTCTCAATGAGAGAAAGATGTAGTATGTCACAGCCAAACACAAGATGCTCTGCAAACATTCCACCCTGAGCAGACCACACCCTCGATGTAAACCTCCACACTGCTGCTAGCAACCAGGCTGTAGGGAAATTACAACTGTATAAAACAAATAAGATAATTGTTTCACTATATGGCAACAAGAAGTCTAAAAGCTTCCCATGTTCTTAAACTTGAAGCACCATGTTGTATTCAAGTGTTTTAATTTAGCAGCATGGAAGAAAGGGACAAGAGCTAAGCGAGATACGAGTTTTCAGCCATGCTAGCAGCTCTGTGAGACTAAAGCTAAATGCTAACGTTAGTATGCTAACATGCTCACAGTTACAATAGCAACATGTTGTTCCAAATGATATGTTAATATTTATCATCTTATTCATCATAGATGCGTCACTTATCAGCATTCAAACCAAGTAGCCTACCGCTGAGGCTGAACTTTGTTTTTTTGAGGTCATAAACCAGTATTGAAGAAAAATAACATTTTGAGCTGACTTGTTGACATTCCAAGTAATGATATCAGTTATTTTGCTGTATGTTCAAATTTAGACCTGATGATGGCGCTATAGAAAAAGTCGGGTTACAATTAGCATTAGGTAGGTTTACTCCTCGGTGGCAAACAATGTCTGTACAAACGAACGCCATCTGATGGTTAAGATGTTTGTGTGGGAGGGTCTGGCTCAGTGGATGAATGTGTGTAAGTCGCTTTGGATAAAAGCGTCTAACAAGTGACATGTAATGTACACAATGTAATGTAATGTGTGTCAGGACCAGTGCCAAACAATAGGATTCATTCTTTGGGAACCATGACTGTCTGTATGAACATTCCTGGAAATCCATCCAATACTTATTATGACATTTTAGTGACACCAAAGGAATGCTGCTGCTAGCATTGCTAACACAATGAGCTAAAACAGGCGAAGCAGAGAGAATTCTTCGGTCCACACCAGCCTCTGGTGACGTTCTGCAAGCAGGTTTATTACAAAGTAATGGATACAGTGACAATTTCAGCTCTACCGAAATATACCATACATAGACATGGATGCACAAGAGAATGTCTACATGGAGTGGCACCTCTTCAAGGTCAGCGCACAAGCCGCTGTGAAGTGGTCGAACTAAACAGGGAGTGCAGCTGCTCACAAACAAACAGGACTTAAAAGCTTCATGATTATGAGGTTTCTGCTACTTGCCTTAAATAGTGTTTTTTCAAAGGTTTCTGCAGTGCTTACTGGGGTTTATGTAATATATTGCATTGCCCTTTAAATGCATGTTGGCAGTTTATCATAGCACTTAATAATAATTGCAGTGCCTGAAATGGTACCATAATGCACCTTCTACTCCAAACATCAGCAAACATAAATTACAGTACATTCAGTAACTCTCATGTTGCCCTTCATTAGTGTGTTTAGAAATGTTAACTAACCGTATAACGTAGTCATTACCAGATATTCTAGTGTTCATCAAACCTCTACAGGTTTTTGCATTAATAAAATAAAAAATACAATAAAAACAATTTCACATATTTCACAAAAAATAAAATACATTAAAAAACAAATTCACAAGGCCATTAACATTCCATTCTCACATCATATTAAACCATATTACCTCTCAACAGAATATCTTACATCTTCGCAGCAATTTAAATAACACTCAACACATTTGCAGTCTTTTAAGTTATCTCCAGTGTCCGTTACGTGTTTAGGGTGCAACTAGCTCCTGGGTTGTTTGGGTCGAAGGCCACTGACTATCGCTTGGATCCCTTGGCCAGTTTGCTCGTGGGAGTGGTTCTTCTCTGAGGAGTGGGGATCTTGGATGGTTTCCCTCCTTTTTGATGGGACGCAGAACGAGGCGTCCCTCGGGTCGAGTCACCGACAGTCTCAGACGCGTCCGAGCACACAGACTGGATGTCTGAGATGTCAAAGTCAGAGGCGTCACTTCCTCTGCGACTGCTCCCTCTGCTTCCAGCCTTACTTCCAGGACGGCTAGAATTTCTTCTCTCTAAATCATAAAAACAAGGACAATAAATAATGCTGCGGAACAATATACAATCAAAGGTATCTGTGTTTGTCACTGGCAGGTGGTTTTATTGGAAGATTATGTTGTTAGTACTACTTTCACAGTAATCATATTTAATAGCTTAATTAGTCTCGCCATTTTGGATGGTTTTCAATTCATACTCAATATTCCATGACGGCTTTTTGTTTTTTCAGAAGTGATAACAAGCTAGTCATTACAAAGAAGCGTTCCTTGCAGGTTAAGTAATACATCTTGTCTTTTACCGCTTTGCAGTTTTTGTAACACCTCAGACGATTCACTCATCATTTTCAACAGACTGGAAATCACTCTTTAGGTCCCTGAAGAGGTTATTGTAATCTCAACATGTTTTATTTAAACACATCAAATTGGGTTGTTCTTGATCAGTGTCAACATTGTTTTCTCTCTTTAAAATCAGAAACACTTGCTGCGAGTTTTCCACACATTTTCTTCAAATATGATGAGTCGCTGAGGTTTTTTCTCTACTCACCACCTATTGTCTGTCCTCGAGCTTTCAGTACTGCAGCGCTGATGAGCGTTCCCTCCTCACCACTCTGAAATCCTTTGCCTGACAAGTACCCAGGAAGACGCAATTTGCTGCCTTGAACAGGTGTACCCTGCAAAAGAAAGAACTTTAATGACTTCCCTTGTTCTTAACTGCACAACGTAGAAACAGTGTTTAAACGTTAAAAGAAAACATGACAAATGTTGTTGAGTTAGTTTGAAATTTGGCAGAAAGAATTCCCATTCCTTATTTTTGCAACAACCTAGGATCTATTTGAAGCAGTTAGTATTTGAAATATATGTTAAACATTAAAGTCATTAAAATCACACATGCTCAGATTACATCTCAAGTTCATATTCTTGTTATTAAAATGAGACCGACGTTTTGGTCAGGCGAGAATGAAATAATCAGCAAATTAGTAATAAGATAAGTTTATATGTTTTTAGACCCAACTGAAATCTCTAACACATTAAACCAACATCTAAAGGATCTGTCATTGTTTTAATTGCAGAATACATTGGAAAATCTAAATCAGAAATATAAACCACTAGCAAATACACCAACTAGGAGCTCTATCTTGTCTAAATGTTGATAAATCAATATTTCTTTATATTTAGTCTCTTTACAGTATTTGATAATTGTGTGGTAGATTTCAGTCGGGTCCTGACTGTGAAGCATCCCACATCATGTTCTGTATATGACTATACCTCTGAGGATGAACCTTGGCTCTCAAAGGAGTCTGATGATTTAAGAGGAGAGGATGGTTTGCTGTTTGTAAGCCAGGGCTTATCATAATTGCGGGATATGTGTTGGGGAGTCTGGGGAACAATGGCAAATCAAAAAACACAGACATGGAATCACAAATCAAAAAACTATGAGAAACACTAGATGGAAGAAACACAAAAATAAGGAAGAAATGTGATCAAATAATGTAAAATAAAGGAATAAATGAGAGGGAAATCATGATGGAGTGATCAATCAAGAGAGTGACAGAAACTAGATACCTGCGTAGCGGGGTCTCTCACCTTGGGTGTGCTGGTCACCGCTGGGCAGGGGGGGACCGCACAGCTCTGGCTGGAGCAGGATCTGTTGGGGGACGCTGCTCTGGACGATGGCCGAGACCTCCGGCCTCGATAGCGGAAGCTCGCCATCACCTGAGTGGTTCCCTCTGGCAGGATGAACTTCTCTCGCAGCTCCATGTTGGTTCTGCCTTTAGCTAAGAAAGGACATTCCAGGTTAGCCGGACTGCACAATATTAACATTGATTGTTGTGAGAGTTGATGATGATGAGTGAGATAACACTTTATTTTCTACTTTGGGTCCCTAATTTCACTGTTAATTGCATACATTTCTTGCAAGAACTGCTGCATTTACACCCAAACCAATATTCATCTACTATTATAATTTGTATTATTAATTGTTTTTAAATCTGTACGTTCAGATATATTCTTGCTGTGGAAATAAAATCACAAAATGTAATTTTCCAACTACTATTCTTTGTAGGCTACACTAGGAATTAGAATAGAATAGGAATGTCCAAATTACCAAATTACTGGGAAATGATAAGGGACATATATTAAATAAAGTGTTAAAATGAATTCAAACTAAATATGGAATCCAAAAACGGAATAAATGATGAAAACACAAGACTCATGCTCTTTCACATCTCATCCATACTGCTGCAGTACTACTACAATAAACGTTTGGTTTCTCAACCAGAAACAGACGCTTGTTTGCTTGGACTGCAAAGCAAATAGTCCAAATATTTAAACAAATTAAAGTTTGCACAAACACCCTGACACCAAAAACAAGCCCAAATAAATATGACGAAACCAAGAAAACATAAATACACCGAATGAACCAAACAGAGCTGGCACCAGTTGTGTTGAAAACAAACTGTCTTACATGCAGATTAAATCACCACTGTCAAACAAAGTAAAGTAAAATAAATACTGTTGTCAGTTTTGTTGTGTGTTATGTAGAGACCACTCCATCATCTTCCCCAATGATGGTGTTAGTCCAGTTTTAGATTTAAAAGTATGAGCATCAGTTGAGTCTCTCATGAGGTTTATTTGCTTGATTGTCAAGCAAACCTGATAAGTGCAAAAGAAGGTCGGCTGTAAGCCCCTCGCTACATGCAGAGACAAAAGAGCTTGTTTGGCACTTCAGTTCCCATGGAGATGTGACTCACACAAAACAACTGCATGCATGAAAACTAGCTGAAGGACAGCTAATAGTGAGTTCATGAGAATGCCATTCACGATGAGCGCTCACACAACAACCACGGTACCCAACACAAGAAGTACACACTCGGATGTGCAGACACACATACCACTGGTGGGTTCATGGAGCAAGGTGAGATATTGTGAGATTTGCCAACCTATAGGAGACTGAGTAATTGAAGAGTTTGACTCCGAGCGCAACATTTTGCTCCCGTGGTGATGAACTAGAAGAAATGATATCATGTTCAGCAGGAGGAAGGTTAAGCAGGAAATACAGAGGTTTATACTTAATACAGAAGATAGCAGAAAGAGTACATAGAGCAAAAGACGTGGGCTCAGAGAGGACGTTTCATACTGATATAAAAAGACAAAAGAAAAGACAGTCATAGAGTCTTCTTCCACTTATATTCAAATAGAAAATTAGGCTTTCCAAAGCTTTTGGTGGATCAGGCACCAAGCAAATAAGACTGTCTTTATAGCCTCAGTTATATAATGAAAACCTAATCATATTTACCTGGTAATTTTGGGGAAAAGAATATCACTAAATCAAAATATCAAAATGAGTTACTTAAGTCTTAATCTAAGGTAATGTATGTATGTAATCCTCGCACTAAAACGTTTTTATGATTTCAAATCAGTTCACATCAATATGAATTATAGTTTACCGCACATTGGGGCTGTCATTTTGCAATCTGCTGAACAATTCACAAAATAATCTTTATAACAATCATGATCTTCATCAAGAGTGACTAACTACGGAAGTATACATGAGACAACATTTGATGTGTACACTATTTAATGCATGTATTTTGCGTTGTGGCTTTTTGTTGGGAACTGTTGAACTTACCTCGACAGGGGTCGTTCTTCACCAAGAACTCATCCAGAGCCATCCAGCCTCCTCCCACACGCACCATCACAGTGCTGCGTAAAATCCTTACGAGCCGGAGCTGCTGAGAGTCTCCAAACTATGAGGGGGGGGGCAGAGAAGGGGAGTGTGAAATTGCTGACCTCCGCATGAACACTCTTTACTGCAGGTGAAAAGCTGTGCAACCCCGAAAACCAGACTGGTTTGGAGAATGACATTAATACCAAATGTGACATCAAAGTTTCCGTCCACTTTAGTACTGATTTCCTTCCCATGTTGCACAGATTTACACAAACAGGATTATGACCCAAGTATTTTTACTTTTCATTCACAAAGACACAAATTACACAAAAAGGCAATCCAACTGGCTTTCTTCTAGCGAGTGTGCTGTTGTGTGAGATCAAATGTGTTGTTCCTAATATACCTTATGAGTGAATTCATCCCACATAGCCTCATTTGATGCAGAGCCATACTCATTTATTGTTGAGACAAAACTATTAGCTAATATTGGCCTGCAGCAGATGCTTTGTATTGGTATTTGTGTATACAATTTGGTCTATAAAGACACAAAGTTACACACAAAAGTAAAGTGAAGAGTCCTTTTGGTAACTTAGAAACAGTACCTTCATCACATATTTACATGTTTTTTGTGAAGTTTAGGGGACTGATATTTTACTATTGCATCATATGATTATTTATTCTATGAAATAGTAGACTCAGGCTAGTATCAGTCAGGCTCTACACTGTTATCTGTCACAGATTATATCTTATTGAATGTTAGCTTATGCAGTGTATTGACATGCTGCATAGTAAATACAACTCAAAACACTTAACTGATACATTTTAAATGTCAACCCAAAGCCTATTACCTAAAAAATAAAGAAGGTTATTATCAAATAATTGTTCTTCCTCAAGCGGTCTTGGGTTCCCATAAATACAGCAGTGGAATATATTAATTTTAAAATGAATGTGTGGCTTTATTTTCCAACATGTGTGGTTTTAATCAGTGTATGGCTTCAGTTTGCTGCCTGAACTGCAGGTCGAGCCTGTGAAGAAAACATTAACTGAAGGCACATTATTTCACCAGCAGGAGGCACTAGAGAATAATAATTTGCCTTCATCATAACAACCACGAATAGCAAACATAAGAACAGGTGAGCATGTGATGGATGCGAATGGTTTGAGGTTTATGAGATGACACACAGAAGTCAGCCAGTTGGATGTGACCATGAGCATTAGCACAAAGACATCATTCACAATCACAGCTGCATGCTTTCTGTCAAAAACAATTCCACACCATGATCAAGCAGACAAACAGCAAACTCCCGCAATCCAGCACTTTCTAAGACTACGAATCAAAAGCTCAGGATGCACTGATAAGGATGCGGATCCAATGCAGCTAGCTCCAATGACACAACGGGATAAACATGACGAATGGTTTCAAATAATTTCCGTCTAATAATCCATCACAGAGACACGCAGACATGACCAAACACTGATGACGCTCCGCTAAGTGCCTATTAACTCATGAAGTCTCTTCAACTGGTAAAAACGTTTTATGATTTGTATAATGATTTAATGCCACTGGTGATTCAAGTGATCAAAATGTGATGATGATCTGGAGAAAAACGAGGCACAAGACATATTTTAAGAATAACCATTTACCAGAATACAGCTTTCCAAAACTGCAACAGGTAGGTGGGGGGTAAGATTTTGATTTTCCCTGTTTGCTAATGTCTCGTCGCCGAGTAAGGAGTCATGTAAGCATTGGACCTGACCAAACTGTCAAAAGAGTTATTATAATTAATTGTTGTGTGACACATCAATACAAACTACTTTATAAAGCAACACGAATGCCCCTCTTACTAACACCTCCCATTATTCATCTTAATCCAAATAAGCTTCAGCAAGCATAGGATCACATGAGTTTGAAACTGCAACATGCAATTTGTCAACACATAGTAACTCAGTCGGTAAAATGAAAAGCAATATATTCATTGAAATCATCATCGTAACCTGACTATGTAAATAGTTCATTTTATATCATTCACAACAGTGTGAGTGTAACACAAAAATATGTCAGCCATGTTTGTAAATCATTCCCATGATACTGAAGAGCCCAAGGCAAGCACACAGAAAGCATTATTGTCCAAGCTGCCCAGCAGATGAGTTTATGCCCGTGGACTTATAAAAGATAAGGCCTGAAATGGTATTGGCTTGTTATATTGTTTATCTGAAACTCAAAAGCAGATACTGTGTATCAATAAATAATACAAATATATGTTCTGACGTAAGACTGAAAATGCATCTTAGGCCAATGATCCTCGTGGATTACATCAGACGGCCATAGATCTTTAACTCTACTTCTGAGTTTCATTCTGTAAACATTAGCCAGGACTCTGGGCAGAGAGGGTTCATTAGAAAGCAAACATGGTAAATGAAAAAAGACGTAAGGCTTGATAAGGCACAGAATAGAGGGGTACAAAACACAAGAGGACTTTCATATGTACCTGGTTTCCAAGGTAGAACTGGGGATGTGAGGAACAATAAAAAATATAAGAACTGTTAGTTTTTATGACATATTGGCACTTCTTGAAGAACTTACCTGCTAGTATTCAAAACATTTTAAGGCAGTGTGTGTGTGTTTATTGGAACATCTGCTAATAATACTTTTTTTTTTTTTTTTAAATCTGCTTACCCGATATTTGTTGGCACCAATTTGCTCCACTTGGAATCGTTTTGTACATTTACACTTTGCCACTTGTCTTGTAACCTACAAACAGAGAAAACATTTGATTGAAACACAATTCTTTAGATATAAATATCTAGATATACATTTCAGAAATTCTGGCCATGAGAGATTTTATCACCTCATCTTCAATTTTGTCAGCATCTGTTAGCGGTTTGTAAGCATCCTTGTTGGGATGAAGAGCTGCCACAAACTCATAGTAGTCAATGTATCCGTCACCATCTCTGTCGAATATGTCTGCCACTGCGCTCATCTCCAGACGACTGGTGGGGAATTCTACAGGAGAGCCATGACAGTGTTACAAAATGGGGTGGGGGTACATGCTTTTTTTTATGTGAGTTTGTATGTTGGACACTTACTGGAGGACAGGATGCCCTCTATAAACTCCTGTCGGGTCACTTTGCCATCTTGATCCTTGTCGATGCGGCGGAAGAAGTCCATGACACGAGACTTCTTGTGGTTCATCCAGCGCATGTAGCGCTTCCGCCACACGTCAAAGTCGAAGTTGGCAAATTCCTTCAACTGCACAGAAACAATAAAGGGGGATATGAACACAACTTTTAGAATTTCTTATTTATTTCTTATTGTTGTGATTGGATTTATATATTTTTCAGATTAATTTAGATTTGAAAATATCTTTTGTAAGTGCAAGGTATATATATAACTATTTAGGTACATATACATACAGAATACATGGTTGAAGAACTGTGTAGGAATGGCCATTGTGATTAAATGTTTTGTTTAAGAAATCAATTTGAATGGGCTTTAACTTCCACACTCAATGATAACTCTTGTCTGTGTAAATCTTGAGTGTTTGATTACCTCCTCCAGTCGGTCCAAGGCATCGTTGAGTTTCCTCCTCCTGTCCAAAGCCAGCAGCCACACGTGCTGCCACTTAGTGACCAGCAGGTTGACCCGCGGGTTCTTGGTCTCAATGGGAGGCTGCGTTGCTGACGCATACATCGTCTGTGTGGGAGAGCGTTTTCCTGCAAGTGAAAGACCCTTATAGTGACTTTGATCTAGCCATGTTATGAGCAGGAATAGATAAGCATTGACATCATTCCAGGTGCTAAAATGGACAAGATGAGGATGTGGAGTCACCCTGCAGTGACTAAACAACAGGGCCAGATGGCTCAGGTCACGCTCTCTGAGGGGCATTTATAGGGTACATACTTCCAGTTCTTCCTTTGTCAAGCACAGGGATGTGAGACTGGACAGGGGGCTCCACAGCAGCCTTCCTTTTGTGTGTCTTGGTGATTTTGTCAACATCTGGTTGCTTCCTGGTCATTTCCTCCATGAATGCCTGCAGGGAAAAGCAACAAGTATGGTTCCAGTAAATGTACACTTACAGTCAATAACAACAATCAAGTCGTTTTACTAAATAACAACGCCAGTTCTGTTTATCTACAGCTTTTCTTTACCTGGTGTTCTGCTATGAGGCCTTTGACCTCCTCCAGCTCCTGTGGCAGCAGCTCCTTGTCCTTATCGTTGAGGTTGGTCTCGGCCCACTGGAGCCAGGTCAGCAGATTCTCCAGCAGCTCCTGAGTGGCTAACAGCTCAGAGAGAGCCGTAGCCAGCCGGTGCTGGTGCTGCCGCGCCCACGCCTGCACCTGTAACAGTAACATTAAACACATTATTCACACTAAATAGAGATACAGCAATTCCTTTCGTGTGATGAGGCATTACATTTAGTGATTTGTGTGAGGAAAGGCTGCAGGAAGTTATACGATAGGCATGTATGCAGCTGTGCACTGACCTCTTCAAGACGAGCTTTAATGATGGTGTTCCAGTGTTTGATGGTTGTGATAGAGTCTGGATGGCAGATGATCAGAATAGCTTCCCCCAGACTGGTTGCTTTATTTAGAGCCACTCGTTTCTCCTCAAGTTTCTTGATGAACTCCTTCAAAATAGCAAATGGGTACAAGATTAGATTTCTATCTGGATTCTCTTTGGCAAACTTAAAAGGAAGCACTGCTCATTATGTTTTTATTGTTGGAGATAATAGTGACTTCCTCAGGGAGGTTGTTCCAGAGTGGAGGGCCCTAAAAGATAAGGTCACATTTGGTGCTCAGCACAGATAGCTGTCAGAGCCTATTTATCTACAATGCTGAATTGTGGGAATGAAATATAACATGACATCTACTAAAAAACTGTTTATTCAAGCAACCTTCTACTTATTTACACAAATAGTTAACTTATCACCGCAATAAACCGTATTTAATTTCGTCTTAATGTGCATTATTTAATTTCATATTCTGTTCTTGTACATATCATATTCTATTTACATGTATACAGACTTCTTGCACAATTTTTTATTTGTATTTTATTATATATGCTGCATTGTTGGAGGAGCTCAGGTCAGAAGAATTTCATTGCCATTTCTACACTGTAGCTTATGTGCATATGACAATAAAACCTTTGAATCTTGATAAACTCAAAATGTGCCAGCATGTGAACGGTATTAATTAATTTAGTCATAAAAAGTTTAGTTTGAGAGGGAAAAATAGAAATATTTGCATGCTTGCCTTGTGTTGTCCGATAAGCGTCTGTAGCGCCTCCTCGTCATCAGGCAGGCTGCCATGGAAACGCAGACTCTGCTCGGCCTCGGCCAGCCACTCCAGTAGGATGTGAACGGTGGAGTGAAACTCCTCAGCCTGCGGCGAGAGGACACACATCAGCCAGCTCTCAGACACACTCTACCTTCTATGTACCAACAGTAGCTCCACAGTACCTGGCACAGCGCCTGCTCCAGCCGCGCCTGCTTGGACACCGACAGGCTGCACACCGTCTCCCAGCGGGTGCTCAGCTCCTGCATCTGCACCTTCACCCAGGACGAGTCATCGTGGCTGATGTCCGTCAGATCCCTGGCTGAACGTTTGAGGGCCTGAACGCTGACCGTCCTCTTTCCCAACTCCTTCTGGAATACCTGCAGCGACCAATCAGAGAAGGACACAGTCAAACTACATGAACCCATATACAACATACAGTATATACAAGTTTAATGTTTGTGTATTTAAAGCTCTATATATACAGTCTACGCATTCAAGCAAGTTTATGTTTTTACACTTTTTACTGTAATAACAGTTGCTTTTCAAAGTTTCAATATTAAGTCACGTATAACATACAAAGAAAAGGAAACTGAACTGTGAGGACATAAATATCAAAATATCCCAACACAAAATGTAGATCTTTGTCATCCAGCATTAAACAAATGCATGATCCACACAATGGAGAAGAGAAGATATAGGCATAATTAAAGTACATTAGAGTGGTTAGACTCATTAAATCAAACTCAAATAAATCAGTTTTTCTGGAACAGCAACAAACAACCACCCGTTAGCATGGACCAAAAAAGGTCCCCATGTCTTATTCAATTTGGCAAGAGAACAATTAAGAGTACACCTAATCTTTTACACTTTAACAAAGTAAAGAACATACAGTATATGATCCATAAGTAATGAGAGGGGAGTAAAAGTGCTTCTCGCTATTTATTATTTAAATAAAAAAGTCCAGAGGGAATTTGTGCTAATGGATTACAAAAATCAAATTCAAAAGTTCACAGATGTTAGTGCATTAGAAAGTACTTCCATTGCCGATGTAGTCGAGTTATAACTTGTTCTTTATACTAAACTTCAAAGAACAAGGACTTTGAATGGATAGGCATTACAATGCTAGCTCGTTTGTGATGTAAATATGAGTCAAACCCTGGTGTGGTTTAAGTGCTCTTTATTTTCTATTGTGATAATAAACTATGAGTGATAAAAGGAAAGGGTGGGGTCAGTCCAGCAGCGAAAACTTTTATGCTTCTGAAGTTTGCGTTGATGTGGTCTGCTGTTGTTCCTACCTTGTGGGTGTCTATCAGGTTGAGGACCAGGTCTATGTCTCCGTGTACGGGCTGGTCCTCAGCCAGCTGAGGCTCCACCCTGTACAGCCAGTCAATGAGAGCCTGGAGAGCGTCTGTAAACTGTCCCGAGAACAACAGGGCCTCCTCAAGCTTGTTTTGTCTGCGAGAGAGCACAGATCAATTACAGTGAATGAAGAATCTCTTATAGTCTCAATTGTTATTAAAACATATGCAGGAAAATGATTTCTTACCTTTCTACTGACTTGCCACAAACAGTGTCCCATTTGTCCCTCAGCTCACTCAGCATGTCGTCCAGCTTCTGGTTGTCATCTTGCAGGGAGGTCTTGTCTTTCAGGGCCCGTCCTGTCCGAGTGGTGGTGTCGTACACTGAGTGTTTGCTGCCAACAGCTTTTTGGAACTCCTGTGTATGAGAAATACTGTCATCAAAACACTGCTACCTCCAAAACAATAATTAAAAGGGTTTTAAATGAAAAAGCTGTGAAGTGAAAAGTCAAGTTCACTGGATTGTTTTAAATGTCATGCTTTAGATGTGCTGGGTTACAGTGAACCTTCTCAGCTTTTTCTTCCCTCTACTGTAGGCATGCCAGACAGTATCCTAATCTGTGTGTGTTGTAAGATTAAGGAGACAGTATTCTGTGAGGGGAAACCCAAAAAGGGGTCAAAAATTAAGAGTCACTGGGATTAAGAGTATCCAAAAGCATTTGTTCCATCCAGGGATTATGTAGGATTAGCACAATATCCCCGCATAACACTGCAGAGAGAACAAGAGAGGAGTGGGTGGGGTATAACACGGGTGAATGCACGACTGATGCTTTTTGTGGATACTGTAATTCCAATAAATATTTTTTGCAGTTAGAATTGCTGCTTCCAACTCCCACATACTCATACTGTCTAATTATTCTGACTTGTGTCTGTTAAATGAATGAAATTCTATCGTCAAAGGGGCCTGGTTATTTTATCTGTAACTAAATCATCATAAAACAATGCTTTGTCACCTTGTGCTGCGCCAGCTGCGTCTTAATTTTGTCTGGATCGTTTGCAATTTCCACTTCTGAGTCCAAAGTCTTCTCTGATTCGTCGAGCCACTCCATCAGTTTATTCCACGTCTCATGGAACTAAAGAAACAAACAAGGCATTTAAAAAAAGGTATGATGTCAATTGATTTATGGCAGTGTTCTGTTCAAACAGGAAAGGCTCACATTAATAAAACACTGTAATAGGCTCCAGCCAGAAAATGATCAGGTTTGATATAGTATTTCCAGAACTTTCCAATAACAATGAAACATATCGTCATAGCAGTGAAACAAAGCCAGAGATGGCAAAAGTACACACATCCTTTACTCAAGTAGAAGTACAGATACTCGTGTTTAAAAATACTCTGGTAAAAGTACTGACTAAACTTCTTTACTCAAGTAAAAGTAAAGAAGTATGGGCTTCCAAATGTACTTAAGTAAAAAGTACTCATAACTACCATCTGTTTTAAAGAGTAACTGACCTCTAATAATAATAATATTAATAGAACAATAATGTCATTGTTAGCTAATGAATGTTTCGATGCTGAACAACGGCAAAATGACAACGTTTTCATTGGTCCCTCTTCTTTAGAGAAGACCAGGAAATGATGGATACACGGATCGTGTTAAACTCAATAGGCACGCAATGACTCTAAATTATAATGATCACTCCACCAAACACAGATTACGAGTAACGAGCCTGTTTTGAAAATGTAAGAAGTAGAAAGTACAGGTATTTGTGTTCAAAATGTAAGAAGTAAAAGTAAAAAGTCATCAGAAAAATAAGTAGTGGAGTAAAGTACTGATACCAGAAACATTTACTTAAGTACAGTAACGAAGTATTTGTACTCCACTACTTCCCACCTCTGAAGAAAGCTGATTTCAAACCCCTGAATGAATACACCCAGAACAGTACCTGTTTGGCCCTCTTCCTGGCGTCGTCCAGCAGGCGGCCTCGCTCCACAGACCGCTGCACCAGCTTCTCCCAGCGGCCCTGCACGCTCAGCAGCAGGTTCTTGATCAGCACCACATCCTGTTTCTGGCTGAAGTACTTCAGGTGTGTTCCTGTCTTGTCCAGTTCAATGATGTGTTCCCTGTGGGAGTTCACCTCTGTCACAAACATCTGCACGGCACACAGAGGAGAGAGGGGGTTAGTTCAGGTGTTATAATACCAAAAGAGGAAACAGGCTTTTTTAATTGACAGCAGAGTTATTGATCGGCTGATGAGCTTTGTTCTGAATGAACAAACAGTGTGGAGTCATTACATTGATGTTGGCTTGATGACAAGGACAATTAAACTGCCCTTTTCTATATGACACTGATATTATGTATATATAATATCCTGCTTTATATTTTGTAACTGAACATTTATAATTCAACATGTATATTTTCTACTTTTTTTAATCGCTATTTTATTGCTATTGAGATGACATTTTGAAATGTTTATTTATAGTCTTTTAATTGTTATTGTACAATGCCATGTCTTTTAATGCTGCTGCAACACAAACATGTCCCAACTTGGGATCAATGAAGTACTTCTTATCTTATCTTATATAGCGTCTGGATTAAAGCATGGAACTGCATAAAAATGTGTCCACTTAGAATCAAAGCAATCATTTCATAATTATACATATGTAATAATTCAAGGCTGTGAAACCCTCCTCTCTGCACAAGCAATACCTTATGCTCATCAATCTGAAACATGATGGTGTCCATGATGAGGGAGGCGGGGGAAACCATGTTCAGTGTCTGCTCTGCCTGGGTGAGCCAGTTGATGAAGTCTTGCAGAGAGTTATGGAAATCCGTGGCCAGCGTCAAGGCTTCCTCTAGTTTCACCTGCAGAAACAACACATCGTCAGGATTTATGCACAGACATGGAAACAATCCTGTCGTCTGGTCGTACTAATATCATCCATATCCTGCTGCTGAAAACAAACCGCTTGGTTGCCATAACACTAGATCAAAAAGGAGTGGAAAAAAACTATTACACTTCAATTGTGCCGAACATGACCTCTAATTACACAGAGGAAGTTAACATCTCTGGAGAGGCTGGTGGTGGAGCAGGAGGGGAATGACGAGCTTTTAATTCAATGAGGGAAACATCCATTTGTTACAGCCAAGACCACTGGCACAGGCTGTAAATGGTAATGACATTACGAACCTGCAGAGAGTTATTGGTAATAATGCTTCATAAAGCACGAGAGAGGTTAATAGACCCTACTTATGCTATTATTTGAATAAACTATTTTATGCTTGGCAAACGTGTTTGTGCTCACTAGACTGTGGAAGTCTCACATTGCTGAAGAGAGTGTGGGCCAGCAGCTGCAAGTCTGTGTGGCTCTAAGATTTACCCGACTCTATATTTCTGGGAACAGGACCAAAGTAAATAGGTAGCAAAAGCAAAAATGTTACAGCAAACTTTCAAGCCACCAGAATATAAGGAGCTCCATATCTGGATAGAGAGCGGTAAAGGAGAGAAGCTTATTCTTTAAGCCATTTTAAATGAGGATGTTTATTTATTGTAGCAAAAAAAGGGAATAACATCAATACGATTTCCACAAGAAAAACATAGTGACCGATGACTGTTATTTTTCTTGATTAGCACTATTATTCATTGTTTGCATTTGACAAGTCTTCACTGTAACAGACCACAGTTGTTCCACGCTGACTCAGAGCGCTCTGATCTACAGTGTAACCACATCCTGTGTGTCTGTGCCAGCACGCCATCTTTACACCATTCATTATCAGCACCGGGATTACAGGCTTACAAATACCGAGTCATAGCTCAAGTGTGTGTCAGCGATCTCTCACTGGGGATCTACAGTAGGAATAGTTAAGCTGTCAACAGTGAAGCCCTATTATGTCTTCGCACACAACTCTCCACTGCATACCTTTCTCTCAGCGACCTTCCCCTGCACGGCGTCCCATTTGTCCTTTAGGTTGGCGAGGTCCTGTTCTGTGTTGCTGTCCGGACCCTCGGGTGTTATGGCAAGCAGCTGTTGACCCTTGTTCATCAACTCCTGATACAGATCTTCCTTCACCTCCAAGGCAGAACACAACTCCTGCAAGAAAACATGACATAATGACATGAGGGAAGCCATTGTCAAAGATAATGAATTATAGCTCTTATAGAAATGTATTTATTAGGATAAACCCCTTGAGATGCACCATCTCGTTTTCAAGGGGGTCCCGACAAAAGCACGTACAGTCTGTTAAGTCAAATTCATGAAGTAATACATACAATCATTATCTGCTTCAGTGTTAGATAGAACATCTGAATGGTGTGTAAGTAATTGGTCAATGCACAATATTTATTTCACCTTATATTTTCTAGTACAAAAATGCTGTGAAAATAACACTCTTAGAGGAAAGGTTCCCACAACTAATCCCTTTGTTTTTGGCCCCCTCATTACTGAAGCTCCTTCAGGGGGCGTTTGTTGTGAAAGTGTCTCCTCCATTAAAGAATGAGGAAAACAAAGGAGGGAAAACATTCCTAAATTCATTATAGTCAGACGTGGCTAAATCAATTCGACACGCTTTAAAAGGCTCTTTGTCATCTTCTGCAGGGGGATGCAAGTAGTGTATTTTGCAATGTCATTTAATTTTCACACTTCAGATAAAACACAGAAAAGACATCGCCGTCTCCTTCCAAGCCTGCTATCTGTATGCGGCCTTTCATATTGTTAAACACATACCAGATGGGCGTTAAGCTGCTCCCGGGCCGTGTCTGGTAAGCCTCCCACAGCCTTTGATGCCAACAGCTGACGTTCTGTGTCTTTCAGCCATTGCTGCATATCTTCTATCTCACCATGGAAACCTTGGGCCTACAACACAATACAACCTGAGTCAGGACAAAAGGTGTCACGCACATTCATTGTAAGCATCCCATGGGTGAGAGGAGGATGTCTGAGTTATTAATTCCTCACATTCATTAGCAGTAGTAGTGGGTTTTTGTGGTATTCAGCAGTATAAACTAAGACATTTAATTAAATAAAGCATTTGATAAGAAATTCAATAATTAGAAAGTGTCACTTTTATTTAAAATAAACTGTTAAAATGGTTGAACTTTTAAAGCTCACCGAGTAACAAATAAATAATAATACATATATATTATTTTTTGGCAATTTGGCAACACCTTTCTTTAAAACCTTCTAAACCTGGTCAAGATGAAGTGTTATGTTAAACAACATTCTTAACATTCAAAAGAAAATCCACAACATATTTATGTTTCCCTTATCCCCCCCGACATCAAAGCATGCGGCTAAAGGTCAAAGTTATGAATAGAAACTCCACAGGATAAAAAAAAAAGGAATGAGGAGGGGGCAGAGAGAGGGATCACTCCTCCAAAAACAATTTATGACTTTCACACAACTTCCTTGCTACCCTGGGAGAAAATAATCAATCATGGCTTATTAAACATCGAATAATGACATGAAGGTGATTTAAGTTACAGTGAAAGTATTTTTCATACCTGAAGCAGAGCGCTCTTGAGTTGTAGCTTCCTCTGATCCGTCTTCTCCAGGATTTCTTCCCACCGCTGGTTCAGGTTCTCCAGTTTGCTCTGCAGGCTAGAAGCTTCCTCTCCAGCGCTCGACTCCACCAGGTCTTTACCGGCCTTATTGACCGTCTCGACCGTCGCCTTGTGAGCAGACACATCATTCTGTAGAACCTGTGGAGATAAAACAGCCAGGAAAAATTAGATATTGGGTGGACGGATCTGGAAGACACATTTAAATCTACATGGGTAAAATGTAATGTTGGAACAAACAATAGAGGGCGATACATCCACTGCCTCTTTGATGTTTTTCTGATGCTCATTTACAAATACATAAATTTGCACTTTTGCCGTACATGATGCTTGGCGAGCTCGATCTCCACGGCTTTGGGGTCTCCTCCAGTCTTCCTCTGGTCACTGAGCAGCTCCTCGGTGTGGCTCATCCAGGCCAGCAGCTCGTCCAGTGCGTGCTGGAACTGACCCAGAGCCAGCAGGCCTCCCTCCAGTTTGTGCTGGATTAACAACAGATTCAACCATTAGATATTACAGCGCGTGAAAGCACTGGCATGTAAACATTACAAAGTATTCCATGGATCCATAGTTGAGTCGGATCTCTTAATGTCATACAAATGTCCTTCATAGAGAGTTGCATACTGTATTTAAACAGCGTACAGTATAGGCCTTTTAAATCACTTTTGAAAAAGTATCTTCATACAATGGCTTTCTTATAATATCTTCTAAAATTATACAGTTTAAAAATGTGATTTTGGTTTATTTATTTTTCCTTATGCTTGCCTGGTTATTTAAACTGTTTCTTGTATTTTATAACTGTCTTCTATGTGTAGATTTAAAGCAGTTTGTAACACTGGTTTTGATATTTTGTTTTCAGTCTGGTTTGTTGGTCTGTTTGTCTGAATGTTAGCGGGATAACAAAACAAATACTGGCCTTATTTTAACTAAACCTGTTGGAAGGGTATACCGTAGGCCAAATAAGAACCTATTAAATGTTGAATCCTGAATCCTGGGGCAGGTGCACAAAATCCGCTCTACCATTGCTCATACAATTATTTAAACCGCATATTGCCCCATTGAACATAAAGTGTGTGCATAAAGCTTCCCCTCTACATGTGTCCCTTTCCTGACCTGTCGGCTGATGATCTTCTCGTCGAGGTTGTCCCAGAGCATTTTGAGCTCAGACATTGGCTCCTGGATGGCCAATCGGTCGGCCTCCTCCGTCACCTTCTTCAGCAGGAGACCGGCCTGGTGGTTCAGGCGCTCCATCTCGATCTGCAGCTGGTACGCCTCTCCTTTGAACTCCTGGAACATACAGTGGTACAACCCAATCAGTCAACAGAAATACAAAAGCTTTTTGGACAATACATCCAATGCTCTTTCAAGCATTAAGGACAATGTGACAACTTTATGAAGCAGAGATTTAATACAAACTGGGGAAGGTATGAATCATCCTATTAATACAGCTGTGGTTATAGCAGAGACTCTGTAGCACTGAGTACAGGAGTAAAGTCAGATATAAATACATAAGACATAGCAGAAGGGAATTATAGAAGTAATCTGCTGTTAATTATTTAAACAAAATTACAAGACTTTACCTTGTGCTCTACAATCTGCTGCTTGACAGTTTCCAGGTCTGTGCCGACGGGTGACATTGAATCCAGTTTGCCCTCCAGAATATCCACCCAGTCAAACATACCCTGTGAACAGGGTGGGAAACCATTGTTACTGAGAGAAAACAGCCTTAGTGCACACACAAGGAGTCATGTTTCACATCTAGTGTCATGTTATGCACCAAGTACAATTGGTCTGAAGTAAATAGTATCATAGTAACAAAGTACGCAAACAAACAAAACAATTAGAAAGAAGCTCTTCTCTTGAATACATTTTAAAGGTGTGTTTTCAGTCAAACTGAGGACTTTTTCTTTCAAACCAGGAAAAGAGTTCATACACATGAGAAGAAGTTTGAGCAAAATAAAGCAAAGCGCTGTGGTTGGTGTTTATTGTTTCAAATTGAAAAAGGTCCCTCATAAAATGTATCACTTCATCAAGGGCAATAAAAGAAGGGTTTTACAATCTGGCTGGCTCCTTGTGTGTGTTTAACTCTAAAGTGCATGTACACGTCTCCATTACCAATTCTATAATTAGTCATACAATAAAAACAAATAACAGTAATGAAAAAGTTGTGTGAGTCACATGAAGATTCAGGGTCATTTCAGAAGCCTTACTCTGTATTTGTTCAGAGAATTCTTTAAAAGACACAGTGAAGGAGTGATCATAGTACCTGCAGGCCGTCCTGAAACTGCATGGCAGCCTGCATGGCTTCTTCCAGCCTCTCTACTCTCTCCTTCCAAGTCTTATTCAGATTTTCCCACGCTGAGTTCACCTGGAGAAATGATCGGGTAACTTTACCATAAGCCATGTGTAACCACAGAAAACAGCATAGACGGTTAGAAGAAAAACTCTGTATAAAGCTGCTTTGGAATGTCCTCTAGTACCTCATCAAGACTTTTCTTTATCACAGGTTTATCAGGTTCCCCGCAGGCAGTCATAAGCTCTTCACCCTGTGCTCGAACCACTTCAAGCTCCTCTTGCAGCCCATCGATCTCCTCTTTAAATCCCTGTCGAAACAAGAAGCAGTTGTTAAACCTAAGAAATGCTCCATCACTCTTAATCACCCATTCGTTCATTCATTCAATGATTTAACTCAGGGGTGTCCAAACCTTTTTTTACGGAGGGCCACATACAGAGAAACATACAAAAGGCTGGGCCCCTCAGGTATATTGCCTCATAAGTTAAGTTATAAGTTAACAAATTCAATCAAATGTAGGTCAATTATGCTTGATACTTGAATATGCTTCATCACAGCTTTCCATTTTTTTTGGTGGCAGCTCATTCCTTAAAACAGAAACCTCAGATTGCTTATGATTGCTTATAATAAGGGGAAATAGGAAGAGTTTATTTCAGGCTTGTTATGTAAATCAGTTATTGCGGTTTTTTTAATCAACTAAGATTAGTTTGAAAAAAAATTCAACTTCATTTGGCAACATTTATTTGAAAAGCGGGCTTCTTAAAACATTAATACTGTGTAATATATATATTTAAGAAGCATATTCCATTATACTTTTAGAATTGGCTGCGGGCCAATTCAAAATGGACCACGGGCTGCATTTGGCCCCCGGGCCGTAGTTTGGACACCTCTGATTTAACTCCTAGGATCTGTCTACCTCCACAAACTCCTGCTGCTGTTTGACGACAGAGGGATCGACCCCGGGCTCCTCCAGCTCTCGCAGCAGGTCCTGGCTGTCTTTGATGGTGGCGATGAGAGCGCAGTGGTCGCACCAGAACTTGTCGGCCAGGTCCATCACATCCAGGAGCTTGACCTCCCGCTCCTCCAGTAGAGCCTGGATGTCGCTCCAGAGGAACACCATCTGGTCCAGTTTGTCTTGTACAACTTGTGAGGCAGGAAAGGAATATAGAATAAATGAATGAATGAAATAAAAAATGTGACACTAACAGAATACCACAGATATCAGCATGTATTCCTCGGCTGTGTGCTGGGGAGCACAGCTGAGAGAACACACACATTTAATGAGAAACAGTTTGGTCTCCGTCTATTCCTTTGATTTTTTTATTGCAACTAAAACTAAGAATGGCATTCCCATTAAAGTCACACCTGGAGGAAAGCTTTGTGCAATTCAGTAAACAAAAATGCTGACTCAAAACTCAAGCTAAGATCTTGAGTCAAGGATTTTAACCAAGGAGTTTGCATGTTTTGATTGGAGGAGAATTATAGGTTTGGTCTGCGATTTTGTGCAGTATATCTCAATGTTTTTCCAACTTTTGACCTGTTTATTGTACTATTTGTCTTTGTGGCTCTCACATTCATCCCATGGCCTGTTATGGAGGAAAAAAAATGCATACCTTTGGCAGAGATATCCTTATCTGCTCCTTCAGATCTTGCAATCATCTCCTCGCCACGCTGCTTCAGTGTCTCATAAGAGGGCTGCAGTTTCTCCAAATCCACAGAGACAGCTTTATTTTCCATAATCTGCTCTCTGATCTTCTCCACCTCCACTGAGATGGATGGAGGCTGCCGCAGGCGCTCAGCGATCCGTTCCAGGGATTCCAACATCGGTTCTATTTTATCATGGAACTGGTGGAGGACGAGGAGACGAAATACCTCGGTTTGTTATTAAAACCTTATATTGTAACATCTCTGAAGAAAGCTGGGACAATGTTTAGCTAACATGTTACAGAAATACAATGAATGTACAACAAGACATTATCATAAAACCTATTGGTCAAACTTTGTAACTTTATTATAACATGAAATTGAAAGTACATTTGCTTATCTTATATATAAAAGCAACACAAATATAAGTAATTGAACAACTGCTCCTCACCTGGGTTGATTTGGAGGTGGCTTCATCCAGAGCCGCCGCTCTCTCCTTGACGTCAGCCTTGAGTTTGGTGTAAAGTTTGTCAGTCGCTGTGTACTTCTCTCTGATGGGCACTCCCTCCACCGGGCTAAGTTCAAGAAGCTGAGGTCCTGTCTTATTCATCTTGTCGATGTGGGGCTTATGTTCAGAAATCAGCTCTCTCATTTGCTGGGGAGGATAAACAGGAGACATATTTAGTTTTTTATTTCTCAATCATGTGTGTTGAACTTTTGCTCGTATCGGCTTCTTACCCTGAGCTCCTCTTGCTGCTGCCTGAGCGTTTCATACTCGATGGAGGGTCGAGGCAGCTTGCTGAAGGCGCTGACAGTTTCCTGAAGCCACGGCCACATCTCCTCATAGGTCTCCCAGAACTGACTGGCCAGAGACTGGGCTCGCTCCAGCTGAAGAAGGCGCTCCGAGTTCAGCTGACTGACGATGCCGTACTTCTCCAACAGAGTCTGGGTCCTGGCCTGATTCAAAATCAACAAGAACCTTTAATATCAACCACCTTGAACTGTGTATTAACTAATTATGAACGTCCCACTTCTAAAATAGGAAGTAAAGTGTTTATACCTTCAAGATGTCTTTCTCCTCTGGGTTTTTACTGTTCATGATGGCCTTTCCTGTTTTCACAATATCATCCACTGCATCCTTGTGCCTCATGATGTCCATGGAGAAGATCTGGAAAATCGGTAGAGTGAGTTTGGCTGGACTTCTTTACAAAACAAACCGCTGTGTTTACTGTACTTTGTTCAAATGGAGGCTGTGACTATCCATACACACACATACACAGTTTGATAGACTGACCTTCTGTGCTTGGAGCTGGGCTGTGGTTTGGTCCTGCTCCAGCCTAATCTCGCCCATCGACAGCAACTTACCCTGAGCTTCAGTCAGCCAGGAGAGCTCAGTGTCAGCCGCCTGTTCAAACTAAAAAAACAGAAAAGAGATCTTTATATTTTACAAAGCTGAAAACGAATAGGTCAACATTAAACAAGGACTTATAGAGTTAATAAGGTTACATTCAATTGGAAAAAAATGAGAATGAGAAAAGCTGTTTATTCGTTTCTCTGGTTTACCTGCTGTGACTTGAGTATCTGAGCGTTGATCTGGTCCACCTGCTGGGTGACGGTGTCGCAGACGCCTCTGTACCGCTCATTGTCCTCAGTCACCAGCTTGTTCAGAGCCTCTCGGGTGTGCCAGGGGATCAGATCCAGTAGAGAGCTGCTCAACTCATTCACCTTGTCCATCACAGGTTTCTGGTCTTTGCTCTCATTCAACAAGGCCTGGATAAGATTACATGACATAAAAAAGCACCAACTTTAGCATAGTGAACAGAAGCTTACTGAGTAATGACAGTGTTTTCTCTTAATTATATTGTAGAAACTCCTACCTTCTGCCTTATTTGTGCATGAAGGAGCTGCTCGCCCACGGGCTCCTCATCAGCAAAAGCGCTGACCTCAGCCTCTACCTTCTCCAGCCAGGAGCTCAAGTCCTCATGGGTGTTCTGCAGCTTAGCAGAGAGACTCGAAACACGCTCCAATGTCTTCAAAACGCTGTCACTCATTGAGTTGATCTCAGCATACTTTGTTTTTATTCCATCCAGTTTGCCTTGGATCACCACCACCTCATCACCTATAAATAGAGAGTAAATTATGATATATTAATTCATGGAGTTTTGTATTTCTGCTGTAGTATAGGTAACTACAGTATGCTGTTAGTTTTGCAGAACATAGAGCGGTAGCAATGAGAGTCAGATAAGCAGTATTACTCATAAATGTAGTCAGTGCCGTACAATTTAAATGCAAAAATGACTGACTGATAGCAAATAGTTTGACATTTTTGGAAGAAATGATTAGGCATTTTCACTTTGGAGTTACAATGCAGTTACTGCACTGTAACTTTTATCCATGTATTTTTTCTTTTAATGTTTATTTTATTATCTTTTCTTTTTAATGACTGATTTTAAATGCCATTTTCTAAATGTCATTCATTTTTTGTAAAGCACTTTGAATAGCCTTGTGTTGAAAGGTGCTATATAAATAAACTTGCCTTGCCTTGCCTTGCCTTGGATTGATACTGCACACATATCTGACTGGTTTGCACTGTACATGCTGGAGCCAGCACTCGTTAGCTTAGCTTAGCATAGAGGCGGGGAAAAGCTAGTCTGGCTCTGTTTAAAGGTGGCCAAATAGGCACAGTAATTTCCCCAAGAAAGTTATTAACTTGCACAAATAGGAAACTGCCCGTTCTTTCTGAAAATTAGATTATAGATTATAATATATTTCAGACATTCAGAACTCTGGCCAATACTTTTTTAATACACATCATAAGATGTCTGAGAGCGGTTCAACAGTGGACAGAGACACAATTGTTTGAACTGTGATAGGGAGTCATAAAGTCAAACATGCCTGTGGTTTGCTTCAGAAGCTCCATCCCGTTAGCAATGGCTTGGTCAACATTCTTCTTCCTCAACTCAATATCACTTTGTAGGCCCTAAAAAAGGAAAACACAACCTTAAGAATTCATTGAGAGAGAAAATAAATGTTCCACTGTAAGCAATGATAACACACAAACAATAAAGTGATTGATGCAACTTAAATGAAAGGAGTACAAAGTGCGTGGCCTGGAGAGGAGTGTATACCCGTTGTTCTGCCAGCTGCTTTTCAAGAACATCTACTTTGTAGTCCTCCGCGGACACTTCGCTCAGCCTCCCGTGCGCCTCATTCAGCCAGTTCATGAGAGCCACCTCGTCCTCTCCGAACACCTGGGCGTTGGCCAGAGCCTGCTGCAGCATCTCAGCCCTCCTCCTGCATCGCTCCTGGAGCTCTATGTAACCGGACTGAGTGGAGTCCAGTTTGGACTGAACAAACTCCTTTTCGTCCACTGAGCTAACAGCTTTGAGCATCTGACCCAGACTGACGGCATGTAACAGGTCTTTACTGTGATTCATAATCTCCTCCTCTAAGGCCTAACCACAGGGGATGGGAAACAAACCAAAGAAATATGACACAAACAGAAAAAACAAAAGAGGTAAACTGAAATTATATAAAAAACAGAATGGGTAATAATGAAATGCACCAACGTGCAAAATGAAGGAAATTAAATTCAGCTGAACAAAACCAACTGTATGATAAAAACAAACAGCAATGATGAAAATGATGATATTACCTTATGCTGGGATATTTGGTCTTCCAGCCTAGACGTCTCAGTGCCGATGGGTTCGGAGTTGGCTAGGTGTTTCTCTGTAGCCGCCAGCCACTCGCTCAGGGGCTCCAGCGTCTCGTGGAACTGCTGAGTGACCACTAAGATGCTCTCCAGTTGCTTTTGCCTGAAGCATTTATGAAAACAGTAACAGCAATGAATCATGAGCAAAGGAAAGTCATGTACAGAGTGACAGGCAAGTTTATTCCATTATTAGTTAATGAAGAAATGTTATCTACATATGAATAACGTTTAAGAGCCATGTTCTGAACTGAGAGAAAGGTAAGGTAGGTCTACTTTTAGTTGGAGTTTCACATACTTTTAAATATACCCAGATTTAAACGAAGGCAAAACTCAGGTTAATAAAAGGGCAAGACTTTACTATTTATTTGAGGTTGTTTCATTAGCAACCTTTGCTGTAATAGTTTGACATTTCTGGAAATAAATGTTTTTTGAATTTTCTTGCAGAGAGTTGTTCAAGAAAATAAATATCACTTCCATTTATACAGGCTACATTCTACAGAGGCAAAAGTTGACACCAGCAGCCAGCTAGCTTAGCTTAGCACAAAGCCGGAAAACAGGGGAACAGTTACCTTGGGTCTCTTAAGGGAAATAAGATCCCTGTACCATAAACAGCATTGGATGATTAGCAGGATTTAGAGGCGCTAATATACAGCCTTTGTTTGGACAGAGTAAGGCTAACCCTTTAATCTGTTTCTAAGCTATTAGTTTCATATTTATAGCACAAAATAAAGAGTGATATCGATCCTCCCGTCTAATCCTTGGCAAAAAGGCAATAATTACATTTCCCAAATGTTTCATTTGTTTTTGCTTCATTAGGGGAAAAGTGAAGCTGCATTTTGGTGTGTCAATCTTTGTACATTTTGAATATTCCCAGATCCAAATCCAGGCAAAACCACAAATTAAATTAGGTGGAAGCATTACAAGGTGTTAAGTCCTTCATTAGCAACATTTAACTGCAAATTAAACGGTTACATGTGTTTTATACAGACCTGTTTTCAGCCTTCTTGAGCAGACTGTCCCACCGCTGTGCAAGGCATTCAATCTCCTTTCCAACCTTTTCTTTATCCACAGACTCTGCCAGTTGTGCAACCTTCTCTCCCTCTTTCTTTATCAGCTCCACTGTTGGTTTTCTGTCATCCAGCAGTCTCTGTAGGAGCTGTCAAAGGGAAACAAAGGAGGACAGTTATTGGGTGCCTTTAACTAGCTCTGGCATTGCTTGGTGGTGAAAAACAGTAAATCTAACGGGCACAGATTAAGTGTCCATTAAACCAACAGCTTTGTTTACCACACTTTTGTTCAACAATGGGTGTCAATTAAATGAGATGGATGGCAGAGTCATAATGCTGTGTGGATTTTCTGGTGTTGAAGTGGAACGATTAAACAGAAGTGTAACTGTGGTTTTATGGCTTTATGCATTTGTACCGCGTAATACCAGCTTACTTTCTGCTCTTGTATCTGTGCCTTGACCACTTTGAATTCTGCAGATGGAGGTTTCTGATTGGCTATAAGCTCTTCTGTGTCGGTTAACCAGCTGAGCAGTGATTCCAGGGCATCCTGGAACCTCCCACAATGCAGCAGGGCTTCATGCAGCTGGGCTGAACGTTCAGCGATCTGCAGACCACATGGTAAATAAAGATTACACCTTTGTTAAAGCCGACTGAAAACTGCACCTAGTAACTCAAAGGATAAGACTACAACAAAAACAGATGACTCATTACATTGACAATATCTCTCTATAGTTTCACTAATGACCACTTTTCAAAAGCAAAGAACAACCAGTCAAACCGGTTGTATTAAACAAATAACCTTTTTATTGAGGGTATTCCACTTTGTGCTGACTCCATCCAGGTCATCCTCAAGCTTCTTGGTGCTCGTGCCTTTAGCAGCGTTTTGTATCAGGCTGTGGCCGAGAGAGCTGATGTCCTGAAGCTGCGTCTGCAACGGATCAATGTCGTCTTTCTGGAAAGCCTAAAGACAAATGGAACAAATACGAATAAATATGTTATAAGCACTCAAATTACGAGGCGTTTAGTCTTACTTGGAGGTTCATGGAAATGACTGGATTACTGTTCCAGTTTCAAAGCACGGAGAACTAATGACACATTAGTTTTACTTGATTTTCAGAACGAGACCAATTAAATAGCTGATTCTTTCAATGAACAGAAAGATGACTTTGATCTTGATATTATAGGGGGAAAAAAGTTCAATTGACACCAGGAATTCAGGTTTGTTGTTAAAAATCCAGCTGACATAAACAACTCTCTAAACCAGTCAGCAGCTTCTAGAAAAGGAGAGTTAACAAGTAAAGGCACGGCTGTGCACAATCCCATTGATAGGCTGCAAGGGTAAAGTAGTAAGGAGGAGATATAAGTTAAAAGTGAAAGGTGTAAATAGAGTATATATGTAGATATCTTATTATTTTTATCTTGACCCATTTTTATTATAATGGAATCCATCTGCATAATTTATTTGTTTGCTTTCTGCAGGAAGTACATTTTCCCTGTGAACAATCAATTCAGACCTTGTCTTGAACTTTTGTAATTTAAAACCTATTTTACTAATCATGTTATCAGATATAAGAAAAAGTTATAGCTAGCACCCGGGAAAACACCATCAAAGAAGCAACAAATCTAGTAAAACATGTGTAACCAGCTAATGAACAAAGAAATGAAGGGTATCTTTGGGCACCTGTGGGGAGAAAAAACCCATAGGGTTCATTTCAGGACAAGCAGCGATGGCATTCAGTAAGGCCTCTATCTCCTGCTCCCCTGCGTGCTGGAACGTCTGTAAACCTTTAGGCAGACAGGCCTCGACTGATTGCAGAAACTCCTCCAGGTCCTCCATGTTGTACTTGGACGCTCCTTGCTCAACGGTACATGGTTTTGCCTGCTGGCGGCTCTCTACGGGTAGAGTTACAGAGTTTCCGTGCGTCTCAGGCTGTGTCACCACCACACTGACCAACTCACAGTCCTCCTGAGGTGACACATCCTCCAACAACTCAGCAGTGGACAGCTCATCATAGTCTGTTAAAGTCCTTGAACGCCATCCCGAGCTGTCGTTTTGGGTCCTAGAGCCTGACCCCGAGGATAACCTCCCTGTGGAGTATTTGTATTCTCCATTGCTCAGGGTATCCTTTACATTTAGATCCACCACACCTGATTCTGTTTGTCGCAGCCCCTGCACCAAGCTGCTGCTGTGATAAAGAGACCGATTGTCCCTCACCGGTGAGAAAGGGAACTCCCCCTGCCCCGAGCTCAGCGATCGCCCAGCTCTTAGGTCCCCAGACATGTGCATTGCCTCTGAAGACGAGAGGCTCCTTGTGCCGGGGCCCACTCTTTTGTGGGACCTATGAGCATGTCTCTCCCTTTCCACAGTTGGGCTGTACAGACCCGAGTCCTCTTCAGATGTCAGTGAGCTGGTCATACTCTGCCCTCTCCTGCCATTGATCAACCCCGGCCTGTCCACACTCCCCGAGCACAGGGTCCCACTGCGGCTTGCATACTCCCCCAAGTTAGTTGGGGCAAAAGTCCTCCATGAGCGTCGCTGATGCGGGTGATCCTTCTTCTCTCCTGGACGTGTCTTAGGTAGCACTGTGTCAGTCGCCCTGCTTATGTGCCCATTGAGCTTAACACCATCAAAGACCCCACGTTGGTCGAGGATGGCAGGTTTGCGGGTTCGGAGCTCAAATGAGCTAGAAGCAGAAAGGGCTCCATTTCCACACAAGTTGCTAAAGTCTAACGTGCGTTGAGTGTAAGGTAGGGTGCCCGTGAAGTGCCTGGAGGAAAGGCTGCCCTTAGAGCCCGAGTCGATCTGCTCGTTGAGCCGGACAGTGTCATAAATGGACCTCTGGGGCACATAGCAGTCATCAATGTTCAGGTCCTCCTCCTCCCCCTTCCCCACACAGGAAGGGTTTTGTCTGAGGCAATCTGGTCTGCTCAGCGGTTTGCCCATGCTAACACAATTGTTAATACTCACTATAAAATAAGATTAAGGATGAGGGGAAATCCTTTGAGGTATATCTTGTGCAAAATGTGTAATTTAAAAAGAAGCACAATTTCACTCATTTACAAAAGAAGCAACTGTGTACAAAATGATAACTGTCCCCCTGTTTTCAATGGTTAACAAATAAATATCAAACGTTTCCACTTGTCTTGTTAAACATCACATCTACAGTTGCTTGTGGAGATTTAATTTGAACACAATTAAGTTGATTCAAATAAAGGCTTTAGAAATACAAATAAATCAAACAATATAAAAAATCCCAAACAAATGCTAGGACTGTATAGCAGCTTCATACTCCGTAGGAATACAAATCCAGTCTTTCCACACAGTTACTTATCCCGAGAATATTCCTTTAGGCTCTTCTACGTGCATTGCCAAATCTTAATCCTTATTCCTCTGGTCCAAAGTGCTTCTTTTTCCCTGAAATCCTCACAGCATCCACGAGAGCTTGAGGAAAATCTTCAGTGCAAAGTGAAAAATATCCACAGGCAAATCCAGCAAGGCTCTACGTAAAACTGTGGGCAGTTCTGAAGGGAGCTGGTACTCCTGGATAAACAAAAAAGCCTGCCCTTTCTCCCTCATCGCTCCCTCGCAATGACAGACACCCTCCTGGCAGAGGGTTTCATGCCCCGCCCCCGCTCATTATTCAGACAACATCTGCCACAACTCCATTTGTGCTGAGAGCCGCTCCGGCACATGTTGATTGGTGGACACATGACCCTTTTTTTTTCTCCTCCTTTCCAATTCCCCCTTATGTCAGCATGGCCCGTATGACATCACTTCTAAGCCATCTTCTGCATCCTGACACAATCACGCACTTTTCTTTCAGTGAATGAGGGAATGGGGAGGGGAAGTGATACGCACCAGATTTCTTCTACTTAAAAAAAAAAAAAAAAAAACCCTAGACCAGCAGGCAGCAGCAGCTCCCACTCTGATGACATCACACTCTTCTGAAATAGATACACATTTTTCCTTTTTTCTCTCTTTGCCCTCTGTTTTCTTCTTGTGGACGGTTGCTGTGGACCCTGCAGATATTGTTAATTACTGTGGAATGCTGAGGGAGGCACAGGTCCCAGGTAATTTAACACCGACAGCTCTGCCAAGTGCATGAAGGCGCTTTTTATGTCCAGTGACCGGGGCAGGAGAAGAAAGGAGAACAGGGGAGATAGTGAAAGGAAGTCATTTTTGTTTCCTGGATTGTCTTCACCATAGCAGATCAGTAAAGAGCTGAACAATCCCAACCGCTTTGTCCAGCTCTGCACGCATGAGAGGAGATGGATAGAGGACACTGGCAGTGATAAATTAGCAGTTAAGATCTGGATCTGAAAAAGGGATGTTCGGTCACTGAAACCTGCATAATTTTTTCATTTGCAGGCATTTGAATGTTAGAACACTAATTATCATTTTTCTCTTTGGGGTCCCTTTGTCCCCAGTGTCCAAAATATATTTGATACTTTCTGAACTTTACAGAAATGATGAACCACAAAAGAGTTTAAAAACAGCAAATACGCTGGAAGCTGGAACAAAAAACGTAGAAATATTCACAACAAAAAATGGCCTCAAAAAACGTAGAAATATTCACAAGAAAAAACGTAGAAATATTCACAACAAAAAATGGCCCCTATTTTTTACAGACAAGTAGATAATACTTTAGGTTAATTCAGGCTGATACATTGTATTAACTAAATAGTCGGCTGATCATCTGAAGATCTAGATGTCGGTTTAATCACTTAGGATGTAGGCCTACTTTGGAAAAAAAGACTAGAACCCTTTCATTATTAAAACGTGCTGCTTTACATCAAAACAACTTAAATTCGACTTGTAGGGCAACTGTCCTTCAGAAGTTTCACGTTTCACTTTCAGAGTGTATCAGTGGCAGTGAGTCAGCGGTACTACATGGTCACGATGACACTTTTTGCCCTCTTTTAGCTTCATTGAATGGGTTAGCTATAGAGTATGATTCAGATGCTAGAAACTCCTTCCCGAACTTGTAAGAGACAATGATGTAATGTCTGAAAGAAGGGACGCCAACCCCCAGGGGTGTTGAGTCACCAGAGCTGCCCTTTAAGGTTCATGTAAAGATATACATTCGCCAGGACTCCCTCAGGCGTGCTCCTGCGAATCTCAAGTGAAAACAAGAGTAAACACATGAAGTCAGGCTCTCTCTTTCAAAACTTGACCTAAAATGGTAACAGCACATAAAAGAGAGGAATCCAAGAGCTGTCTTTCTCTGTTTATTTCTTTCTCAACAGCTGCCAATAAAGTCCACTTACCTACAGAAATAAGAGCCTGATCCGCTGAACATATAACAGAATATGACACATTAATGACCTCATGTTGCAGCTATATAACGAAATAACTAAAGTTCCGATACTGCTCTTGTTTGTATGGGTACGAATTAGTACAATGGGGGTTTTCCACGAGCAGCTGAGGCTGTATATGCCCTCTCAACCCAGCCTGATGACAGGACAAAGAGGGGGTAGAAACATGCACCATGACAATGCTGCTAGCAACTCTTTGAATCAATCACTGCTTTAATAGTTTCCCTGCGAGGCCTAAACCAAATTCCACATAATAAAATAAAACCCCCTACCCCCACGATATTTTAATCCATGTATCTCAACTGGAGGTTTGCATGTAACCCTCCTGCCTAAGTGAAGCACCCCCGTAATTACAAAAAAAAATCCCCTGACCTATATCTTAGCACAAATCTGTGTCATTTGACTACCCACGGCTTTTACATTGTTTTATTGTAATACTTTCTAATGCTACAAATGAAGAAGTGTTTCATAATGTCACCTCTGAATATAGGTTAATCCTCTTTAGGAAAACTCTACAGGAATTTAAAGGCTTTGAAAACATGTTTGCATCTGTCTGTAAAGCTTGCTCATGGCCACCCCTTGTTGTTGTTAACTAAAATGTTAAAGATAACATGGAGTGTCAGAGGAATTAAAAACAGGTCATTAGGACAATTATAAATGGTGTGGTATGTCTGTAATACTAAATATAGCATTACCTAAAAGTACATTTTTATACAAACAGTTGTTGTACAATATGAATTAGCCTAAAGGAATAATCTAGAGCATTTTTGGGTCAATTAAATATGAAGTCTTAACCCAGCAGTAAACAATAAGGTTTTTTATTCGTGGTAACCCAACCATCACCATACTAAGTGGTGTCTATATCCAAATTAACACCAGGCTACTCTAAGCTTAGAGCCCCAGATAATATCAGGCAGTGAGTGTTCAGGCTTAAAACAACAACACTATCAATGTGAAGAGATCAGGACGCAGGCCCAGCTCCTCTAATGGGACCATTGAATCAAGTGACGCCCTGCTGGTGACCACCTGGCGGCGAGGGTCCATCCCTCCTGCCCCATCACTGCACATGGGCTGAGCTCTTTTGTTAACACCAGATGCCCTTAATGAACCGGCAGTCCCCAGAGGATTGCTTTGCATGTAGCCAGTGTGCTGCTCAGAGAAGAGCCTGAGGATAATCTGCCCCAATGCAAGGCTTTTTTGGAAAGATAGCTTCTTAAATATCAAATGTTTCAAATATACTGTATGGGAACCTAGGAGATAATACAGTTTTAAGCCCAGTGATCTTGGTAGAAATAAAAACAACACATGCTTTTTTAAATAACAAAGGGGACATTTGTGAGATTGGTCAGATACTGCTTTTACCATTGTCAACAGTAAATTCAATATGTTGTGTTTTTGGATTGTTTCCAGGTTAACAAAAAGCCCTAAGCCTTATTCTATAAAGGAAAATAGTTGATGCATATAAACAAAAATAAGGGTACCTGCTGCTGTAAGTTCCATCATCCAAATCAATCTCTTTGCATTATTAAATCAATTCAGTTTAATAGAAATACCATGTTAAGGTGTAAAAAACTAAAGTGATTGGGAAAGCCATACCTTAAAGGCCTCCAGCTGTTGGTTGATGCCATCCGTCTCCATGCCGACCACCTCCTGGGCCGCCTCCTTGGCCACAGCACCGCTCAGTTTACTGTCTGCTTGGTGGAGTTTCCCGTACAGCTCCTCCAGTTTGGTGAGCGTGCTCTGCACCTGCACCCCTCGACCTTTGGCCCTGTCCAGCAGCTTGCCACACTGCTTATTCAGAGCATCCAGATCTCTCTTCAGGCCCAACAGGTCGGGCGAGCTTTCAGTCTCCATCATCTTCTTACAGCTGTCTCCAGCGTTGGCCGTGTTGGCCATCAGCTCTTGAAGCTTCGCCACGAAGCTCTGAATGCTGTCCTGCTGTTCTTTAAGAGTGGCCAAGTGGAGATCCACAGGAGCCATGCTGTCCAGTTCATCGTCCAGGTCCGTGAAAGAGGTGAACATCTCTCGGATGCGGTTTTGGAACTGCCCAATTCCCTGCAGTTTGCCCTCCAACACCTGGCACGTCTCCTCTAGTTTCTTGTTAAGTGAGCTGTAGTCTTTATCCATGCTGTCAGCCTGCAGTAAGAGGTCTGTCACTCCATCAGCATCTGGGACACCAACAACAAGGTCCTTGGCCAACGTCTTCAGGTGCTCCACTTGGTTCTGCGCTGCCTCTAAACTCTTATGTTGGGCTTTGATGTTGGTCAGGTTCTTGTTGCTGTGTGCCTGCACTCCCTGTGCTTCATAAGAATCCACTTGCTTCTGAGCCCCCTCGAGCTGACCCTTTGCCTCTTTGTAGGCGTCGTTGAATTCCTTAACTGTATGTGAGATCTTCTCCAAGGATTCCCTTTTGTTTTGTAGACCTTCCATTACATTATCCACTCGTTTGCCAATGCTAGCCTTCTCCTCTCTGATTGCTTCAGTGTCTGCGTTGGCCACCTCAAGAAGACTATCAGCGGCCGCGTTGAGCTGCCCCACCATCCCCCTGTGCTTGTCCACATCTTTCTGGAGAGCCTTCACCTGAGAAATGGAGCTCTCCACATCAACCGGATCAACAGTGAGTTTGACTCGGCCCTCGCTGGCTTCACACTCTTGAATCCAGGAGCCGAGCTTCTCTGCATGCTCCTGATACTTCAGAGATTTCTGCAGAGCGGTCTCGAGTTTGCCAGCTTGCTCCACAGAGCTCTTCTTCACCTCCTCCCAGTCGGATGACAGTGTAGTGAGCTGCCCTTGTAAAGCCAACTTTTCTGCACCGTCAATTTTCTGCAGGAGCGTCTCTCCTTCCCCGTGGATTGTGTTATAAGCTTTGTCATGTTCCCCGAGAGTTTTCTGGAGTTTACTGTGCTCCTCCAGGGCCTGTTGCAGGACTTCCGCCTTGGCAGAGATGGGCTTCGGCTTAGACTGTTCCTGGAGCTTCTCACCCAGCCATGACTGGAAGTCTTTGGAGGTCTGATGGAACTGCTGAGAGCTGGCAAAGGTTGAGTTGAGCTGCTCGATCCGTTTCGCTACAAGAGAGGAAGTGCAGCAATTAGTGATGTAAATACGGCAAAGAATGCTAACTGGGAATATTGTTGCTTATGACTTTCCATTCTACATTTCGGATAAATATATAACGATATAAGACACCAAATGTAAAATTCATTGTAAAAAAGATGACAAAAAAGCCAGAGTTTAAAAGAGTGATAGTGATTGTTAGCCTCTTGGGTCATAGTATAAATATATTGTAGTGTGACTCAACACAAAGAGAATGTTTATTTCTCTCCAAACATTACAACACTTGTTTTTTAGGTTAAGTTGAAAGGCCAACCTGCTTTCTCTTCCAGCTGTTTGAAAGGTTTGCTGACACTCTCTAGCTGTCTGGCCAAGTCTGCTTTGAGGTAGTCTTCCGTCACCATCGCTGTGAGCTCTGCGTTGATGGCCTCCGCCTCCTTCAGCTTCTTCCTCTCCTCTCTCAGCTGAGCCGAGATGTTATGGACATCCTCCAACTGCTTCTTCACAGCGTCCGGCTGGGTGCTGTGGCCCTGGTGGTTGGTGAGCTGATTCTCCAGCTGAGTGGCAGTCTGACCGACACCCCTCAGTAAATCCTGGAACTGCCCTGTCTTCACCGCCGCCTGGTCGATGAGGCTGTCTCGCTGGTCCAGCTGTCCCGTGATGCCCTGCCACTTCTGGGTGACGGCAGAGAGCTGCTCCCTCACCAGCTTCCCCCCGGAGGGGTCCTGGTTGCCCGAGGAACTCAGGATGGAAGAGGCAGCTTCCTCCAGTTTCTCATATTGGGGTTTACGGCTCTTAAATTCGTTCTGGAGGATCTGGGGGGGCAACAGAAGATACAAGATGAACATTTCTTAAAAGGAAACATTATGATAAGTAGCTCTTACAACCCCACTCCAAAACATCCTAACCAATTATTCAACCAAACATGCCAAAGCTTACCTGAACTTGTTGCTTCTGCATTTTGAGCATATTTGGGTCGATCGAGAGGGGTCCGAGGACACTCATCATCAGCTCTTTCTCGGAAAGCCACTGACCAAGCTGCAGCTGAGTTGTTTGGAAGATGTCCAGGTTCTTGTTGGACTGCTCCAGGTGCTGCTTCCTCTCCTCTACAGTGCCGCTGATATCTGCCCAGGCAGCATCTGAGCAGGGGGGCAGGAAATTCACACAACTCTGCATTAGTCAGCATAAAACACCTTGATTTCAACAGTCCTGCTGTGCTCCCTACAAACCTCCCACTGCGCAGGACCTGGCACCAAAAATGTGTTAATTTGACTAAAGCAGGAACTGAGAGACATTCTGTACACTGCTCATGATGGGTAGATGATTAGATGAACTTGAGTAACATAGCTGGTCTAACATCTCATATATGTCAATTTGTAAATGCTTGTACTTAATTAAAGGCCAGTGCTGGAATGAGATACATTTTTGGTCAGGGGGATTCTCTGACAGTTTCAGTGACATAAATGACCCAGGGCCATCTGGAGACAACACCTTGAATCATACCTATTTCAGCGAGCATCTGCTTCCATTTTGCCGCCTCAGGGGAGTTTGGATGAGTCTTAATCAAGTTAAGGAGCGTTTCTCTGAGCGTCTGAAACTGCTCCTGCTTTTGCTTCATGCCCTCCTCGAATGCCTGAGAAAATAACACAAATTATAATTGCTGAGTCCTGTGATTTTAAACTAGAGTGTCATATGATTATCATTCCACGCAGAACAAACAATGTTATTGAGGGTCGCGTGCTGTATCAGCACATAATAGAACAGCTGTTTAAAGACAACAAGACTCTACCTTCTGCTGTTCCAGCTGTGTTCTCACAGAGTCTTTCTCTGTGGCTGCTTTGTTCCAGGACGCTGCTGTCTTTTTCATGTCCTTCAGCCATGTCATCATGTTGTCCGTCTCCTCTTTGGCCTCTTTCACCTCCTGAACTGAACTACTCAGATCTGCTGCCCGACTCTTCAGCGTTACCCCGAGGCTTGCGTATCCGTCATTGACGAATGACATGTTCTGCTGAATTACCATCAGCTCTGAGGGCATCAGACAACAGTTTAAAGTCAGTTTCATCATGTGGTTGTGATACCAGCCTCATTGAAAAAGTACAAGAGCTATAAATAGGATTCTAAATGGTATTGCCTGAGACCCAATGAATCTGGCTTATATCTAATCTTATCGTATGTCCTCCATATGCGTGTAAAAGGAGGTTTGGGCCTTTAAATTCTTTTGAAAACACTCAATGGAAAATGTATATAACTCAGACCCTATGGCTGAGGCCTATTTGTTTAAATGGGACATTAAATAAATACCCAATATACTCCCTTTATCATTCATATTTGAACAGACTGCAACAGTGATCGTCAAGAGTTGCTATGTGTTGGGTATACAGCAGAGCCACCGCAGCCATTTTGAAAACCAGCCATAATACCAACAAAGCACACTACAAAGAATATATTTACACAACAGCATCAACACACACACACACACTTGATTACCTTTATTGGTTAGGTAGGAATGGCTCGCTGGACCACCACCATTAGTAAGAGCTAATGCAAAGACACAAGACAAAGCTTAAGTAAAGAAAAGGCAGACTGTCTGGGATAGTTGGCACAAGATCTTTCCATGATCCCTAATGGTTAGTGAGAACAGTCCACAGAAATGCACCCGAACACCATGCTTCCCATTCCACTGTATGATCCAAACAAATGAGGGGAAGTGTGCGGATGTTTACCTGACTTGTTAGGGGTCTTTGTCTTGGCGGGGGATGTGAGTAAAGACATGAGGCTGCAGAGCGCTGATCCTTTACTGTTCAGGTCCTGGACAGCTGGGTCTTTGGATGTCCACTCATCTAATAATCCCTGAGTAATCACACAGATAAAGGTTATAGGTCGTGGCATTCATAACACATAAAGCAAAACGTGATGTGTGAAAATGTACATGTATGGAGAAAAAAAAGGTTTCACGAAGATCATTTCTATGGTTACTTAAAGGCCTGGCAGCATTTATAGTGTTTGTTATTGTAATACTAGTTTTGGGCACATGGGACTGAAGTCCATCCTCACCATGTGATCGCAATAGGACTAATGCTTTCTACCAGGTGAGTTTTAAAACAAGACATATATATTGGGTGGTTAGTTTCTCATACAAATTAAATTAATCGTGATGAAAAATGACCTGGAAACATTTTATGTTACATTACATTTTATTTTATCAATAATTTATGATCATAGCAAGAGTATTCTGGCTATACCTTGTTTATCCTCACCGTTTTAAGTCTTAAACACGATGGGGAAACACTTAGAAGATTAACACAATATCATTTTTTCATTTGTCTCTTAGGGTTTCTGTACATGAAAAACGTCCTCTGGAAAAACGGATAAAAGTCTGATTGCTTCTGGATTTGTTTCTACATTTTGCTTTTCAGGATCTACTTCTGTGATCTTTCTTGCAACACCTCGTGACGCAAAAGTTCTTGGACAACATAGTGTTTCACTCCCTGATATGTCTGTGTAAACACACACCATCCACCTGTCATTAGTTGGCAGAGAAAACAGGTTGAGATGGAGGAGAATTTAGGGAGGATAAGACTATGATCTATTTTAACACACTCACCATCTATCTTTTGGAAAAACAGGACTCCTCTACCGTGCCAAATACAAAGTGTATCATCAATGGCTTATTTTCCAGCACTTAGAGTGCAGTTAGATAAAAATATATACACAAATGTCTCTAAAGTTGACTTTGTATTTATCTCCAGACTCACGGTGACTATCTGCAGGTCCTTCTCCAGACTTTTCACACTGCTGGTCGCCTGAACCGCTGGTACTTTCTCATTGGTCTGCTCCAGCCACTTGGTGAGAACGCCTGCTGAAGATCTGAACTCTCCTAGCTGATCCTGACAGGAAGACACCTCCTCTTCCCTGTAGGAGACAAGAATCAGCCATATCACGCATCATTCTGTCATTTATAAAAACATAACTTCTAAGGAAAAGGATCATAAATGTTAAGAGTTGAAATACAAAGACTCTATTTTTCCCTCCACTGTCACACAACTTACTTTTCTTTTACAGTGTCTTTGAAGGTGTTAAACATATTTGAGAGATTGTCCATCTTGCTCTGGATCTGGGCTTTGTTTCCATCAGGGCTTATTTCAGACAGCTCCTTGCACAGAGTCTGCAGCGTCTCCAAATCACTCTCATGCTCAGCCATCTCAGCTTTAGTGTTCTACGGAGGGGTTAGAAAAGTCTGTCATTCTTTGCAGGAGAAAATCACATTTTTTGATGGAAACGTCAGTGGTGTAAGAAATACTCAGTTCCTATTCTTAAGTAAAAGTCGAAATCCTGTCGCTAAAAATACTCCATTACCATGAAAAGTCATGAATTCAATTTGTTACTCAAGCAAAAGTTAAAAAGTATATTCAGCAAAACATTTTTGACGTATCATGTATTCATTTTGCAACTCATTTTGCAACCTGATAGCAAACATTTTGCTTTTAGATGATACTTTGTTTACTACTGGGTACAATAGATAGCACAACATAGGATGGGTTTGAGCTTGTAACAGTAAGTGACAAATAAGATATTTCCTTTTGAATTGTATCGGAGTCAAAGTATAATGCAGAACTGGAAATACTCAATTAAAAAACAAGTATGTCTGAGCTGCACTTAAGTACAGTGCTTGAGTGAATGTGCTTAGTTACTTTCCAGCAAAATAAACGTTATTAAAAGACACCAGATATCTCTATTTATGGTCATGAACAGCTTCAGCAGAATGGTTACCTGCGTCAGCTGAGAGAGTTCATTGAAAGTTTTCCCAGGCCCGTCTGTCTCGTGTAGATCTTGTGAACGCTTCACGACAAACTGCTGGACTTTCTCTGAGACCTCCTCAAACTGCTCCACCTTTTCATTCAGCTGCTCCAGCTGGGAAACCTTTTGCTTATGCTTGTCACAGGCATCAGTGAAGCGCTGAGAGAGAGTGTCCATCTTAGACTGCAGCAGCGCAGCGGCAGAGGGATCCGCCGTCTCCACAAACGTCTTCACCTTAGCTTTCATGGCTGAGATGCTGCTCTGGCGACTTGCTATGTCCTGCTCCAATGCCTTAGAAAATACACAATGTAAGACAGTTAGAATAAAGTAAATGTTTAACTGAAAGAAATATATATACTACAGCCAGTGTCCAATTATTGTAATGCTAAAAGAATACATACTGCTTCTTTGCTGAGGATATCTCCAATGGATGCAGAGTCCAGGGGAATCTGTCCTTTCTCTTTCACGCTGGCCTCCACTCCCTCCATCCAACCCATCATCTCATCCAAACCATCCTGGACACTCATGGAGCGAGTCAGGGTGATCTGCAGCTTCTCATTTCGGTCACTCACAGACTTGGACAGGTTGTCATAGCGCTCAACTATGTCATCTACAGCGCAGGCAGAAAAAAAACAGGTTTAAAACTTAACGACTTCTCCTTGTTCTGGATACATTTGAAATCCAAGCAGAATCTGAGTTAGCAAAGGCTATGATCTTGGCTATGGATTACATTCAGTAAGATTTGGTAGTTAAAGCATTTTAAAGTGGAAGCCAAGAACCCAATTACTGTAGAGAGGAAGTAGAAAGGAGACATCATTTACAACTTTCAGAATACTGATGGTAACCACCAGTCTGATATTGAACAACCTCCCTACTTATAAGTAATACATTTTCGTAGGGCTATTATATTTACGAACTTTGTTTTGTTTTTTTGTGTCCAACTTTTTTATTGTTTTTTTGTTGTTGCCCTCACAGAGGGACTTATATACACAGATACAAATTATATAGACAATAATACAAAAAGACAAAGAAAAAATATAGGGAATTGAACTAAATTGGGTTAAGATATTTAACAGATTAGGAAGCGTAGTTGGTACCTCGTCCAAGTACAGTAGTAGATTATCCGCATATAAGGACATGTTGTGGTCTGTCTCTTTTACAACTATCTGTTTTACTTCTTTGGATAGTCTTATTTTCTGTGCAAGCGGTTCTAGAGAAATTGCAAACAGAAGCGCGGAGACAGGGCAACCTTGCGTGTGCCACGTTGAATTGAAAATCTAGGTGACCACTGATTGCCTGTCAGAACCATAGCACTTGGATTATTATATAGGATCTTCAACATAATCATACATTTTGCCCCAAAACCCATTCTTTGCATTGTATGCCACAAAAATGCCTGTCAAAAGCTTTTTCAGCATCAACTGATAGTACGGTCTAAAACTTGTGCATACATTTGGGTCTTTCCCCTTCTTGTGTATGAGAGAAATTATAGCTGTATTGATATCCTTTTGGAAATGTCCTTCTTTGAGTGCTACATGAATCATTTCCAATAATATTGGTCCTAAATCAGGCCAAAACTGGGAATATAATTCCGGAGGGATACCATCTATACCAGGGGATTTGCCAAGGTTCATGTCTTCCAATGCTTCAGATAATTCTTTAAGTGTTATTCACAATCTAAGCGATCAATATCCTCAGGGGATAGATGTGGTAAATTCAGATCCACTAGGAAATGTTCTAAATCTGCCTTTGATGTCTGTACTTGAGACGTATATAAATGTTTATAGAACTGTTCAAATTCATGATTAATACGGACTGGATCATAAAGGACAATGCCATCATTATTCGTAATTGTAGATATTTGGGCCAGCTGCTCGTTATTTCTGAGTTTACTTGCCAGCAGGGAGCTCGGTCTACTTCCATCTAGATATTCTGTGTTTCTTACCCTATGAATCAGAAATGTGGCTCTCTTGGTAAGTAGCGCATTGAGTTCAGCTTTAACTTTGCATACTGCTATTTCTTTATCTGAATTATAATGTTCGTGTAATTCTCTAACCAGTGATGATAATGTACATTGAATCTAGATCCACGATTGTCTTGAGCTCTTCCCTATTTCGGGCTGAGGAGTACGCTATGGCGTTACCTCGAACATAACCTTTTACAGCGTTCCATAGAAATGCTTGATATCTTTAAATGTGTATATTAAAAGCTGTACTCCTACTCCATTATTTGAGCGTGAATGATGACACGTGAAATAATCTAATATGATTCATTTCTTACACCCTTTTTTTTACACACATGCATCGGGTGAAATGTTTGGAGAAAGAGTTTCAACCAAATGTTTGCAATAAATATGAACCGGCAATAAATTCTACCTTACCATGGCACTTTATCGGCTCCCTATTTTTTTTCCTCACCTACTGTCTCCTGGATTTCATCCGAGTTGCTCAGCAGATCTCCTTCAGAAGTGATCAGAGACTCAGCCGCTTTGCGTAGTGTGTCAACAGCAGTCTGATGTCCTGTCATCTGACCTTGAAGGGCCTAGGGATAATTAAGAAAGAAGAGGTCAGAGAAAATAAGACTGTATTGACTTGAATAAAGATCCTCTATCTAATTTCTACGGTGCTGTTTAGAACAAGCACTTCACCCGTGTGGTGGATAGAAGAACATAAACAATTATGATGTGTAACAACTTCAGAATAATATCCATGGAATGTTTTTGTCATTTCCAGGATATGGTTAGGTGAACCTGTCTGTTTTCACTCTTGCACTAACAGAAAGGCTTAGATTCTTTTAAAGCACAGCGTTCCTCTCTGGGCCCACAGGCGCCTCTTATCTGGGATATCTGTGATGTAAGTCACTACCTCTCTACAGAGAAATGTTTCAGCTGACTGCTGCCAAAACTTTGACAGAGACAGGATCGTTTGTTATCCTCCTCCAGGAGAGTATGAAGGCTACAAATAAACAGAGTTAAACTATTCACATGTGAGTTTGAATTTGAGCTAAAAATAACCATGTAGTACTTAAGTCAGTGGAAACACTATATAAGGTAAGGCAGGTCTATCGGAACTTGAACCTTATAACCAAGTCAATACACCACAAGTTCTGCATGTGTTACTTATAAAAAAGAAGCTATTCATAATTCATTTACTTGGAATGTTCATAACCTAACATCCATTAAAGGTCACAATGTGCATTGAAACTGCTGCAAAACAATTTTCCCCGGGATAAATACAACTTTATCTTATCTTATCTAAGGACAACGTATGTCTCATACTGTACATACACCAGCTGAACTTTAACTGTTAAAATGTCAATTTCAGCCCAAATGCAATGAACTCAAAAAGATCAAAAGGGCTTCGTTATATGACTCCTGTGTCGGCCTCAGTCATTTGAGAGGCCGCACATAAATATCAATAAATATACAAGATATAAAAGACCACAATCCGAGATAAATCTGAGGTTTGATCTCCAAGCCAAAATAAGACTCAAGTCGTGTTTTGCACTGTCTTGCCTTGGTGTCCTCCAGCTGTTTCTGTAGTGTTTGTGGGTCGGCTGCTATGGCTTCTGACTGCTGCTTTCTCCCTTCATCCTCTGAGCCGTTGAGCCAATTCAAAAGACCGGCGCTCGAGTCGTCATACTTCTTGTATTTATCAACCACATCTTTGAGGTTGTTGCCAAGCTGATTGCACTGAAACAAAGGAAATTAAATGATTAAGTACACAGGTTTAATACATGAAGATAACAGATAACTGTCACCTTGTCATCTTCAGAGTGCTCATGTGAAATATTAGTTTTACTGAAGACAAATGCTGCCGCCCAGTGGCAATAACTAGTCATTGCAACCCTACAAGCTCTATCTGATCATCTGCAGACTAAATACCTGGGAATGTAGTGTTTTGTATCGGCTGGCAGCTGAATCTAACTTGTCCTTGACCGCAGAGCAGGTTCCTGAAGTATCCACATCCAAAAGAGCGTTCTTGGCTGCAGAGTCATCAAATCGACAGGCGTTAGCCACATCCAGCACTTTCTGTCCTGACATGGTGATGAAGCGAAGGTCCCCTTTGTGGGAAATCACATCTTCTGAGAAGCTTTTCTGTCGTTGGAGTTTATCGTTGAGGATGTTGAGGGAGGCTGCAGGAGCTCCGAGCTTCTCTATGTCTGCCTCCGCCTGGTCTAACCAGCTGACGAACTCCTCCACGTCACCTTGGAACTTCTTCTGCTCCTCCTGGACACACTGCACCTGCTTCATCTGCTGCTCAGCCTGCGTCAGCGAGGCATCGTAGCGCCCCTTCAGCTCCTGGATGTTCTTCTGCAGTTTCTCCTTCTCCTCTGAAGACAGCACGTTCGCCTGCTTGTCGAGCAGAGCCTGAGCTGACTGTGTGGCCATGATCAGATCCTGCTGCTGGGACAGGATCTCCTGATGACGGGCCTGAGGGACGATAGAGACTTGAGGACACAATACCAATATAACACCCAATACCAAAGCATATAGCTGTACATATGATATTTCTCAAAGATATTGAAGTGACTGTTATAAATGTATGTATAAATGTGTCTGTTGATTGTGTATATATATAGGTAGGTATATACATATTTCTATACATATTTTTATATATATCTGTATTATTGTATTCGGGATTGTGGGAAACGGTATTTCGATCTCTCTGTCTGTACACACAAACTGAAAGATTGACAATGACTTTAACTTTGATGTATTTACATTTCACAATCTAATCCATCTCTTCATCTCTTCTATTGCCAAATGTCATATTTCAAGCACAACTTCTTAGATCATTTTTTACATGTTAGGATGTTGCTCTTAAATGTTTTTCTACAATAAAATGTTAAGCTTGTTTTTAGTGTTCAACAAATTAGTATAACATATTGTTAATTTGACTATCTTTGTTTATTAATTACTTTTGCATGAACATTTTTTTCCTCAAGTAACGCTCTGTGATCCTTAGGAATGTTTGCCCTACTGAGAAAGAAAGTCAGTGCCTGCATAAACTCCAACATGTGAGTATGAACTGTGGAGCAAGCTTAATAGATTCCTCTCTCTACATTTGGCCAAACAAACGTTAGTACCTTGACCCTGTCATACTGCTTATCGAGGTCCAGGGAGGCATCGCTCTTCCCGCTGGTCTCTCTGCCAGAATCATTCTCAGTGGTCTGTGAAACGTTTCCATTGGCATCGTCATCCTCTGCTATCAGTTTCGTGGCTGAAGTTTCTTCTGGCAGATTTCCATTCTCTTTACTTATATGGTCATCTTTATCCAGATTGCTCTCGTTTTCATTGCCTATGTTGGATATCCAGTCCAGGAGTCCTTCAATTTTGTTCTTACTTTCTTCAAGTCGCTCAACAGCTGCTGCCTGAAATGACAGATGGATAACAAATAGAATATGTTGACGTTAAGTTCAGCAATATTTGAATTACACTGTAATAATAATCGAAATTCTCATGCGAAATGTGTTTTTTACAGACTGAACTCTGACCTTTTCACTCTCCTGTTTTATGGCAGTGGTCACAACCTTCTCCAGATCTTTCCTGGACTCCTCCGCCCTCTGGTTGATGAGCTTGTCTTTGCTCTTAGCCTCTTCCAGCTTGCTTTCAATGCTTGCAATTTGATCTGGGGTCAGCTTGCTCCGGTTTTCCTCCAGGAACTTTTTGGTACTGGTGATGACTTCATTTAAGGCGCTGGCATTAGTCAACACTTCCTTTTGCAGAGCCTTGAGATCAGAAGGAATAGGGACAGAGAATCAATGTGATGAAAACATGGACATGTCTTGTGTTTCTTAAAGGCAGCGGAAATGTTTTTTTCAAACCTGGTGCTCCTGCTGGTACTGCTGCAGGTCTGTGACACACTCGGTGTTTTCAGCCTGTTGTCGATGACCAATCAGCTGGTTTTCTGTCAGGGTGAGATTATCACATACTTCCTCCAACTTCTCTGCAAACTCCTTTTGTTTCTCCAATAAAGACTGTCAAACAAGAAAAAAGAAACCAAGTAAATATCACAGGTCATTAAACATACTCACATAAAACAGACCCTAAAACCTACAACAAGGTTAACATCATCAAAACAGCCAAAACAACACTTGGAAAGACACAGATAAAGAGAAGGAAGAAGGAACTGTTCAAGCATTTAGATGTAACATGCTAAATCTGCTCTGCATATTCCTATATTATAAAAGTGTAATATCTAGTATGCTGTAAACATGCTATTTCGCCAGCTTGGTCTCGTGGTAATAGGCACATTATGTCCAGTGTGTGTTTGTGTTCCAAATGAGAAGGTGCATGTGTCCACTGTTAATAGTTCACTGGTGTCTTGAAGGCCTGTGGGATACAACCAGCACAAAGAGTTAGTTTGCAGGAGCCATCAAGCACAAGGGCATGCAACGTTGTTATTTTTCCAAAACGTTAAGGTATTCACAGTAGAACCTCCAAAATCAGAATCTTATTCAATGTGTTAGAGATCAAAACATATGTTTAATGCTTAAAACTGACTTTTTACATGGCCCAATCTGCATGCACTGTGAGCACTCATTATTTAATTCTCACTCACAAACCAAACATGTATTTTTCTAAGAAACCATCTGTGATATGTGAAAGTATATCCACAGGCAGACCTTCTCCTGGCTCTCCCTCTCCCTGGTGTCCAGTAGGACATTTAGGGCGCTCCTCTGGGTACCCAGTCTCTCCGTCTGGTCCCTGAACGACCGCTGCGTGGAGCTGAGGAACTTTAGGAGGTGGCTGCTCTGAGTTGGACTCAGAAACTGAGCATGCTCAGAAATAAAGCACTGGATATCAAATGTGACATCTTCCAACTTGACTTCTTTAAGCAGACTGCTCTCTGTGTCCTGGAGAAAGATATGGAAAAGGGGCAAAGTTAGTTTCTGTTGTCGCTGTAGATATTGGATGTTTTTTTAATCACATTTATTTCGATATACCTTGTTCTGTTGAATCAAATGTTTCAAGGTGTCCACATCACATGTTTTCGAATCCATGTCACACTTCTCAGAGTTGTTTTTGATAAAGCCCGCTAGTTCACCAAGACAACTAATATGTTTCTGGTATGTTGATTCCAAATGTACCTAAAACAACATTTAAAGAGGTCATTAGCTAATGCAACTGTTACATCATTGTATTTTAATTACTAGCAATGAACACTGACCTTTCCAGTTTCCATTGCTTGAGTTAGGGAGTTACTCATTTCGGCAGACATTTGGGTAACAGCAGTAAAATTTGGCTCTAAATCCAGATATGTCGAGGCCAAATCTTGGTGAATTTGTAAGGGAATGTCCTCATCAACGGAATTTAAGAGCTGTTTGGCTTTTTCCAGATCTGCTGTGATAACACCGGCCAGTCGAGAAAACTGGGACTTCAGAGACTGGATAAAAAAGATCATAAAGTAAGGAACTAATATTGAGCGAGGATAATATTGAATATGAATAATATTGTTCAATATTTTTAATTCCCAACCTGAAAATCCTCCATTTGGATCTGCAGGTCTTCCAGGTTGTTACCTACGGGTGGCTGGATTGAAAGGTCTTTTCTGACATCTTCTAAAACATCAGCGTGATCCTGCAGCCTCCCAACACACTCCAAATAATCCTGTACGGAAAACAGCTGATGGGAGAAGAAAACTGTTGATGAATGCTGATACAAATTTTGAAAACTAATCAAAGGGATAAGCACTCTCAATCTTACATACCTTTTTTTGGACTTCCTCAACTTTGGAGGCATCAGACGTCTGAGGGGACAGTTTGCCGGCAGCAGAGCGACCGAGACCCGAGTCGTCATCTGCTGACTCGTCCTCTTCCCCCTCTGAGCTCTCCTCCTTGATGCTCTCTAGTGTGTGCCGTCGCTCCTCCTGAGAGTCCCCCCCCAGGGTGTCACCCCCCAGGGCGCTGTTGAGAGTGTCCATCACCTCCTGGAGCATTGAAAGGTCTTGGCTCGTGGAAACAGTCCTCAGGACCTGCAGCAGCTGCATCTGGATGTTTGGAGCGTCAGACGGATTTTCTGTCTTCTCACCGACTTTCTCTTTCTGCATTATCAGCTCTGAGTTTTCTACTTCTTTGTTGTTCAAACTAAGGGCGTTTTGCTTCAGTAAATCCATGAGCAGGTCTGGGTGACTGCTCTCTATAAGTCCATGAGGCGAGTCTCTCTCGTGACAAACACTTTCGTCTAAAGGTGGTGGAGTTGTCTGAGCTTTAGTCACGATATTTTCATCGTCTTGAGTTTGGGCCTTTTGCAAATCACTGACATCAGTCCCTTTTGTAACAATGTCCCCCTTGTCATCTACACTTTTAGCCTGAAACCCTGATGGAGTTGAAGAGGAAGCATCAGATGTAACATGGCTTTCTGATAGGAAGTCAGTATCTACCTGGGGACGCTCTGAAGCCAACACATCTAATCTGTCTACCTCTGGAATATCAGATTCTAACAAAACACTTATTATACTTTTAGACTGCCCTGTATTCATTTCTGACACAGACAAGCTACCACCAATATCCACATTTTCATAATCACTTTCTGACTGTGCATTTCTTGACACAGGTATCTCTTTTGTATCACTGGTGAAAAGGTCCTCATGTTGCCTCTCTGGGGAAAATAATTGTGTACCTAACTCATCATCCTCTGCAGTTCTGTGCTGTGACATATCTTCATCCACCAGTGGTGTTTCAAGAGAAACTCTGTCGGTAGTGAGAGTGTAATGGTCCGAATCTTCAACATTGAAACACTTTAGATTAATAGAATTTGTTGAGGTGAGTTCATCGGAAACAACGTGCAACTGTGAAGCAAACGCATCTAATCTGTCTATCTCTGGGATATCAGATTCTAACAAAACACTTATTATACTTTTAGACTGCCCTGAATTCATTTCTGACACAGACTCATTTCCACCAATATCCACATTTTCATAATCACTTTCTGCCTGTGCATTTCTTGACACAGCTATCTCTTTTGTATCACTGGTGAAAAGGTCCTCATGTTGCCTCTCAGGGGAAACACGTGTTGTGCCTAACTCATCATCCTCTGCAGTTCTGTGCTGTGACATATCTTCATCCACCAGTGGTGTTTCAAGAGAAACTCTGCCGGTAGTGAGAGTGTAATGGTCCGAATCTTCAACATTGAAACACTTTAGATTAATAGAATTTGTTGAGGTGAGTTCATCGGAAACAACGTGCAACTGTGAAGCAAACGCATCTAATCTGTCTATCTCTGGGATATCAGATTCTAACAAAACACTTATTATACTTTTAGACTGCCCTGAATTCATTTCTGACACAGACTCATTTCCACCAATATCCACATTTTCATAATCACTTTCTGTCTGTGCATTTCTTGACACAGATATCTCTTTTGTATCACTGGTGAAAAGGTCCTCATGTTGCCTCTCAGGGGAAAAACGTGTTGTGCCTAACTCATCCTCCTCTGCAGGTATGTGCTGTGACATATCTTCATCCACCAGTGGTGTTTCAAGTGAAACTATGTCGGTAGTGAGAGCGCAATGGTCCGAATCTTCAACATTGAAACACTTTAGATTAACAGCATTTGTTGAGGTGAGTTCATCGGAAACAACGTGCAACTGTGAAGATCTCTGATCATTTTCAGAGCAGCTGGGCTCCGATCCAACACTAAAATCACGCTCTGAACAAAGCACTGCTCGCTGAGGTAATGTCATTCTGCTGCCATCTTCTGTAATGTTGTTGTCATAGCTACAATTACCACTGAACTCCGACATCATTACACTTCCAGACAAATCTCTTTGTGATGAGTAATCTATGCTCAGTGTTTGCCCGTCCAAATGTGACCGGACTGAACTTGTGTCATTCTCCGCTCTACTTCCCTCACACAACACATCGCTGTGTGATGAGGACATGTCCAAGTCACTCTCACTAACTGTCTGATCTCCTACTTCATTTCTGGTAATTAAATAATCATTATCAACGGGTGAGCGGTCAGATTCATGATTAATTGAAGTCGCGTAATGAGTGTGGCTTTCTGGATCAGTGATGATGTCACTCACACTAGATGACTGGGTAGTTGGAGCAGCTTTTTCTCTCACAACATCCATATCTGTCTGCTGGTTATCGATCACAGCCGGTGAGTCACTGGCTTCAGCCGGGAAAAGTGAATTGTCTGTATGATGGAAACACTCTGCGGAAACCTGACTCCACGAGGCGGGTGAGATCATCAGGGACTCCTGACCGCCAACTGAGGGAGGGGAATGATGCGGATAATCACTCATCTCTCCTACACTTCCTGTTTTCTCCCAATCCACCTCTGAATCGGCATTTCCACTTTCCTTCTCGTTATCACCTTCCTCGTGGATGAGATCAAGCACCATGACAGCAACTCTCCTCTCAGTCTGTGTGTTTTCAGCTTCATTATTATTAATAAAATGCAGACAATGATCATCAGAGATCGAGGTAGTGCAGTGTTCCTGTGGATAAATGCTGGCCTCAGGGTTTAAATCAGCTACAAATAATCCAGACTCCACTGACTCACTGATACTAATGGTGCAACCAGCCCTCAATAGGCTCTGCTGTTCCATGAAATGGATATTTGAGGATGTGGATTCATCATACACAGGCTGTTTTAAAACAGATAATGTGTCATCCTCATCTGCTACAACACTTTCGTTATCCTCTGATTGTATTCCAAGTAATACCGCCTCCAGGTCATAACGGCTCCCTAAGTGTACATCTAAAATGCCTCCCTCCTTCATTTGCCCTTTCAGAACATGAATGGCATAGTCTTGCTCATGTTCATCATCCCACATGTCCTCAGAGCATAACAACTCATCTTTGGTTATGTCTGTACCTTCTGATTCACTACAAAGTGACTCTGCGTCGTAGTATGGAAGTGTTTGTCCGTGGGATGTCACTGAACACTCGGAGTCTAACATCCTCGATGGGGAGGCGACATTTGTTCTGTTCACAGAGTGTAACGTTTGAAGGGCTGGGATAGTTGGGGTATCGAGACCTTCACTATCAGCACCTCCAATTCCGTTTTTGAAACTATTTTCAGGATTTCTATCTTCAAATTCTTCTGCCTGTGTCCAATTGGTGTTGTTTTGACACATGGTTTCCTCCACCACACAAAGCACTGTGGTGTTCATGTCCGCAGCATCATCTAATAAATGTTCCTCTTTTAGAGCCTCGTCATTTAGATATGTTTTTTCGTCAAAGCTAATTGTTCCATTGACCGAATGATGAGGATCAAATGTGTGCAGCGTGTATTTCTCCTCTGTTTCCTCATTTATGTGCAGAGGTATCTCTAAATCTTCCTTTTCTGAAGGATCTCCTACATTCAAATTCAGACAAGTTACATTTTTCTCAGTGTTCTCGAACAATATCAAATCTTCAAGATAGATTTGAACCATTTTACTCAGCTGTCTATCGAGTATTAACACCCTCTGTCCTGACTCTGGGTCGATGTAGCTGTTCAACAACAGGTAGGAGATGAATAACTGCTTTGCCTCTGCTTGTGTAGGGATGTTATCAACTTCCAAGCAATCTGCAGCATGAACGCATCCATCGACTGTGAGTTTTCTGTACATGAGCCAAGAGGAAAACTTGTCGTTAAGGTGATCAGGTAACACATCAGGAATTTCTATCGTTTTCAAAATCTCTGCTGTGTAAGTGTCAATCAAATCCTTCTGTATGGCAGAGGCGATGTCCACCACCTCGGATATTTCTGGAATGTAAAAAGCGGCTATCTTTTCCCGATTAGCCAACAGTGAGCTGGTAAACTCCTCAGTGGTAATGTGTTGATCATACTGGAAGGATGTTGTCACAGTTTGGATTTCCCCCGAGGGAGGCAACACGAGTCCAATAAAGTACTTCTGATTTTCAAGCACGATGAGAGTGCTGCTAGATCTCATCAAATCACACTGAACCGCTGCATCCACCTTTAACTTATCACTCACAACATCCTCTGTCATCTCCTGATCACTTACACCATCACAAAACAACCTCAAAGTGTTCATATCTCTCCCTGATGTCAGTGATTTTTTACTGCTGAGGCACTTTAATATCAGTCTGTTGACAGTGTGCAAAGGCTCTAGGAGTGACACATCTTCACTGGTGTCCTCCATATTCTGACTGGTGTTTTGCCTCTGAAGAATGTCTACATAGACGGAAGCAGGTATTACACCACCCTGAAAAGCCCTCTCCAGGGTCAGTGTCCCCCCTGAGTAGCACACATTCAACCCATCACTGACTTCTTTGACTTCTATCAGTTTGATAATCGGGTCTTCACACGTCGCCCCTTCCCTGGCCGCTGCAATGTCAGAAAGCGACACAGAAGGGACATGTGAGCTCTGTACGCACTTATTATCCCGGTTTAACTGTTGAAAGTGGTTCAGGGTGGATTTATAGTCGAGATCTTGAGTTTCAGACTGAAAGAGGTCAGGGGTCATAGGTCGGGCCCCTGGTATTTCACCGATCAGGCCACTCATGGGTTCTGTCCCAAGCCCTGCAACATTGGATTTTGAAACCTAAAGAAAATGGAAATTTGACAAATGACTGAATTGATTATAGCATCAAAATCTGTAGTATCCAATCATTGAAATTTGAAAATAAGTAGTCAAATGCAAGACAAAATGTTTACTTACCACCAGATAAATACGGGCATGTTAAAACACCATGTGCACAAGTGCAAGACCGCATCAGGGTTGCAACAGGAGAGCGACGGATAATACATATAAAGCTATCATGCATCTGGTACTGCAGTATCCAGCATCTTGCAAAAAGTGGGTAGTTAGTCACATCACATAGTGTACTGTGAAAAAAGGGTTAAGTGTCATATCTGTTGAAGTCAAGCACATTAATAACAGAGACATGTCAGACCAAAGCCGGGCGCGACTAAGCATGTTTACAGCATACTCAGATTTTGTGGGCTACAACTGAACTATGTTTTTGTCCACTAATGTAATATAATACAAAGGGGGATGCAAACTGCACACACTGTAGGAGAAGAGGAAATTGTTAGTCATGCAGTTGAACGTCAGGTGGTGTGTTTTCTAACACATTATAAGACACAAATCACTGATAGATGTAACAGCGTTTTATCAAACCTCTTCTGCAGTCGTAGTCTGATCTGAACAATGCTGGGAGAGTTCACTGTAGGCCTGATTGAGCGCCTTCAGCTGCTCCTGGGCCTTTTCTCTTTCGTCCTCGCTCATTCTGTCAAATGAAACACAAAGAATGAGGCTGAGGATTTAAGCAGTGAAAGCAATATTGTGCAGGTCACTCACAGTAGCTACACTTACTTGTCACTGTGTTTGTTCAGCATCATTTGCGTGGCCCTCAATGCCTCTGCAATTTGTTCCTTCTTAGTGACCATCTCCTCAACTGACACCTGACAAACATCAAACAGTGATATATTAATACTAAATAGGATATAAGTGATTATTTTTAACTTTTCTATGACTACTCTTTGAATATTAATCGTGCAATAATGTAGTAACTTATATAATCATAGTTAACAGGGACACAACAGAAAACCCAACCTAACACATTCTCTTGAACTGCAATTTTCAAGAGAACTGCTTAATGTTTTACAATTGACTTATTCATATAAAATATGTTATTTCCTAAAAGTACACTCTTGTGACTATATTTCAAAGAAATAATCCAAAATAATGCAAACTAATAGAAAATCAAAGCATCAAATGTTAGTTGATATAACTAAAGATGATGATATAGCTCTAAAGTCATTTTTGAAGGTGTCATTTGTTGGATTTGATTGCATTTTGCATCATTTTCTCTGCATTACACTGACTGACAACATTTCAGAAATACTTTGAGAGAGGGTTTTATATTCTCAAAAGGAAAAAGGCCCAAGCTGTCATTATTACACTGTTGGAATTGTTTTTTGTATTTTTGTGTGCATAATGTATAAGAAAATGTAAATAATAATTAAACTAAATGATTAAACTAAAATTGAATCAGAGAAATAAATGTTCATTGAATATAACATACTGACGTATTTTTCTGTGTATTCAAATTAGAATAAATACTAATTAGTAATACGTATCACACATAATTATCATTCTTTATAATACTAAATTGTACTTTATTTGTTGTTGCAATATTAACAACCAAAATAAAATAAAATATCTGATGACAATAAAATATAAAAAGAAAATATCTGTATGCAATGAAAAAAACTAATGTACAAAGTTTGGCTTAATTGAACTGAGAAGCGAAAAAAGATGCAAAGAAAATATCTACCAAAATACTCTATGCACCCTTTTTTGTCTTTGTGTCTTTTATGATTATTATTATTGTCATTGTTATTATTGTTATTATTATTATACAAGTCAGTGCTTTCAGTTTTTTCTGCAATATAGTTTACTACAGTACTAGTTATTACATTGAATACAATTATTAAAACTCCACAGATCACTGACTCCTTTAGGAAGGGCCTAAAAACCTTTCTTTAAAAAAAAGCCTTTTATTAAACTTGTGTTTTTTAAAGTATATTATGCCCCTTGTAGCACTTTGGGATTACTTTTAGCAATGAAAGGTGCTTCACAAATACAATTTATTATTATTATTATCATTATTATAATTATTAATTTAGTACCAAACCATCTAAGAATACCTATCATTTCAGGATCCCCCAAATCTTTCTCAGAACAATTATGTTATAATGACAATGCTATCTTGATCTCCAGCACACATAAGTGAAATTTAAAATGTCTGTAACATTTTACTTGAATAATGTCAGCTTTGGGCCGTATAAAATGAATGTTTCTTGGACACATAAGGACAAAATAATATATATGAACCTAATGTTCATATGTTAAACACCTGTTGGGCCTAAATAACAGTTAGTCAGTGAGGTTGTTCTGAAATGTGAGTGCTTGTGCAACTTTTGGTGTTATTGAACGATTGTGAAAACCTCATTATTGACCATCCTTTTGTGTACAGGGGATACGCTAAAAGTATTTACGCCTACTATAGTGTAAAATACATGGATTACATGAATCGTTAAGTGAACACTGTTTTTATTTTATTATAAATCATACACTGTGACAGCTAAAAGGCTGCAATGTCATTTTGATTAGAAAAATACTTGTCACTTTCCAAAGCATTCTGACATGTACAACAAATATGGGGCAAGATATCAAAACAGGACACACCAGAAAACACCAAAATACAATACACATTATTTACCTGGGGCTTATTAGAAGCGTCTGTGTTGGCATTGCTATCTTTCAGAGCATTCCCATCATTGTTCGTGGTCTGTTTCACATTGGACATCCAGTGCAACAGTTTGCTAACTTTATCACCATGCTCTCTGTTCTCCTCATCAACAGATCTCTACAATTAAAACAGATGGGGTTTTGAAGATTGTTAACTTTGTTACAAAGAAAGAAAACAGTGGAGGGGGGAATCCTAAAAGGAAGGGGGACATTGCCAAAATACATTTATAATCAGTTAAAACAATTGAGAACGCGGTTAGTTGCATCAACCACTATATCAACCACTATATTAAAACATGTGTTTAAACCCAATAAAAAGGTCAGAGTCACTTTAAAGCCAACACAAAACCAAAAGAAATCTATTTACAGCTTTGGCTTTCATGCTATGGACAAGCATATATTTACAGATGGTTATTACTTGTAGGCGCAAACATAATGAAATGTTGCCTTGGCTCCATAACCATGAATTTTGGTAGCCTCCAGTAACCTTAGCCCAGTGTGGCAGTCGAACACACTTCTCTCAAGAGCCTCCCTGAAAGTGATTCTTCTCTTGGTCTTCGGACAGGTGAGGCTTTTGGTCTGGAACCTCTCCTCTTTGAGTACTGAGGCAGTCACTTTGTCAACAAGGCCGCTCTGAATGACTTCCTCGAGGGAGACTCTGTCATGTGTCTCAGGGTTTATTAATCCTCCAGTCAGGAGCTGGTACTCAATACAGCGGAAACCTGCATCCTTCGGGATGACATTTTCCTGAACAGCCTGGGTGATGGACAAAGTCTTTGAAGTCTTGGGGTGAATGATCCCATTAAATGCCTGCTCAAACTGTTGGAGCTGCTGATTCAAAGCCTCATCTAAAAGACCTCTGTTGAGAGCCTCCGAGAGGGTAACTTTCTCCCCTGAAGAGGGGTCGCAAATCCCTCCAGTGCAGGCCTGGGCCTCCAACAGCCGTGAGGCAGTGGCTCTATCAGTAAAGCCCTGTTGAAAACCTTGAAGAACCGACAGCCTTTTCCTCTGGGTGACGTCCCAGAGACCGGCAACGGGGCTCTTGACATCTTCCACAACCACCATTCTTGAAAATATGATGTCGGTAATCTCATAGATGCTAAGAAGCCCACTGTGATAGCTTCCAAGCTCAGATCTTTCAAGAAGCCTCTGACTCAGAGCGTACTCCAGACAAAATTGTCGACCACTTTTGACATCAGTAATGATGTGAAGGGGGCTTCCGTTGGAGTCAAGTACAGACTTTTCCTGCCATTCGCTCTCTTGCTGTGACAGGAACAGATACGTCCTCTTGTCAATGTGTCGCCCCTTGAATGCTTCATACGCTGACATTTCGATGCCAGAGCTGCTGCTGACAACAGACACTCTGTGAGAACTCGTGGGAGAGGTGTTTGTTAGATGTTTCTCACCAAATGGGGAGAGAAATACACCACCATCAATGTCATAAAGGCATGTCTTCAGTATTTCAGAGTAGTATGCTTTCTGTCCACTGTCAGGGTTATGGAAACCTTTGGGGTTACTGACTGGATCGTACAGACTCTGTAGGGTCTCCTTGTTCAAAAGACCCCGATCGACAGCAATGCTAGCCGGCACCCTGACACCAATCTCTGGGTTGATCAGGCCACCAGTGGCTACCTGGACCTCAAGAATCTTCTTGCCTTTGTATCTATCGAGAATCCTTTCCTCCATTGCCTGAAACACGGACAGCTTTTTGCCAGCATGGATGTAGCCACTAATAGCTTTCTGAGCTTCCATCAGTTTATCTTTCAGGCCCGCCTCTATAATACCTCTCTCAACAGCCTCAGCAACTGGATAGGTTTGCCCTGTGGACAGATCTGTAAGGCTTCCTGTTGCAGCCTGAGCCTCCAGGAACTCAAGAGCGTACGTCTTTGCCAAAAAACCTTTCTCAGCAGCTTCAAGGAAGGATATCTTTTTCTTACTTGACTCCACATAAACTCCAGCAATAGTAGTTGGTTTGCCGGCGTATTGAGCAAGCGATGCCTGCAGCTCTTCCATTGTGATGAGGCCCACCTCGAACTTCCTCAAAACCTCTTCGTCCAAGAGTTTAAACTTGATCATGTTTTGAATACTTGTGTAGCCTTTGAGTTCTGGGAGCTTTTGGGAAGTTGAATATATCACACTTTGTTTTCCCTCAATGTCTGATGTGTTTACAGTTTCACATGTTTGTTTAATCTGATACGTCTTGGTCTTAGTGATGCTTTGTGTTACATTGGGACGTTGGTCTGTTAGTCCACAGAGCGCCATGTATCCATGTGTTGTTACAGTCTCATCAGGTTTTATTTGGCCCTTGTATGTCACATTTTGCATGTCTTCTTGGATGGTAGTGGGCTTTTGAGTAGTAGGGATATTTAAGAATTTCTTTGTCAGTGATTCATGAATGCTTTGGCTGTGAGTTATTTCCATTTGATCTTGTTTGACTTTCTCCATTGTTGCCATCTGTAGATGTGACATTGAAAGAATGTTTCAGTTACAAAGATATATTGTAATAAATTGCAAAAAATAAACAATTAGTAAAACTTTGAAACATGTTTTTTTCTTATAAATACAATATAGTGCTAAAGTAATGTGGAACTTCATCCATACCTCTGCGGACACTTTGATTTTGCGACTCTCGTCCTCCATGTTGTATTTAGCACTTTCATACGAGGGCACCATCTTCTGTTCTGTCTTCACTGATGCAGCATTGTTGTCCCACACATTGTGACGACTGGTTTCAAAGAATTCCTGTTTGTTCATGCCCTGGTTTTCAGTTCGTATCCTGACCTCAAGCATCAAAAGCTTTTCCTGTAGATGTTTAACCTCTTTGGCGTACGACTCGATTTGATCCCGAAGAGCTTCATGTTCCTTCCGTGTCAGTGTACTGTCTGTACCCTTAGCCGACTCATTTGACTTTTCATTGCAAAGGCCTTGTAAAGCACTTACTTTTGAGTTGAGTTTAAATTGGTCTTCCTCAAGTTGGGAAGTTTGTAATTTTGCCTTTAAGAGCTCATGTTCGAGTTTCGATCTCTCCTGTTGCAGTTGGTCCATTTTGATCTGCATTTGCAGCAGTTTGTCTGATTGGTGCTTTGTTACCACGGTGGTTTGATGAACTGTTTTGACATCTTGTCTGAAATACTTGTTAAGCATTTCTGCTAATTCTGCACTATGTGACTGCTGGTTTGAATTTCCACTTTGACTTGAGATTTCAGATTGAAGTAAAATGAGCTTTTTCTCTACTTCAGTCTGCACTAGCAACAACTGCCTCTCATAGCCCTCTTTCTGAAGCTCTAGTTTACTCTTCAACTCCTCTAACATTTCCGTGCACTTCTCGAGCTGTTCTTCCATCTGCTGTGACTTCAGCTTAAGGACAGAGCTTTCATTTTGCTTTTGTTCAGCTTCTTTTTGGGCACATTGTAGATTTATTTTCAGCAATCTGACTTCAGTTCCCAATGAGATACTTTTCTCTAACGACTCAGCTTTCTCCCTTTTAAGGATGGTATTTTCATGTTGAAGATTTGATCGGGATTTGTCAGAACTGGACGTTACTTCTTTTATTGTGACTTTATATTTCTGAAGCTCAGACTCCATCTGCAATATTTTGGATTCTTTGTCTTTTCTTTCTCTGGTCTCTTTCAACAACTCCTCTTTAGTTCTCTGTACGGAAGAACTGAGCTCTGAGATTTTGACATTTAAGTTCTCTACGTTTCTGTCTGCTGCTCGCTTGTCGTTATGAATCGCATTCATCTCCTGCTTCAGGTTTTCTGTCACTTTCTCTGAGCTGCTGGTTAACCCTTTAATGCTGTGCTTATTTTTGTAAAGCTCGTCTTCTAATGCCTTAATCTTATTCTGATGTTTTTGACTCTCTTCAGATTCTTTTTGGAGTTCTGCATTTCTTTTCTTAAGCAGCGTGTTCAAATCATTAATTTCAGAATTGTGCATGTGGATCTTTTGATTTGCAGAGTTCTTCTCAGCAAACACTGACTGAAGTTCTGATTTCAGAGTTGATATTTCGGTCTCATAATTGCCAATTTTTGAATTCAGTGTTTGGATTTTCTGCTGCAGTTCAGTCATTCTCCTTACCTCCTCACTGTAATCCTGCAGTTTCATTTGAAGCTCAAAGGAGTTCTGAGATTTTTTATTTAGTTCATCCTCAATTATTTTAACCTGTGATTTTGTGCCCTCGGCCTGAGACTTGAAGATTTTAATTTGCTGATCCTTGCTGTCAATCTCCATTGTCACCTGATCGAGTTGAGCTGTTACATTCTTCTGATTCTTTTCCATCTCCATATTTATCTGTTTGAACTCATCTACCCTTTTCTGCAATTGAGAAGCAACTAACTCACTTTTCTCAAGTTCTGCTTGGAGGTTTTTACATTTGAGTTGTGACGCCTGCTCAGACCTCTTCACTAAGTTGTATTCTTCCTCAGCTGTTTGAAGCTGCTGTTTCCAGCTCTCTATATCTCTCTTTAAAGACTTTACTTTTTGATCAGCAAATGATCTATCTTTCTCCAATGACTCTGTTTGGATCTGGAGACCTTTAACATCACTGTCAGATGAGACATTTATCCTTGTTAGCTCGTTGCATTTAAACTTCATCTGATCTACGACTGCCTGCTTGGAAGCTACCTCTTCTTCCAAGTTGTTAATCTTGTGGATATTTTCCTGCTCCAAGGAGCTTTTCTTAAGCATATCTCCTTGGGTGCTCTTCAATTGCTCTTTCAGGCCTTCAATTTCAGTGCTTTGGAAAAACGAACTTTGTTCCAATGAGGACTTGGTTCTCTGGAGAGATCTGATTTCTTCTTGAAGCTCGTTGATTGATTTCCTCATGTTCATTGCTTCCTGTTGGAGATCCTCTGATTTCTGTCTCATGTTGTTCCTCTCAGTTTCCATGTCCATCTGAAGCTTCCTCAGTCTGTTGTTGCTGTCATCCAACAGCTTTTTATAACTTTGTGCTTTCTCCTCAGCCACTTCTGCTCTTTTCTGGATCAGGACAAGTTCCTCTTCTTTCTGCTGCAGGACAGCCGCCATCCTGCTGTTGTTTTCTCTGACTGCAGACAACTCAAGCTCACTGTTGACTGTCGACTCAGTGTCAGATGCCAAAGGCTGCTGAGCCAGATTATTTACTTTAGCCGTGACTTGACTTTGCACCCGTTCCTCAGTACTTTCCTCCAAGTTTATTCTTCTCTTAGGTTTAGGGCTTTGTTGCTTAAGATCTTGTTCATCATTAATTTTCTTTAGGAGGTCCTCTACTTTCTGTTGAGCTAAAGACCACTTGGCCTCTGACTGCTGGATTAACAGTTTTGTGTGACTTAACTCCATCTCACTGGCAGCTTTGTCTTTTACCGATATTTCTAACTTGGTGCAATACTGATTAACGTCATGCTCAAGCTTTGATTTCTGAAAAGTCAGATCATCAATTGTCTTCTGTTGCGTCTCTACTTGTCCTTCCAACGTTTCCAGCTGTGCTTGTCTTGCAGCCAGCAGAGCCTCCTGTTCCTGAACCCGTTCCTTAAGTTGGCTATTCTCTATTTCCCCTGCAGCTTTTTGGAGCTCCACACTCTCTGTCCTTTTTGCATTCTCTGTTCTCTCAAAAGCCTTTTTGCTCTATAAAGCAAAAAAAGATGTCATCCACTGTGTTATGTTTTATTAGGAAATGTAGAATAATATGCATGAATACTTTACTTCTCACCAGAGTGCTGCAGGCATATAAGTCAATCTCTCCAGGAAGTTACTAAATCAAGACTGCGTGACTTTGTAATTTAACAGAACTATTGAGGAGGGTTCAAAATGTAAATGTGCAATAAGATTTTTTAAGGTTTAATTTATGGCACTTGTTACTAATTACAACTTTTTCCATAAACATTCCTGGAGAGAATTGATTTTTCCACAGAAAGGACATCTTTCTCTGTGTGAAAGAATAAAGAAAGCTCACTTTTCCCAGCAGGTCACCAGCAATAAAGAGATACCATACAGTACATGCAGACATGCACCGCATCGGCGCAATTCCCTTGCTTCTATTGAGCTATGAAGAATATGTTTTCACTTGTGATGAGCTGGACATCTATGAAAATAGAAACAACCCTCGCAGGAAGTCAAGAACTCAAGGGGGATACAGAGTTGAGTGCATTCTTTCATGATTCAATACATCTTAGTGAGGCAGTGAAATATGTTGATGCGAAACAGAAGACCTGGAAACCATGCCAAGATAAGAAGGAAACAGGCCTTTTAAGTGTAAGCGTCCATATAGCCCCGAAAGTCAAAAATATGCTGCAAAAGCTCCTGTAAATGTAAAAAGCAGGGAAGTATAGAAAATATGAAATTCTCACCTCTTCGTCTTCAGTTCTCTTCAAGGTTTCACTGGCAAACTTCACATACTGTGTCATGAGAGTCACAAGAGCAGTGTAGCGGGTTCTGAGGTCCATAAACTGTGAATTTAAGGAAAAACAAGTGTGTGACTGAGATGAACTTAACAAAGAGCTTTCAATTATATCCTATCCAAGTTAAATCCTAGATTTAGATACCTCCTGTTGAATGGCATCCGCACAGCTCTGCATCTTCCGTTTCTTGAGAGGAGATTTATGTTGGGAGTCGACCATCGCTCTGAACGTCATCAGCTGAAGTTCATAATCCTACAAAAAGATGTATATATATGTGTATACGTGTACAAGGTTGTTTCCTTCACATCTACAACAATGTTCAGTTTAGATCATATCTTGACCGCTGCCAAAACTCTGCTATTTTCATCTATAAGAGAAACCACACACTTTTCTAAAGATAAATTAGCATACCTTAATGGAAGATGAGTACTGCTCTGAGTACTTCTGACACTCATCAATTCTGCCCTGTTTTTGTTCAATTTCAGCAACAAGGACCTGAAAACAAAGACTTTTATTTATACTGCCATATAAAGTATACATGTCTTTACCTTAACAGTTCAGTTAACTGTTGTCCTACCTTCTGTTTGTTTAACAGCTCAGCCAGTGCCTTGCTATCTTCAGGTTTGTTTTCTTGGGCGTTGAGTTGTTCTGCTTCCATTTCTCTAACCCATTCATCCAGACTACTGTGAGAGTCTCTGTAGTGTTTCAGAGACTTGCCGATACCATCCAGGTCCCGAAGCCTACAAATGTACATATAGCATCAATGAGCAGTACAAACACTTATATATAATGTTGTTTGTTAACTCTCATAATGTAAAATAAATCCTAAATGTAACACTGACCTGCTATCAATCTGGGAGTGAATGTTCTGCCATCTCTCGCTCAGCTGATCAGCTTTCTCCTTGTGCCAGTCAAAGTCAAAGTCCCGCTCGTTGTGTGCTTTGAACATGCGGTCACTGATGACTCGTGCTTTCTGCAGCTCATCCTCCATATCATGGAACACTTCCTGCTTTTCATCAATCTCTGACCGCCATTGCTAGAATGATAAGGACAAGTGGTCACTAAAAACGGAACTACGAACGATGCTAATGTTAGTGATGTGTTCAATTCAACAGTGTGTTACCTTTAGTGTTGAAATGACTGTCTCGATGGATTTGACGTCAGAGTTCATAGCGTCTTCCTCATAGAGTTTGGATTCAAAGGACTTAACAAGAGCCTCTGCACTCTGGCTGTGCCTCACCACTAAGCTCACTGTTTTCAGTCTGCAACACAAAAGAGAAAGGGCCTTCAGTTTAGGTACTTTTAACGCAAATATATGTCTTGTACAATTATCCAAACGCCTGATGTTTACTTCTTAAAATGGCCACCTACTTGTCCATATAGATGGAAGACATGGAGTACACTTGGCTCATGCTCTCAATGAGGACGGTGAGTTCAGAGGAAAGTGTTGGAACAGAAGGGAACCCTGCAGCCTGTCTGAGGAACAGCTCACACTTCTCCTTCATAACGTCAAAGTCCTCCTTCATTCGGTTCATCTCCGCTGTCTTTTGCTGCAGAGTAGCATGACAAATAATAAGGATTAAGATAACATGACCCATAAGTTCTTGAATAAATGAAATTATTATTGATAACCACATTTGTACCTCATGTTCTGTGATGCGCTGCAGGCTCTGTTCGAGGTCGTCTCTCTCCAGCGGGGTGCGGAGCTGCCTGATCAGGTGTTCCTCGTGGGCCTCCAGATGCATCCGGAAGTTGCGTATTTCTGAGATGTAATGATTGTACACCGACTCCTCGTGTTCCTCTGTTTACAAAAAATAGAAAGAATTTTCACAAAAATATTAAATATGTTTACATTCATATTTTTAGGTATGAAGATATGAAAGGCCAATTCTGTTTCTTATTTTTTTTTTTTAAAGCTGTTGTGAACAATTGCTTCCATTTGGACATTTCTGGGCAATACCACATAATAAAAAAATATATATTGTTAAACCTCCATTAAATCTCATACACAGTAACTGAAAGCACACATAATCACCACTAGGTGGCATCATTATCCCAATAAAAGGCAGAGTAAGGCCTGTTGCAACTAAATAGCTGACACTGCTAGTGTGAAGTGAAATCATACATACATTAGAACAATTTTGTTCATAAGATTAAAACTCTTTTTTCTTTTAAAGGGAACAATTGCCTTTATATACACGTATATTTGTTTCTTTTGTAAAATCCAAAAAATATATTTTGCATTTTTTCAGAACTACACATCATAGCGTTTGCTTTTAATTTACAGCAAAGCCAACCACTCTTCTTAACTCTGTAAAAACATCATTCCAAAAGGCATTAACTTGAGGCTTAATGGGCTTAAAGAGCCATGTGTTTCCCTCGCGTGTTCAATGTGCACCAGCGGCTCCTTGTTGGGCGGGACAAAAGGGAAGTCTGAGCCTTGCCTCTTTCTGCTGATCTCAGTAATTCCTGGTAGTATTCCTTGCAGGAGGCAACTTCTCTCTCTAGCTGGGAACAGTCTGCCACAGTGAAGACCTCGGACTCCTCGCTGTCTTCCAGGAACTCGTCGAAGTGGGACTGCAGGTTGCTCAAAACCTGCTGATGCTCACCCTGTAACATGGTCTTTATCTGTGGAGAAATGACGTGGAAATAAGACTAACATGTATGTGCATCTTTTCTAGAATTAACATCAAAATTAAGTATGATGAGTCTTAAAAGGAAAATATTATCATTTGAACATACTGAGGCCACATTCCAGTTGCGGATGGCTCGTACATCAGCCATTAGATAATACCAAGAAACCACACTCTTCATGTTGATGTGTGAGTGGGACCACAATGCCAGCACATTCTGGTATAACTGCTCCGTTCTGCAGGAAAAAGCAACAGGAATACAAAATGTAAGCCACCAAAGTCCAGTAGCAAGAACTTATTTATTCATTAACAGTCACCTGAACTCAAGAAGAACTTTATTTAGATGAACAGGACACAAAATGAAGCCTAGCATCTCACCTGGTTGCCATATCAACAGCCTCTTTGTTGGGTGGAGGCACGGTGAAGCAGACGGAGGGCACCATGGCCTCGTTGCCTGCGGGGTTGATGACTTTCCACTTGGCTCTGTGAGAGTTACTGGCCAACACGCACTCATCGTCTTTATAAATGGTAATCTGAAAGAGTTGTGATAAAGAAACACCATGGATTCATGATAAGAATGACAAGTAAAAGGGAATGAAGTGTGTCATAAGTAAGAGGACATCTGTATACCTCTATCTGACGATAATCACAGATGGCTTTCACAGGGATGGAGGATCTCACGGGGCTCTCTGGGTTCCTGGGCCTGAGCTGCACGATATTCTTGGCCCTGCCCACCAACCCAGCGACAGTGCTGCGGTACTGAAGAAGCTGCTCTTTCTCATCCTAGAAAAACACCATAACAAAGAAATAAGGTATTTTTCTAATCGCTAATTCTCAAAATGCACACACACACTTCATTCTTCTTTCTATACGTTTACCATGGACTCCTGAATGAGATCCTCCAGTCTGTGTAAGCTGCTTGTTCGATCACAGCTGTATTTTCTCTGAATGGCCTCCTGCAGGCTCTTTAGGTAGTCCATGGACTCTTTGGCGTCGCTGAAAAACTGCACGGGTTGAAAGAAGGATGATGAGAGAAAGAAAGACATGCGATAATAAATGAGATGAGACAAACAAATACACTTTGCTTCATTGGCTATACCACGCAGCAGCTCACCTCGAAATAAACAGCGTTCTCCTTGAGATGCTGTTCTACACATGAGCAGAGCTGTAAAATCCAACTCCACTGAGTCTGCATGGCAGCCCTGTACGCCTTAAAAGAGAGACATCCCAGAATTAAGACACAATTAGGAGTAATAGCTGAACATTATAACACTTCAAGACATCACAATTACGTTAATGCTTGTGGGAGCAGTATGCAGGGCGGCACGCAACTACTGCCTGCAGAAATGAGTGTGCAAAAAAAAAAAAAACACACGGGGCTTACTTCAATAGTCAGCCTGGCTGGGTGGTTCTTGAGCATAAGGCGTTCTGCCTTGTCCTGCACAGACTTGATCACTTCCTCCTTTTCATCCAGCTCCCTCATCAGGTCCTGTAAAAAGACATTAGGCTGAGTATCTCTGGCATACAGTTGTGGCAAAGACCCAGTCACTCCATCCTCTCACACAATCCCACATCCTGTCTAGCAGAGCTGAAGGTAATCATTACAAGGACACAGTACACACATCCCTCCACTGGGATTATAGTTGTATCAAATGAATGCACCTGTAATCCCACAATATGTATCTAAACAAGCCCTTGCTGTTCCATCTGCGTTGAAGATTACACAGTTACTTTAGAAGACTGTTTATTAAACAGGAAATACGTACAGCATGGTAGTCTCTTTTCTTGGAGATGCTGCCGTTGCGATCACTCCAGTCAAAGGCTACTTCCTCCTCCTCCTTCTCATTCAGCCAGATCAGCTCCTGAGTCGCTTTGGACACAAAGTCTCGCAGGCTCTCCAGGTGGCTCTGTCGCTCTCTGGAATTGTTCTAAAAAAAAAAAGAGTACATAAATAAGGTTTAGCATTTACAGCAGCACATATTTCAGATAACGACTATTGAGCTCAGGGATCACTTACCAATAGCCTTTCATACTGCTTTTCTAGTTTGTTCAGTTTGTCCGAATAACTTATTTTCAGGGGGATCTGCATCTGAATCTGAGAAATGACAAATATTTTCGTTTTTATTCCGCAAAAACCAAGTGCAGGCCACTTCATACCAGTTGTTGCAAGTACTTTGCTTAGCTCTCTGTTTTTACCATGTCCAAAACTATTCATAGATACATACAAATTGTGTATATTACATTATTTTAACAATTTCCTGTAATATACCGCCTGGAGAATGCACATTTTCAAAACCCCTAGAGGGTTTTAAGCAATTGTCCTTTACATTTCCTTCAAATTATGCATGTACAGTATCTGTTTAATTTGACTATGTGTGTGCATAAAGAAACAAACAATCATTAGGTATAACACTATGTACAATTGTTGATGTTTCAACTTGGATATAATACATAAGCAAGCAAGAGATAAAGTGCTTACCTCACTCAGTTTGGCGTCTTTAAGACTCATTTGAAATTCTTCAATGGCTCTGTGAACACTTTTGTGGTTGTCTAAATGCAGTTCCACACTTGGCAAATCAGATCCCCACTCTGAACGATCAAGCTGCAACTTTAAAGCAAAAATAACACACATATATTATTGAATATGTGTACAAAACAGCTACAATACATTATGAAGAAGTTGATGGTTGTGACTCACCTGCATCTCTTCCACCCAGCTCAGGAGGTCCTGAACAAATTTCATGTTGACCTCCTCTTCTGTCATGTTGGGGTCTGCCAGGGAGGATTTCTGTAAGGGCTTGCGGATCTGCATGTGTTTCAATTGCCTGAGGCTGCCAGGGTCCATGCCACCACCACCACCACCACTCCCCATGAAGCCCTGGACTGAAGCGGGCTGCAGGCCGGGGGTCATGGCAGGGTTGAAGGAAGGGGTCAGGCCCGGTGTAAGGCTGGAGGTGAATGTGGAGCCAGGGGTACCTAAACCCCCCGGGGTGAGGTCTGGTGTCAGGCTTGAGTTGATGTTCTGAGAGAAGCCAGAGTTCAGGCTTTGTGTGATGCCTGAAATCATCCGTTTGGTTTGTTCTGTCGTGAGCGTGTGTCCTTTGCTGTACACGGAAGAACACTCTGACCTCAGGGAGAGCAGGTCATCTCGGAGTTGTGATACCCTGCATTCAAAAAGACACAACAATATGAGATGCAAGAGACCCGGAAAAGTTTCTCTTTTTTTTGCAAGAAGATATATTTTACCTTTGGACAAGTTGATCCGCAAAGGGGAATTTCCCATCCAGAAGAATTTGGATGTCCACCACTTGTTGTCTGAGGATATTCTCACACTCCAAGAGGTAGCCAGCAATCTCAGCTTCATTTAGAAACTGGATACCAGACTCGAGACGTTTTGCATCCTTAGCAGAGGGGGAAAAAGAGAGACTCATCACAAAGGACTGTACACACACTGCTCTATTTTCATCAAGTCAAAAACACAAAACTTACAGACTGCAGGGCGATTCTTGCCAACGCCAGCTTGTCCTCTCCGTTTACACAGTCCCGCTGGACCCTGTTGGCAATCTGCTGCAACATCTCAAGCCTTTACAAAACAAAAGATGAGTTAGTATCACTTAAAAAAAAGAAAAAAGAAGAATCTTCACAATGCAGATGTAACTTCACCTGGATCCATAGGCAATGCTGTTATTGAGAAAGATCGAGCTGTTGATTTGTAACGGTTCAGTGAGGATGGTGTCATTGGAGCAGAGACTGTTGAAGCTACTGTTGCTTACAGACGAGACCCCACTAAAATAGGCCATCTTACTTTTACTGGTGAACCACCGCTGCTATTACCAGCGACTCGAACAATCCACGCTACATTTCTCCTCCTAGTCCTCCCTCTGAAAGGATCCCAGCCTCGACCTAGCCTTGACAGTTTGGCGGCCAGCATTCACAGATCTAACTGATGGAGCGGCTTTCAACTCGCTCATATTTATAGCGCCACGGCCAGGTGCAGAGCGAGTCTCCCACCCTGACATAATGTGCTGCCTCAGGGGATAAAATTAAATAGCAGGTTGAGACAGTACTCCTTTATACCAACTGAGGCTGCATAAGGAGCGGCCAAGCTGCTGTTTTTGCCTTTGCTGCCAGATTTTACCACTCCCAACATCAATAGGGTAAATATGTGTTTATGGATGATAAAGGCAGGGACAGAGATTTGAACTTGTCTAAACTATTGTCAACTTCACTATCTCTGTATTTAGTTTCCATAGTATCTACTCTTCTAACAAATATTGTAAACAGAGCACCAGCTTGAGCTCAAAAACTTGACTGAGCTTGCCCTCTGAAAGCAGCCACTCTGATCTATGAGCATTTGCAAATATCTGCCTTTTTCAAGTAACTAGATCCATCCTGATTTGGTTTCAGAATGGAAAGCAACTCATATTTTCCCCACACATATTTATGACACAAGATTAATTTGTTTGCTGCTTATATTTTTCAAAACACTCGATCATCCAAGCAGAACCAACCCTCACAACCTTATCACATAGAAACGGTGCATTATGGCTGCAGTAAATCTGATCAGGAAATATTGTGTGCAACAACTCATAAATATGTTGATATAATTCATATTGTTGTGTGCCATGGTTCAGTGAGGGGATTTCTAATTGAATAAGGACAATCAATCTCTGACATAAACACTGACCCTGACCTCAGTGCAATAGAGACAGTAGTATGCTTGCAATATTATCACACAGCCTTTACCACCATAAGGAACTCATGTAAGATATTTACACATTTTCTAAATGCTCTTCACTAAATAAAATATGATATTTCTTGCTTTAAATCCTTTGTTGTTGCCTCATACTGTCCACATTTTGTCATATCAAAACACCAACTATATGTTTTTGTTAGATGGTGACTTTTTGACGGACAAGTAACCCACAACATTTGCTTTGAAATACTATAAAAATGACCCCTTTAAATCATATTATTTTGAGCCAGAAAACACTCAGTATTAATACGTGCAGTGCCTCCACATACCGTTCCACCTCAGGCCTCAGGCTCTTCTCTCTTTCCAGCATAGCAACTATTAATTTCCCCCATTCCTTCTCAACATCATTTGGGTGATGACCCTGGGGTAACTGAATACGTCCAAACTCGATCCACATCTGTCAGATAAGCCAAAATACAGACTTGTTATTATCAGTACAGTATGTAACCATTCAACCACTCAATGTGTGATTACAGTAGCATGTTTTTTTTCTATTTTGGATTAGTATACCTCAAGCATTTTATAGAGATTCTTGATTTTTGTCTTCTCGTTCTCTTTCACAGGGATTTCATTTTCTTTAAAATGCAGATACTGTGTATAAAGTGCCTGTAAAAGAAAGCAGAGTTTGTATCAACAATGATGATTAAGCACTTGAACCATAAGGCAACTGAACAGATGTGTTCTACTAGACAGACTATGCATGCGTCTGTACTCTCCCCTTGTCTGCATAAAAGCTGCATAAAAGTGCCTTTACTGTTAGCTGCTATCGACTAATTGCGGTAAATGGATACCGCTGCTCTCTCATATCCATCAATATCACTTTAAGTCTCAGTTACAGCAGATAGATGCTGGACATGGGTTCTTTGAAGCAGACAATTCGCCTTCACGCTTCTGACAGTACATACACAATGTAAGATAAGAGAGCTGTAGCCCAACATATGCAAAAATAAACCAAATAATCCACTTATTTAATACCTTTAGTTCCACAGGGTTGTTGGGGAATGATCTGTCTGTCATTATGGCCACGTTGTGTTTGATCCACTGGCTGAGGTATTTGATCATGTTCTGGTACTCCACCCATTTGATATCAACATCCTGTTCAAAGAAAGAGGACCATCAGCAATGAAGCACTTTCCAGCACTTTGACTTGGAATTAAGGTGGAGTTACTGGTGGACCGATGCCATCAACTCACAATGGGACTGATTCCATCAACGCCGTCAGGTACTTTGGGGAAAGCGTCATACAGTGTCGACACGTATGTGATTACTGACTTTTCATCGGGTGACTGAACGTCCACATCTGATGAGGGAAGACACAACCAAAAGGTCACATATGCACACATGACAATTAACTATGTTTGGAGAAGAATTATCCCTCAAGCTAACATCTCCAAGCTTCACTCCACATGATTAATAGCAAAAAGTTGTTAAAATCTTTTAGTGTTTTTGGAGTAAAAGCAAACATGACAGTGTGAATGGACCTCACCTTCGGGATCCAGCAATCTGGCAACCCCCAGCTGTTCAGCTACACAAAACGCGTTCTCTAAATTTGATCGGTTGGGCTGTGTCGACACATAGCTCATGTCAATCAGGTCTGGCCTATAAAAGAGAGATAGAGAGACAAATTAGGAGTTGGATGTAGTGCTTTCATATTTTGAAAAGAAACCCCGCAGTTACTTTGGTGTTACCGTACGTACCTGTATTTATGTATAATGGCGTTGAATAGCCTCCCATCCCTCCACGAGGTTGTGAAGTTGTCACATCGTACGCCAACGTAGCCCTCTGTCATTTGCCTGGTCCAGAAGAGTAGCCTCTCTTTGGCTGTCATGTCTTGGGACTCTCCTGTCACATGGATCTCCGAGATCTGTCAAGATGGACTGACGTTAAATGGCGCACAGACACAAAACATCTAACCCACAAACTGTGGATAACAACCAAGCAAGACTTCACCATTACTATCTACTAAGTAACAATCACAACAAAACCTTGAAATATACAATAATACAATCAAACGTGACAAGAACACAAGCTACAGCCATTAAAGTACTACATAATAATCTGCATGTCACAACAATGACCGAACACTTTAAGCTTCACAAAGATGTTTGTTTGTTTTTTGTACAGGGAACAATATAATGAAACAAAAATATTTTATTTCATATTTGACTCATCTGTGAATTTAGTTTAAAGTAGACCTATCATGCTATATTTGAATAATATAGTGTAGGACCATACCTATATAAGGCATATTTATACTTTTTCTTTTTCAAAATACCAAACAGATCATGCATTTTAGCCATGCCTCATTTCGCTCAATTTGAAAAATGTTAGCTCTGTTTTTGCAAGGGCTGATTCTGTGAGAACAGTACCATCTACAGGCCTGGCATATGTACTACAGCGTCTCCAGCGCTTTCGAACGGCAATGGCCGTGGCTGTCTCCTCCTGATTGGTGGAGTTGGCCCAATAGCCGTAGCGCCACTGTCCTGACGTCAGGACAGTGTTCAAATCTGGATCAGTTTTTATCAGATCCGTTGCAGCCCCTTTTTTAGAGATTTGGGTATCGAGGAAAATAGAGAGGGTTGTAAAGTGGCGCAACGGCTATTGGGCCAACTCTCCACCTATCAGGGGAATGTGGGGTTGGGCCACGGCCGGCCATTGCCGCTCGAAAGCGCTGGAGACGCTGTAGTACATATGCCAGGCCTGTAAGTGGCGCTGTAGTCTGCCACAAAAGCAGCGAAGAAGACTTCCCGCGCATGGTTGCTATGGTTACCCTTCTGTTTATTCTCCGCTGTGGCTTTTTTTTCTCCCTCCCCGAGGCAAGCGTTTGCTCCCGCTGCTGTAATTCAATGCAATCCCTCCCCGTCGAGGCAAGCACTGTAATTCTCTCCGGTTAGTCCACCAGCAGATGACAAACACCCACCTCTCCGCCTCTTCCAAGGAACGAGGGGACCGTGCGGCAGAGTTTCAGTTTTCTTTCGGCGGTCAAGATGTCCGATAAAGTTTAAATCTTCCGGACAAAATTAGAAAAGTGCCGGTCAAAGGTCTTCTTTGTTATTTATTGAGCTTTAAAACAAATGAATAACGACTCTATAGGCCTATAATGATATAATAAAACACGGAGGACGGAGATCTTTTTTTCTCCCCCTCTTGACTTGATCAGAGCACGGCTCCCCTCTCCTGCAGGGGGGCGTGGTCAGCTGCAGCTCACAGAATCAGACCCGTAGACAGCAAACAGCACATAGAGCAAAATGAGGCATGGCTAAAATGCATGATCTGTTTGGTATTTTGAAAACAGAAACGTATAAATATACCTTATATAGCTACAATATATCATTTAAATATAGCATGATAGGTGTCCTTTAAATTAGTTAATAGTTTCCTTATCAGGTTCATTAGCATTCCTTCTCACACTAGAGACATGGAAAAAGTCAGGAGGTCAGTGTAAGATAAACATTTGTACTAAACGACTCAGCAGTTTTACAATGTGGAATACTGACGATTAGGATGACATCAAACAAACAGTGCCTCTTCACAGATTGAGTTCGACAGCATTGTTACCACAGCGGGTTTAAAGCACATGTATGAAATCTCAGCAAACTTTCTATCTACAGCTCACGTTATATTCAGCAATATAGATTTTTAAGCTTCTGCGCTTTGTTTCCTGTAACACACACCCCAAACAATCATATTAATGGGAATGCCACATGTCAGAAACACTGTATTTCAGTTTGCCAGCAATACATAGGGTACCTCTCAGAGAGTTTGTTTCTCATTTCCATTTACAAGGAACATTTATGTCAGTACATAGTTTGAACAAAAGCCAAGAAGAAGCAAAACACTGAATAGATTTTACAAGAACATCATCAATCAAACTTCCAAGAGGAAGGGATTTGAAGCCAGACATCTGTCATAAAAGCAGCAGTGAAAAACAGAAACAGTAACCATAATAACCACATCCTGAAGAAAAGAATGGAGGAAGAATACCACCAACCTAACCACATTTCTTCATTTTCAAACTCGGAAACATTTCTAGAGTCCAGTTAACAACCAATATTACAGTTACTTAGCCTACAGCTACTGGAACCCTTAAAGAACGACTGTGGCCCTACCTCTTCTTGAACACAGTATGATATAGACAAGCTGAATTTGACTGACTGTTGGAAATTGTTTTTCAGGACAGGCTTAAGATGTCAATTGCACACGGATGCAAAAGGATAAAAAACATTCAACTAGAAAGGTACTCAGAGAACACAGACCTCAGCCATTGTCAAATGCCCTATCCCACAATGTTAACAAAAGTGAAAAAGTGAAGTATCCCCCAATTTTCATAATAACAAACAAACCGAACTGGAAACATAACCTCAATGGCAGAGGTAACAAGGCTGCATGGATCCACAGACAAAATGATTATTTTCAAAAGAAAATGGGTGTGCTTTCTGTCTCACAAACAGGATTAGAAAAATGTGACTGTAAAAAACGTTCCCAAGACATTTGTCATTATAAAACAAGGGGATTTCAGAGCACTGTATAAGAGTTGATGTTCTACAAGAGAGAGTAGAAAACAACAATAAAATGCTCTGTTTTTAAAAAATAAATATAAAAAGGATTGAGACCATGATACAAACTCATTGACAAACACCACAAGCCTATTCCTGCTCCTGTAGAGGACAATCCCTGCATCATCATTATAGTGTATACCGTGCCGAGTTTCATGCAAACTATGGTAGCCATTAGTTTACAAAATGATAAGAGGGGACAAACAGCAACCCTTAAGGCCAGGAAGGTTGCCACCTTTTAGATTAAACACTGTTTACTGTCACACACGTTTTTTATAATAAACCAAAGTGACTATTCTAATTAGATCAGTTATTACACAGACACAGGGTAAGAGCATGCTATGACTCTTTAACAGTAAGCTACTAGCTCCATCCTGATGCTGTGAAACACCTGCCAACTATTGATAGATAGATTTTCTTGATAGAAAAAAACTCAACATACTGTTCTTCTCTACATACAGATGAGCAGCATACATATTTTAACAGAACTAGGTAAATGATGACGCTAAAGTATTTCATCTTCTCCACAGATGACGCCTGGGGTGTAACATACCTTTAATAACCTATGATTTGTATGTGACCCAAGAATGACTTTGAACAGACAGAAATACAGTAAAGACATCATTCTCTATGCTTAAGCTGTACTGGGAAAACTAGTTGAACAAACTGCCATTTCTCTTCAGAAATTCTTTATTCGAAGCAAATATTAGTTTAACATAGTGCTTGATTCATGATTTGTAAACAAGCCTTGCAATGTTCATGATACTCCAATCACAACATTTTTTGTCATTATTAATGACTATTTATAACCCGCTCTATGTTTACCTCATGCTGGTTGGAAATGCATTTGGCAGGAGCTGGAAGATGGTCTACGTAACCAGAGCAAGTGTGGGCCCTCCGTCTCCTCCTCCTGTGTGCTTGGGAGCCACATATAATCTTGGCAAACGTCTCCTCACTCCCAGGTCTGTCATTACCCCTCAGAGTCCTTAGCATGTGCTCCACTGCTCCAAAGCTGACAGCCCTCCTTAACTGCCTCTGCAGCAGCCTCTTTACAACCAGACCATCCTTAGGTGAAGCGCCTCTGGGAGTTGATTTAATGCAGTGAAGCTTTCCTTCTACAGAGGACCTGCTTCTGTCATCGTCTGTGAAAAACCTTCCCGGCCTGTAAGCTAACCTTTTGATTGTTTGATTAGAGGGATCTCTGAGTACCAAAACTGGTACCTCACCAACATACACGCCTGTGCTGATGCTGTCCTGCCTGGATACATGTTTCTTCAGCACTGTTGTTTTATCCAGCCCTGCTTGGGATTCCTCTGGGTTCTCTACTGGGACACCTTTAGGTTCTGCACTACTGCAGTTGGCTTCAGCTGCAACAGCCTCCCCATGTCTAAGACTCCTGAGAGATCCAGCAGCTTGAAAATCCCCTGATTTCCTTTTCTTCCTCTGAAAATAGCGCCGCCCTTTGAGCTCCTTAGACTCAAGGCTCAGTGGAGCTTTCTTGGGGTCGACGTAGCATTCCTCTTTAGGGCCTCGAACGCAGCCGCAGATGTTTCCCATGGCTGACAGTCAAACAGCCTATTACCCATTGACAGGGCTGGGATCCAGACAGTGAGCTTTTTTTTTTAGGCAAAGTATCCGGTGAGCAGGGCTTGATCTTTAGAGACACTATCCCATTGACAGAAAGCCATTTTCACACTGTGCCACTCGCGCACAATAAACAGTGACAGCCGGTAGACATAATGCTCGCGTCAGTCAGAGCAAAGTTGACTTTCGTTGACTCATAGCTGGTCAGCCTCTCTCTCTCCCCCCCCCCTCTCTCTCTCTCTCTCTCTTGCTCTCCCTAGCTCTGTCCCTCGTTCTCTCCCTAGCTCTCTCCCTCGCTCTCTCCCTCAGTACATTTCTCTCTTGCCTGCGTGCTCTCTCCCGAGTCTCTCCTCTGACACTGGAAACTTTCTGACCTTTGAAACATTTCTCTGGCTTTGCTAATCCAGTACACACACCATAAATGCATACACAGACGTGGCCCATGTGCTCGTGGCTCTCAGCTGAGCAGGAATGGCAAAGACTTGTGGAAAGACCTGTTTTGTGCTGGCTTGTCTGCTTCCTCAACACATAAACATGTGGACATCACAGCCGCCGCCTGTGAGTCTTATATTTTTGTCTGTAATAGGAGATGGAGGGAGGACAAGGTTTACACTGCAAGTGGAAGCCAGCTGATGGCCACCCATTATGCTGTGAGAAATTCTGGATCAGCAAGTTTGGCTGCGTGACCCAGACAGAGTCCCAGCCGTTCAGAGAGGCTTTGAAAAACAGAACAGCGTAGGTCACCGAGAGAAACAAATCCGTGCTGGACAACAAAGTCCTTTCACTTTGTCTATTAATCAAGCTACGTACAATGGTGGAGCCAGAGGTGGGGCTTAGGTCCAATGGTTTAAACAAACACTACTATCTGAACAGATCACCACCAACGCAGTTCACAAAGGGGCAAATGATCTGACCAGGAAGTGATTCAACACATTAAAACAACATTACACCGCCTGTCCCACTGTGGAGGAATCTAACTAAATGTTTAACACAAGACAAAAATAAAGTAGTGTGTAAAAGAGTAAATATATGTCACCAGCGCTGCTCGACTAAAAATGAACACAAAACCGCTGTCAGCTTACAATATTTAAACAATGACGTTTCCCTGAAGGGCAAAGTCACCTGACAGCTAACACAGTTCAAACTACACATAATGATTGCTCACACTGCTACCTATGGCCACCTAATGTCAAACTATTACATACTGGTATAGGTGCAGCATCAGGTTACGTGTGTGTATATATATATTTTTGGTTAAATGGTTTATACCATTTATTATTTCTCATATTTAATAGGTTATTATTATTATTATTACATGTTACATGTTACTTGTTAGACGCTTTTATCCAAAGCGACTTACATACTCAATACTGTGGACAATCCCCACAGGAGCAATTTGGGGTGAAGTGTCTTAACCAGGGACACAACGACATGCTGACTGCAGTGGGGTTTGAACCTGTGCCCCCCTGATCCGAACACCAACGCACTAGTCCACTGCGCCACAGCCTCCCTAGGTTAAACTTATTTATTCATCTGTGCATTGTTCAAATTAGGGCTGTGCGATTATGGCAAAAATCATAATCACGATTATTTTGGTCAATAATTGATATCACGATTATTAAAAACGATTATCCATTTACTTTGAAAACATCCATTTATTGAAAAATAAAATTGGAACAGTATGTTTTTAACAGTTGATTACACTGAACTTTAAGTATAATTCAACTGAAAAACCAATAAAAAAAAATATTAAAAAAAATAATAATTACATTTTTTTTTTTTTTTTTATAAAAAATAATAATCGTTTTATTTCGATTACGTTGTTTTCGTAATCGTTGCAAGCCAAAATCGTAATCGAGATTAAAATACGATTAATTGCACAGCCCTAGTTCAAATACATGAGTCATGGAGCAGTAGACGTCACGAAGACAGTGAAAGTGAATCAGGGCAAAACAAACAAACAAGCACATGAATACCTGACAACAGTGCATTGTTGTGGTGGCACACTGTCACCAGGCTATACTAAAATAAACATCACACTCAACACAACGTCTCAGGTGAAAATACAGCATGGTCACCAGGGTGGGGACTAGCGGCAGCTTTTTTATGAGATTTAATTATCTGTACAAACATTATCAAACAAAGGATAGTTTATAAAACACCTTAACACTAGCTATTAGGTAAAGACACACCCTGTCAGTGCTCTCAGTTTACATAAGTCAATATAAAAAAACAGCCTGCAGCAAAAAGAAAAGCCTTAAGTATGTCCCTTGAAAGCTTGACATTTGAAAAACAGTTCATACTTGCTTATATAATAAAGCCGAGGGTGGATAATGTGACTGAAACGTTTTTTTCTGCCCTACAAAATCAAGAAGAAACAGGCCCATCACTGCTCAAGGGCTTGCGTGAGACGGACAGCAGGTGTTGGCATCTTCACCGACGCTACCTGTCAGCGAGTCCAGGCCAAATCATATTAACTGCTTTACCTCCATTAATTTTTGATTGAGGGCGTTAATCAATTAATACAAGAATGCATCCGTCTCAGTAGCATCTCGATAAAAGCTGTAAGTGTGAAACACTATTTCAATAATACTGTCCCTTAACCAACCACTGAGTCATGTAGCTTGAGCCAAAGATATTAATAATCCAATGTAAAACAGTCAGAGAGAAAAAGAGAAGGGTAGAGAGCATGAGTGAGAAGTAAGCATGACGTTTCTGCAAGTTATTGGATTTGATATAGACACCTGGATACTCATGGCATGCACACTTACTAACCCACTCCACTGCAGCAATAAAACGAAAATATTCCCAGAGAGAACATTTAAAAAAACATTCAGGGTCAGGGAGACACATAAAGCTCAGCCTGGGGCACACAACATTTTAAAACTGCATACCTTGGTTGCACTGACTGTGCACAAAGTTTAAAAAAAACATTAGACCAAGTACATTTTGAACATTAACTGATTACTCACAGTAAAACCCTTTTCTTTTGTTTAAATTGAACATACTTTACAAAATAAAGCTATGTTCAAGCCTTTTACCATTGTACTCAAACACAGATTTGTTGAAAAATCTGTGAAGGGTAATTTGCCATCTCTCAATACATCGTGTGAATACCAAAACCTTTCTTCCAACAGGACCTACTGTATGCGAAGTTAACTTGTCAAGTTACCACAGAGGATGAATCAAACCAGGTTAACACTCACATCATATATTACACTATAATCTTCAATGAGTAACACAGCGATTACAACAGTTTTGACACCTTGTGGTCAAAAGTAGAATAATTTTTTAAGCATAAATCTGGTGTGCATTTGTCACGCTATTATGCAACTCAATCCCACAGCATGCCAGAGTTTCTGTTGCACTGATCATTAATCTCTACAAAGACCAAGGTAACCCTTTGGAAAAATAAAGGTTATGGATACATTTGTAAAGATACAGAAAATTATAAATTAATATACCTTATCAGTGTTAATGTATCACTTGCATATCCAGTATCCGAGTGATGAATATGAATTACCGGGCCGATAAAATAATTATAATAATAATAATTACCACAACATAAAATGACAACACTGACCTGAAAGTGCAGAATTATGGTCCAGATCAATCCCAGGGTCAGTTTCGGGTTGCCATCTGTGATGTCATCATTCCTGATATTTACAAGTTTGACCTAATGATAGGAAACACATGATTAGCATATTATATATAAACAATTTCTCCAAGTTTTTACATGTAAATGTATTTGGTACCAAGTAAAATATTTCAGTGTAGCTCTGTTTTCTATTTTGCCTGTCACCACAAGGTGGCACAATAGTCATTATATTATGTCAGGGAAACACTGTTACTGTAATCATGTGGGTATGAGGTGACAGAGAGAATGAATGATTGCTAATAATGAAATGCTATAAATCTGCTAGGACGTTTTCATCTTCCACGTATAGAAGTACAAAATAATCTATATTTAATCATTTCAATAAATGAAACATGGTCCAGAAAGCAGTGATGTCTAATCACATTCTTGTTTTAATTGAGCAGTTAATGTATTCCTCCAGTTCCAGCCTGATTATCTGCAATAATGTTGTAATCAATTGGCTGCAGGGGGAGATTTTAGGGAGTTTACACAGTGAGAGTGTTTAACATTTAATGACAGCAGATGATGCATTGAAGTGTCTGATATGTGTTGTCCCTAAAACAATAGAACAAGTCATTTGTGACCATCTATGATTCCTTTGTCTCAGGCCTTACGTCACATCTGGCTACCGCTCAGCCAGCCTGTGTGTTCTTCGTCACATCCTGAGAGGTTGGGGGAGGGGAGGGCAATCAAAGCTCTGTGAAAAACCCCACTGATGGGATTTGTAGTCAGTGCTCCTTGCATGCTGCCATAACTATATCTGGGAAGTGATTTTCTATTTTTATCAAGAAAAGACTGAAAATGCCACGAGTCAATCAGTGTGTGATGTAGGAGAATGGGCTTCTTTGGATAATCACTCCTGAATGGGGATGTCCCACACACTAGGGCATTTTTGTATGAGCCCAGATTTGTACACATACTGTGTCCCAGCTCAATTACATGTGTTGCTTTGCTTGCAATTCCCTGCCTCAGTGGTTACAAGTGAACAGACTTCTAGTAATATGATTCAACTCCCAGGATACACTGTAGCTGCCACAATAAGTGATACGATTATGTGGGCTATTCAGCTGCAACCTTTTAGATCATTCACTTCCTGTATCAAATGTTCTAATTTTTTTATGTGGACATTGGTTGGAAACTGCTCTTAATCCATGAAGGGACAGGAAGGTAGAAACATGAATTTGTTTTTAGCTATGGCGTATGATGGAAGAGATTCCGAATGCAGTATCTTAAACAGGGACAGTTCATCGCAAAATAAATACAATATATATAGCTCACCTCAAACCTGTAGTGCTTTTCGTCAATAAATATTGATATGATCTGAGCTGTGAAGTGTTGGAAATATCCGATGGAACTACATGACGCTTGCTTGTGTTGCTCAAAGCCCAAAACAATTTAACAGCAATGTGTCTTTCCAGAAATCATTATCCTCTCGTCCATTATTAGATTCACACTGTAGTAGTTATACGATTACAAGCAAATAATTACTCAGGAAACTGTTTAAATTCTGTGGATAATCTGAGCAACCTGGTCACGATATATTGGAAAGAGACATAAATGTTGTCCATAAGATAATTGGGTGGCTGTAAAACAACAGCCTACAATTTGCACAGGTCATGTAAATGTTTTCCAATGAAAAGTGTGAGAGATCAAGAGTTGAGAATGTACTTGGTTTGATCCTTACCTGCCGCCTCTTTAAATAATCCAGTGCTATTTGTACATTCTGGAGTCTGTGGAAGCGCATCCTCCCTCTCTCCCGAGGCTGTGGACATAAAGAGGGAAGAAGAGCCATGATGATCAGGTTCTTCTCAAAATCAGAGGACAAATGAAATAAGTGATTAGTAACATCATGGTGAACACAGGACATGCTTCCAGTTTCTTACCCGCTGCTCTGGTGAGGCACTACAAAACTCTACCTGCAACAAGAGTAGCCATTTCTGCAGGCTCACTCAAAATCTGAGCGTATACAGAACATTTTCCACCATTTGCATCTCTAGAAATGGGCTCTTAATGTGCAATAACAAACCAAGTCATCCTGCTGGTTAACACACCCAAACAGCTTAAGTGTACATGACACACAGAAATACATCTGGTGTGCTGTGCCATATCTATTTTAAATATAATAGTGCTGCATTGTTCGAGCAAATATCCAATGTCTTTTGGCAAATGGACAGTGAGGGGCCACAGCATGATGTAATGAAATGGAAAATGCGTTGAAGCCAGGATGCAGCAGCAGCAAAAGACGTTTGCTGCATTCAGCCATATTTCTAAGATGATAATGGCTGAGAGAAGAACTCGGCTCATCTAAATAGCAAAGCAACAATATTTAATAAACCTATTTCCCAAAGCCGTCATTCCGTAGAACTCATACACTTACAAAGAGCTCTTATGGCTTTGAAGTACCTAAAAGCAGCAGATGAAAAATGTCCTGACGGTTTACAGCGCTTTGATTGTATGATGGGCAAAGCTAGCGGGATTGATATAAAGACCCAGGCTTTAAAAGGCAATTTCCTTTATTGCATCTTCTTCATGCTTTTGCAAAGTCAGCTTGCCAATTGTGTTGTTGATGCATGCTCAAAAAGACAATTTGAGCCTGAAGAGGCCTGGGCCTTTAGATCAGGTGCACATTTCCCTGCATCATCAGTTTCATCTGGTCATGTGAACAAGGATTCAGACATTATTTCATGATCAGAAAAGAAGGCATTATGTAATAGCAATCACAGATTTTGTTTGATTGTGAAAAGGGAAACACTACTCTCTAAGCATATAGAAGAACTACATAAAGACAATTCATTCAGTGGGGTTGTTTCTTCGGTCCTGTTAACTGGCCACACAGCAAAACTCTGCATTAGTTGGTTAAAAAGGGGGTTTGAGGGACAAGCCACACGTACCCCCTTATCATCATCACCATCCACCGTGTCTCCATGCTGCTCAACCGCACATGCTTCTGTCCCACTCACCAACCGCAAAGTCTTCAGAAAATCACGCTCCCTTGGCTTATCACCGAAAAGGCAACAGATGGGGGAAGAAAGGAAGACATGGACACACAAAGCGGCCAAATCAAAAGGAAGTTAAGACAATGGACAGAAAACCAATGAGAGAGTGGAGAACAGAAGAGAGGGAAAGTAGAAGGGAAACAGGATGTAAACAGAAAATAGATAGCTTATAGAGGATGAAAGTTAGTCACACTGAGGAAGGGAGTAACTGCTGGGGCTTTTTCCACAGGAATACATGCAATATAAATACAGTAAGGGACATCACAGCTTGCTAACATCATGGAGCTAAGGACTGCACAAAGACTATAAACATACTTTAGTAAAAGATGAAACAATGACATGTTAACATAAAAATGAAATAATACAAATAGCTGCTGGGTGTAAAAAGTACTGAAGCTACATGCAGTTTGCAGCTGTGTACTCTAAACTGTATGTAAGGGACTCTTATACATACTTAAATATAGAGAATTTAGGATTTATCCTGAACCAAGTTAAAAAGCCCCAATAATGCAATAACAAGACCAAGAAGCAGAGACTTAATATCATAGTTTACAGTTTTTGTTTTTTGTTTAAAATAACATGTGATGAATTTGAGTTTTTGTTCTACATTGCTACAAATAAAATAAGATAATTCTATGTGGATGAGAACAATTTCTAATATCCTTATTTCTACATTTTGCTTGTATAAAACATGGAATGAAACCTTGTGGAAAACAATCACCATCCATTTTTTTTTTATTCCAAGTCATGTTTACAGAGCTATCGTAACAGCAATCAATCCAGCCCTATTTTAATCCCCATGACAGCCCAGCTTCCTGCACTCAAAATAAACACTGCTCATGATTGTGATATAACGATACACGTTTATAGAAACAATCCATATCTTCATGTTTGGTCTGCGTCAGGGGCGGTAATGTATGTTCTCTATGCGTCAAATAGAGCATTCTCAATAAGACGTGACAAGAACTTATATATGAACCAGCAATGTATGTATGTCTCCTGAGGGTCACATTTCAAAGACTTCAGGACACAGTCAATATCAGAAAAGATATGCATGAATTCTAAATACAAAAGTTTGAATAACTGCTCCTGTAATTGTGGTATTTAAATAGATGTATTTAATAGAGAAAGGAAGGTCTGTAGCAATCATTATGTCTTGTACAAACTGTTCAATCTTTGCTGTTTCTACATTCTACATTCCTTGCATCATTGCTAGGAGTTTACTACTTACTCTAATAAGGATGACAAGGAATTATTTGGGGCTGTGCTTTTAGATTTTACTGCAGCTTTTGAAGTATTATATCATAGTTTATATATTGCTTAAATGTTATGGTTAGCTCCTGTTTAGGGTATTGGGATCCAAGTAAAAGCAAAGGTAGCCTTAAGCAGTTAGTGCGTTAAATAGGCTAGTTAGCAAGTTAAACTTTGTTAATGACTGATTATCAGTGGCCAAGAACTTGCGCGAACCTCAAGTGGGCAACAAGAGAGCTACTTTTCCTTTTCACAAGCTTTTTCTTGCTTTTATTTTGTCGACTGAAAAACAACAACCATTCTTTTGTAATCTACGTATTTAATATCCCCACAAGTATGTCGCTCCTTGACCACCACTACTACTGTGACACAAAGCACCTCATCTTTTGGTGCTTCCAAGAAAAAACATCCTTTATTTATATTACTTCCATCTAGTAGCACAACATAACTGAACACAATGAGGATTGCATCAGTCAGTTTCACAGATATCCCAGAAAGGATTTTCCGTGGGTTTGGGTGGACGCAGCACCGCATATCTGATTACAGACCATCAAATCCCAGGATTTCCTTCCTACCATCAGTTATGTAAGTAAGAGAGAGGAAGGTCAAGTGCATCAGTCATGCAAAGGTGTGATAAGTTGCTCAACAGGAGCACGATAAATGATGGTGTCGAATGACAGTTTGAAAGTGTTGTGATTCGTAAGACTGGCCATAATGAAAATTCCTCTAAGAACTAAATAGGATCAGCAAACATCATCTGTAATCCAGCCGTGTAAATAAAAACAACAGGGAAACATTAACTCACCAATGTGTCTCCAGACAAAACCTCCAGGAGCGAGATCAGGTTATGTCCATCTCGTAAGTCTTCATAGAGGTCATTTATATGCTTTCGTACCTACAGACATGAGGGAGAATGCAACATGTGAGCAATAATCATATATCAAATTAATACTTTTTTTTTGGAAATGTCTAACTTCAGTTATTGAACCATTGGAGGATTATATTAGGGACAAATACAGACTTGCACATTATTACACTTTAGGTTGATATAACTAAACCATTGCCTTTGTTGTGTTTCTTCTTATGTCATTCAACTTGGTGTCAGCTTAAGTTCAGAAGAAAACAGTTTACCCATTTAACAACAAACTTAATTTATTTTTTATTTCCTCACAGTTCCCTCTAAATGGAAATGAGTGTAGCATAAAACACACAGGATATCACCGTGAAGCCTTATCTAAGCACTTGAGCGGGACACCTAACCACTCAAGTCCCAGGCTTTCTCCTTCGAGCCGTCCCATCTCTCCTTCCTGTCCTAAATACCGCGCCTCTGAAATCACCCCACTACCCGCTGCCCGTTGACCTGCTTTCACACAGGGCTTTCAACACTGTAATCCCAGATAGCGACCATAGCTGTGGAACCAAAATAGACTTACACCCTAATGTTATTGGGTCAACAAAGCAGATGCCAAACTGTTACTCAGCACCTCTGATTTCTCAAAGAATGAAAAAGATTTAAAAATAAGCTAAAGAAGTCTGAAAATCTGTCCCTGAGTCATGAAATAAAGAAAAAGTATGTTTGACAAGTTGAACAACAAGAGTATAGCACACATTGTTTTTATATGATGTTTTTCTTTGCACTTTTATTGCATGTGTCGTGTTTTATTGCAGTACTAAAGACATCAAATATGATTTCCTTATTTCTTCGTAACGTCACAAATATTACATAATGTGCCTTATCAAAACAGTGTGAGCTGTAGCAGGTATGTCCTTAAGGCAGATCTGCAAGCTTCCTTATAATGATTTTTTGATTGGAGATAATAAATGTATTCCTGTTTGACAAAACTCAGCGCCAAAGATCATAAAACATGTCATCAGCACTGATCCACAGGAAGCCCCACTCCCATTAAGTAAGGATTGACTCTTAAACTGACCCTCAAGGACAGGTTTATGACCAACAGCACACTTTGAAGATGAAGATCAAAGAACACAAAAATCCCCTCAGGAGCAAAACAATAAATAATGTAATAGTACAAGTATGTTAACAGCATGGCCCTATTTACATTTCTTAAGAATAAATGTAAGGGTGAAGCTGCTCTACAGCTGTGTTCCCAGTTAATGGACTAGACCAGAGGTTTTGTCTCACCCTGTATATTCTGATGTTTAGCAGTTGTAAAAATAAGCATGTTCCACAACTTAGCTTAGCGGGCTAGCATGCTAACATGGCTAAACAGAGCTAAACACAAACTACAGCTTAGATGAATCTGTTGGGAATGTGTAAAACAGTCAACAGATAAGCAAAGTTATTAAAAGGCCATCCTGGCCAGACCTGCTGATGTTTTCCAGCTAAATCTACTGTCACATTGCAATGCCGCACTTTCCAGAAAAGTCTACTGCTTACTCATCTTTTGCACAAACTAAACTACCATTGTTTCAAATGTTGTCACTGGATTAAATTAATACATTTTTGAAAATAAAAAAATAAACTGTTTCCCTGGAAGATATATCCAATTTACAGGACTCATGGAATCTTATACATGAAGCGATGCACTGTCATGTCTTCTATTCACTTTTATCATTCATTCATTCATTTTTATAAATCAAAGAATGCATGAATGAATTACTGAAATCCCCCTAAAGTATATATCACTTACCTGCATGTTCATGCCTTATAAAACAGAAATGATTGTGGTTTTTAGTGACAGAAGCAGTGATTAATGCACCACTGTTACATAAAGTATAACATTATACATCACTCCTGGGTAGTGATTCATTTTTATAAAGGCGTCTTGGATGAGACTTGCCAGTGCTTGTCTGTCTGATAAAGTGTTTATCAAATTCCTGACAACCTGTTGCTGCAGCAGAGCTACGGCACTTGTCATGTTAAATGACTTTAAAAGCAGCTTTAATAACATCTGAGGAGGAATGTTAGCATGTTGGGACCCAACACAAAAGGCAGTAATTATTATTACTGCCAATTCTTCTCTAATGGATTGTTTATGTTAGTGGACAATGGTTAGCTGATTGTCAGGGTGGAACATTTTGGAATTTTAACTATTATTTACGTTTCACCCTTTGGTTTGATAAATAGTTTCCATAGGAGCATGAATGAAATCAGTTTTCATGTAAAAAGATTCTAAATTTGACACGGTAACAGAAAAGATGCAACTATCACACTTGAGTTCTTACCTTCAGGAGATGCTGGTTTATCCATTTGGTAAATGTCTTTTTCTGCACTCTGTCTCTTTCATCTGAGGAACAGAGAAAAAAAAAAAACCGTGTGAGTTTTTTAACATTGTAAAGCAATCACCCCGGAGGTTGTTAGGCAACATAAATCCTGTTAGACAAGCCTAATTTGGCTCTGTACACGCCTGCTATATAACCTTTTATGTTTAGTAGTCACCAAGAACGGAGAAAAATAGGGAAACAGCCATTATTTTCTGATGGGTTGAAAATTCCATCACTTGAATTTTGAAGAATAAAGCTGTTCACTTTTGCTTCCTAATGCACAGACAATGTGTTATTTTGGAAAAAATGTTTCCAGTGAAAGTGATGTAAAAAAGTAAAAAGTGAAACCACTAGTCCATAAAAAGAAGGATGTAATTTCCCATAGGCTGAAATGACATCACTCTCTCCTGCATGCTCTCAATGACCACAGTATTTTTTTGTTTCCCATTACCATGGTAACCAGACTTCCTGTAGCCAGAGACATAATGTGTAACCAGTGGATGCAGAAAATCAAAGTAAATTGGTTGTATTCATCTTCCCAACTCAATACTTGTTTTAGTAATAGTAGTATAATAAAGAAAAAGTATCAAGTTTTCTCTTCAACATTATGAACAACTTGTGTTTCTCATTGCTGTTTTCTCTCTTGGCCTCAATCCAGTGTCAGAGCAGCAGAGCAGGATTCAGGCCAGCCACCACAGTTGTGACTCATGCCACTGCTTCCACGTCTCCCAGTCCGCCTGACAAAACATCCTCCTCAGTAAACATCAAAAGAAACAACCATGTGTAATCAATAACATTAACAATGATCTGCCAGCTAGTTCACATTTCCCCCACTGCTGATGTCAACAGCGCTGTGGAAGGTCAGTATGTCCCTGAGCTTTGACCACAGGACTAACAACGCAGATAACCTCCTCCCTTTAATAACCCTCGGTTACAAAAGAGGTTTTGCTCCAGGAAATCTTAATGAGCAAGCACAGACATGACTAACCTCACAAGGAAATGACAGGAAGAAGCAGTAAGATAAATACTGACCCATGCAGCACATGAGCGTTACCAGGTGAGCTCTATGCTCCCTCTCGGCCTGAAACAGGTACTTCATCCTCTGTTCTAGCTCCTGCGGGCTGTGGAGAGGATCTTGAATCGGGCACACCGATGCCATGTGGATAAGCGACTGAGGAAAGCGTAATTCTCTCCCTCTTCTTGCCTGCCTGCCTACCAGCCTCTAGGGCAGCCGTGACTCCCTTTCTCACCAAGCGTCGAGAACGAGTTCTGTCAGGTTTTCCATGGCTACTCACTATTTTCAGTTTCCACACGGATAAGTGTTTATCTAGCGGCAGCACTCGAAACCACAGGCAGAAATCAGTGCTTATTATTCAAAAAAGGAAAAAGAAGAAAAGTTCCTTGAAAACATGGTTCCAACGGTAGGATACAGACAGCGTATTCAAGCTGCAGTTTAAGAGTGATGTACTATCATTTCTGATGACAGCATGCATGCATCACTTGATTAATGTGGTTATCTTACTCAAATATATTGAGCAATATAAACATGTCAAACTAAAAGATAATCATCTTTCTTTTGTGCAGCAGCTGCCAAGACTCACCACAATGTTTGCATCAGCAGAAACAACTGAGCACACACATCCTGGAAAATAACCATCAACACCCTTCTTGATACAACAGGAAAAGTAGCAATAGGTAAAAGCAATCTCTCCATGGAAGTAAAGAGTTTTAAGTTAGATTCCTTATTTTATTATCATACTAGTTACAACAAATGAAATGGCTCCCATCCTTAGATGCAGGACTGTGGACATCTCAAACACCACAAATATCCTCATGCAAGTGTGCCCCTCTGTCATAAAAAAGCATAAAAATCACATACTGTAGGCTTTTGAATTATCATAAAGCTTAAAAAAGGCATTGGCACTATAACAGAGGTAGCTTAGGAGCCCTGTGACTGTACCCTCTGTAGATTCTTACATTTAGTTCATCTAAAAATAGTGCATGTCTAAAAGCTGCTGAGAATCAGTAAGTGGGTTGGTCTGTCAATTATTTGTTACACATTTAGATCAAGACGTCACATGAAGCCAAACGTCAAAGAAAACAATGAAGACATCAGCCGATCACATCAGAGTCCAACAAAAACAACATGTATTAAAAGGGATAAGCAGATACATTAAAAGTAGTCTCTCAGTGCTGCTGTGTCATTGCTGATGTGTCTGTCCCTGTGACTCAACAGCTGATTTACAGAGGACTAAAGCAGTGCTGCCAGCAGTGGGACATTCATTTGGTTTGTAAAGTCCATATATAAGCTCTTTGCTGCATAATGTATAAACCTCTCCTGAGAAACTCATTAATATAGATTGGCTGAGATTTCCAGGAAACTGTCCAGCTGAAAGAGTGCATCATCCACCCGGTAGCAGACATGGTCACCACCGGTTACTGCACATATAACGGTCCACCTAATGGTCCGAGAACTAGGGAGCAGGTGTAAATATATGATGAGACTATTTTTGTAACTGTGCTTTCCCTTCAAAACATGAGGGTGTTTAAAAGTATGGTGCCCTCTTGAGGATCATATGAAAATAAAAAAATGAACTTGAACTCTGGTTTGATATTTCTCTAAAATACCTAAAACTTAAAAACAAAAGGCTAAATTATAATATAAAAACTATTGGAAAGATGAGGAAAATAAATCATTATACTCATTAGACGTTGTTCAACTCTGTGAACCTAATTATTCTCAATTCCACTTATCCGATCAAATACATTTTGTGATTACAGTATAGTATTTGGACCCATTTTATCTTATTTCACATACACATATTAGATTTTTTTTAGCCATGTAAACTTGCCACAGTATTTTCCACATACCTGCACTACACTGAGTTTTGTACTCAGTTAAAATATTCAGCACGTACAATAAACAACATCCCAGCGAAAGTCATTCTGACAATTCTGTCGACCAAAAAAGAACCGCTAATTCAAGAAGATGTGAATAAATAAAAAAGATCAGTGTCACTTCACACAAGTATGAAACTTGAGTTCCAATTTCAAATATTTCAGGTTTGATTTGAAAAGTTATTTATAAGGTTTATATAAAGTTTCCGCACAAGCCTGAAGCAAAGATATCACTAAACAGCAACTGCCGAGGTGTAAATTAAACACTGACTGAACAACTTTGTTGGCTTCGGCATGATTTCTAATAATAACATGGAAACATCATCTTACAGTCTTGATGACAGTTTATGTATGATATGCTTATACGGTGAAAAGCGTCCAATATGCGGCAAATGACTAGAACTAGGGCAATGTGATTCAACTGACAACCCTTCATGATAATGCTTAAGGTATTAAATAATAAAACACAAATGTTCTTATGATGTGTTAATAATATTCTTACTTTAAATTCAGATTCATGTCCACCACAGGTTTGGGTAGAGTTTTGAAATGTGTTAACAAACAGCTTATGACCTTTGATTCAAATGGGTTGATGTTTGAAGGATCACAAGAGCCTGAATAGCCACCTGTCTCTCATATTACATTTGAACTCATTGACATTTAAAACATGTGTGAATTAAATTAATGTTGTCATTAAAGCTTCCTTAAGATGTGAAACTTAACACCATAATAGGAAGTTAAACCAAAAGTAAAGATTGTTATTTAATTTAATTTAATACAATTATTTGGGTAGTATGAACATATGAGCAAATCCGTCTTGTAACAATGCAGCAAACAATGGAAATCATGACAAACAGCCAGTTTTGTATAAAAGTAAATATTTTGTTGCCTGTGTGAACCCTGCCTACTGTCTGGACCCGGTGCTAGCTTAAAGTCCACCACAGCATTGGAATAGACAGGCAGCAAAGCGCTCCTGAGACACTTATTTGTAGACCTCAGCAGAGCACATGTGCATGGCTATAAATAGCTACAACCCTAAACCACGCTGCCCCTGAAACTACAGCCAACATAATCTGTGCCATTTAGGAGACTCCTTTAATTTCCTAACATACAACCAATATGAATGATCAAGTATATGGTTGTGTTGAATTTTGACGTCATTTCTTAAGCATCAGGGAAAAAGGGTTTAAGTCTATTTTCGAGTCTTTTTGGTTTGTGATATATCCATCTCAAAAGTAACGTTTATTAGATATTAAGATACATTTGGATAGAAGCTGATGCTGGTTGTCGTTTGCATGAATGTTAGGTTGGGGCAGCAATGCCTCAGACGGTAGTTTTATACATCTTTTGAGGGGTAGGCTTTTTCCCCTTTATTACTACAGCTGAAGACAGACAGGAAATAGGGAGAGAGAGGGGATGACATGGAGCTAAGGGGGCCAGTTTCAAACCCAGGTTGCCATGGTAAGGACGGAAATGTCTCCCAATTGGCAAGTCAGCGCCTCTATTGGGCTATGAACATGATACGAATAGATGAATACGAAATTGTGGAGCATTTTTCCCGCTAAGATGGACATTTTCAACAACAACACACGACCAGAATTTAGCAAATGCAAACAGCAGCAGAACAACAGCAGCAAAAAAAAATGTTGTTTTCAAGAGAAGGCCTGCATGAGTAAAAGGGGCCGGTGACACCCTTTGGCATATTGTTATGGCCTAAAATATCCTCACATTCTGAGTATAGCAGAGTCAAAAGGTCTTAGCAATTAAAATCCATCCTGTGTAATCCTCTTGACCTTGTGTGGGAGGAAAATCAAAACAGACACAAAGAATAAACCCAAAAGCCACTCGACCTTCCTGCCTATGACAAGGACTCGCTAAACATTCTTGCTAAACAGCTTGCATTTCACATCTCTTATGTCACAACCGGCTCAGAAAGCATGGGCTTGTGTACCTTAGCTTAGCTTTGTTTTGAGTACAAGGCTGTGTGTTGCATAGCAATGGCAGAGATTTTGAAATGTAAGTCTGCCTATCAATGCACACAATGACAGGCTTGATTCAGCAAAACTATAATTGAAGTGATTATTTTGCACAACAGTATAAAGTCTAGTTCTGCTTACAAACAGGG